ACGACAAAAATGTTGTGATAAAAATTGGTGAACAAATATTGAAATAAATCACATAAAAATTGAATGATATGAAATTATCGCATCTGACATGATGACGAACATGAGATGTCTGTGCGTCTTGTGTTTGTTGTTTGCGCACCGAAAATCGTGTCAATATTCACGTTTCAAGCATTGCCGCGTCTGCGTACTGTCTTCGCAGTGTTCTTCTTTTTTTGTATCGTCTGTCGTATTTTTTATCATCTTAAATTCGCAAAATTCAGTTCAATGTAATTCAATTGCTTCATACTCGTATTTCGTATTTAAAAGAAAAAGTTAATCGTTCTAATTTATTATATGTTTCGTTCATCTCTAATTCACCGTATGTATAATACGTGTCAATGAACTTTTGACCAACGCGTTTTTGGAGATCTCCTTCCTACCAAAGTTCAGTCATAGAACAGAATAATTTATGAATGAATTTACCAATGAAAAAATATCAATAAATTCGCGATCTTTGATAATCTCTCTACTTACTACTCATGTTGATAATAATTTTTTTTCCGACGTGATGAGTACGCATACACGGGAAGGGGGGAGGTGATGGTTAAAGTTTCATTTTAAACAAAATTGGATGTTTTTCGAACGAAAATTGATAGGAAATAAAATTCGGTGATTTTATCATGAATCGTGCGCGTACGTGATGACTTTCATCGCCATACGATCGGGGTTAGTTCGATCCGTTGAGATTAGCATGATAGTTGACAATGATGTGTGAAGCACAGCCACTGTCGCGCTATATATTTTTGCTGTATTGTATTTTTAGCTGCCACGTGACGCTGACTCCCCTGAAATCACATTAAAAATATAACACGAAAATTCCGTATTCCTCTCAGCTCTTTGTCGTTCGCATCTTTACATTTCATTCATTCAATGATAATGATGTGAAATACTGTTGTTGTCGTCGTCGTTGAGGAGCGATCCGCGCACAATATCATTATTGATGAACTATAACGAATTTAATTCGAGGAAGAGAATGGGTTTTGTGATGCATAAAATGCATTTGCAGATATTAAGATTGACTTTCGAATTAATCGTATAGTTATTGCGCGATTTAAAAAAACAATCAATCGTAAATACTTATACACAAAAAAAAAAAAACAATAAAAATTAACATATTGAAAATAATGATGAACTTCCCCATTGAACGTGATTATGTTGGATTTTCAATAAAACTGTATTTTCTATTTCTTTTTTGTCGCATTTTCAAAGCAGATTCGATTTAAATTACAATGTACTTGAACTTCGCGTGTTCAACGACTATTTATCTACATTTTTGGATTTTTTTTGTCGATTGAGGTGTGATATCATACTCATTAAATCTCATTCGAATTAAACAAATAAAACTTTACATCAAATTATTCACTTCTATCCAGTTTTACATCTCCATGCGTCTGTCATTCTCTGTATTATTATTAGCAGTAAAATGACAAGCAAAAAAAACATTGCTTCTAAAAACAAACCTCATTCGAATCTATTTTTAAATTTCATTTGTTTTGTCGTTTTGCATTGATCGTTGTCAAATCAATGCACCAAAAACGGAGCTGTCGCCAAAGTTACAAATATTGCATATGGCCAATGCAAGATCTCTCAAATGGTTTTTTTTTTTGCAACAAAAAAGAAACAGCTTGATTTTCAATTACAAAGAACGTGTGTGCGCGAATCAAATGTTAGTGTCACTCGGGGAAAATGCACGAAAGAATACGATGCAAGAAAAAATCGAAAACATACTGATTCACTAGATGGCAATTCGATCATAAATTTTATAACCCGACATAGCTTCGCTAATGATGTACACACGCATTAATATGCATGCAAAAAAAATGCGTACACATTCTACTGTAAATACTAAAGTTAGACTGGTTTCCAATTCAAAATTTATCTGATTGATTTTTTTTATTTTCTCTCTTTTCATCGTTCACATTTTTCTCATTCTCGTACCGTACGACAAATTAAAAAAAAAGACTTTATTCATGAATATTCATTGGCGCTGTAATATTTGTAAATGCTTTTGTGGAACAGTTGTCAAAAAAAAGTGTTAACAACAACCAGGGAATAGAATTTTGACTGACGTCGACCATTTTTCTTTTTGTTAAATTTTTCATGGTTTTACGCTTACGCGTATTTATTGATTCACACTTAAAATTATTTCTCTTTCTCTGACACTCTCCATCAGAACCGTCTTATTGAAGGCGCAACGTATATTTTGCAACAAAATTTACACACTTTATGTTTCTTCTCCAATGTTTTTTTTTGTGTGTGTTCAAACACACTGGGTTTCGTGCGTGTACGTATATTTTTTATTGTAGCTTTCATGCTCAAATTCACTGAGTTTTATTATAAATTGGCAAATTTGATTGGCATTGGATATGTGAACAGGATATATATAAGTATCATTTAAATGTTGTTTGCATTCACATTCGAATGAAATGTTTGGATGGAGTTTTAAGAAACACCAAAAATATATCTGGGGAAAATTTACGTCTGACGTCATATTCCATGGAATCGCTGCAATTTTTTTTAATTCCAAATAGTTGGAATATACGTAAACAAACGATGGTAAAAGATCGAATAGATGACGCGATTATACACTTAAGTAATAAAAAACAGTGGAGAAAAAAATCCAAAAAAAAAAAAAAACCCAATGGGTCAAATAAATCACAGAAAAAAATAATATAATTAAGCATATTTTCTCGGCGTCAACAGATGATCTGCGCTGTTGGTCGCAATGTAAGTGTTATTGTATCAAAAATTTGAAGATCATTATAACAAAATTACAACGAAAAGAACAACAAAATACACACCACCTAAGCCAACATTTTAAAAACAAAACATTCCGCAATTTGCCAACAAACGTTTTTGTTGATGTTTGAATAACGTGTTTTCTTCTCTCTCTCTCTCTCTTTTTTTTTTTGTTCTCTTCAATTGAAAAACAACAAACACACATACATGCACACACATATATCGTTGAAATGCAGAGTGCAGTATGTTGTCTGTCATTTGTTGTGTGTTGATCATCATCAGCTGAGAAAAGCGGTCAACATCGAAACAAGATCGTGTATGTCATTGACTTGCATTGGTGGCTTGATTTATAATTTGTAGTTTTCCATTGAATTGCGAACAATAATTTCTTTAGTCAATTGTCGCCGCACTCGATCATAATCAACTCGTGTGTTATTGTTAGGTTTGAACTGTTTCACGGTTATCCATTTATAATATTGTTTCATTACGTTTACCATGTGTGCCCTGCCCATTATGAATAAATAGAACACACTGGAAACTACGGCAAGATAACGATTACGTTTATACTAGGGTGCATTTTTTTTTCTTCACCACAATTTTATGATTTCAAGAATCCGCTTTATACGTAATAAAATTTGAGCAAAGTTTAAACAACGATTTTTAAATTTATTTATTTACCATTTTTATCTGAATTTTTTTTTGTTAAATTTTGATAAACACAGACAAAACCAGTATCATACGTTTCATCATTCACGTGTGCAAAGAATATCAAAATTCTGAGAAATGTGCATCATTTGCGATGATTAGTAGACAGTTTGCGATGGAAGTCATTCGAAAAATTTGCATAATCTTGACAACGAGAGTAAATTACCCCTAGACTATGATTGCTCTTTTTATCTCTTCGTTTTAACTTGATTCACTCTGCAAACACACAGAGAGAGAGAGATTCCATGAATTAAATTCCATCTAAATGCGACGCTAGGAAAATTAAGGCACCGACTGTAACAAGTTGATTTTGATTAATGGTTGTTGTGCTTTTCACACATCAACCACTGTAAATAAACACAATGATCAAATGCCTCGTCGTGAAAATCAAGACGAACGCAAATAGCGCACAATCACGCGGAAATCAACAAACATGTAGGAAAGGGGAAAAAACAAATCAATTTCAATGCTGTTCGTTATGTGACTCATTGATAGAAACAATCTTGTGAATATTACAGTATGTTCGAATATTATGTAGCTTATTCTGTAATCAATCAGTCTGTGCCAATGTGTATAAGGGAGCATGTGTCTATTGGACGGTGCATTGCACAGTTCACGGCTAGACTTCAATCAAATTTCACTCAAGCTCAAGTTCGTTGACAGCAAATATGGATTTATTCATCAACGCCTGATCTCTTTACTTAATGTTCAAAGTTTGATTTTGTGTTTTCATTCGAAAAGTGACTTGAATAAACAGAAATCTCCTTCGCTTTATTGCATTCTTATATTACATTTGAAATGTTATTTACTTTACGATTATCCACTAAAAATAAACAATCTTTGAAATATTTTAAACAAATGATTCATTTATTTTCACTTCATTTACACTTATTGATCAACTTTATAAATGCGACATAAATATTAATGAATCAAATTATGTGTTTAGACTGTTTTTTTTTCTTTCAAAAATCAACTATTGAGAGTAAAACTTTCGTAATTGTTGTAATCGATATTGAATAATACTTAACGCTACAGCGAATCAGAAACGGAAATGGTTTCAAACAAACATGATCACTCCCCAGAATTCGATAGGTATTTTCCATAAAAGTCGTTCATCATTGAAGAAAATTTTAGTCACTAAAGTAAAAAAAAATCTCGTCCCATTTTTTTTTTCATGTAGATAGAACAACCAAAAACGCGGTAACTCATATACTAACAAGAAACAGCATTCGAACGCAGTGTCAGAAGTTATCATGCCATGTGTTGATTAAAAAATGTGATTAACATACGGAATGCCAAGACTTCTAGATGACAGTTTTTATGATCGTTGATGTGATAAGAGCGTTCAAAATGGGCACCGAAACAATCCCATTTCGCAAGATTAACAAAATAAAATAGTCATAGAACTGGAAATTTGGTCGATATAAACAATGAAATAGTAAACAAATTTGATAAGGTCACCGACTTTTATTAAAAATTGACTAAAAATTTCTTGATTTTTGTTTGAATCGTTTCAGAAATGTTCGGGACCCGGCATTTTGTGACATTTATGCTATTCCTGGGTATGGCCAATGCATATGTGATGCGAACAAATATGTCGGTAGCCATTGTTGCAATGGTGGACCATACAGCTATCGCAAATTCAACTCATGAGTTAGTCGATAATGAATGTCCAGACTCTGGTTATGATACCAGCTCCAATGTAAGTTTCTTTATATGCACTATTATTTATTTTAAAAATTCAATTTTCTACCTTATTTCCACAGTTTGTCTAATAAAAACAAACGCATACGCACACCTCAACGGAAACAAACTGCATTGGACAAACAGAAATGAGAATATTTCGAAAAAATCGATAAATTTATATAAACACACACACAAACCGAAATCCAAATGTGTATTATGTCTATATACAAAACATATTTTGATTACATTGTGATATGACTTTGTTCAAGGTGAACAAATAGCCTTTCTCTGTCTCTCTTTCAACCAATGGGGAATTTGTTGTGCGGTGCGAATGCCTTTTTTTCGTGATACGATCGAATTTAAAACAATTTTTGTATATACACTGCCGACCAAAATGTTTGACTTGCAATGCATGATTTCCAATGGAATTTTGCATAGAATTTTTGTGAAAAAAAAGTTCACTTGGCATTTGAAACTTCGCCAATTGATAAAACTCAATAAAACAATAGGCCAACAGTTTTAATTGTTAAAAAAATTGGAAATACCGTAAAACGTCAATTGGTAAAAAAATAATAATATCCATGCAATGGGTCCAAGCTTTTGAACGCCAGTGTATACGTATGTATAAGAGCACAAAGCAAAACAATGTATATGTATATACTTCATACAGAAATATGCCATTTCGCACGTTGCCAGTTTGAACAGAATAAAAAAAAAGTGTCATACTAATGAATTCTGCCATCGGTTGTTTGCTAAAGATTTAATATAGAATGCACGTAGTGACTAGTCAACAGGCATACAGCAGCCTGCTTTAAAAGACCAATTGGCAAACACTTATGTGACGTAATGAAGAGTTGAAATGCACGAGAGCGCATCACATTACTGTCGCCAGTTGTTGCGGTTGCAACTGATATATAAATGTATATAAATATACAACGATTTTGAACCGAGTTCAGTTGAGTAAACACACGTCCGAATAATCTTTTTTATTCTCTTCAATCTTCTTAACGCTTCCCTTCTCGTCAATTGTTCCTTTTTCTCTCTTTCTGTTTCAAGTGAAGCACAAAATCAAAGCGAGACAATATTAAAAAAGAAAAAAAGAATTTTGTTATGAAGTAAATGTGAAACGACTCATTGATCTCAAGTTAAGAGGTTAAGTGAAGTTCCAGTACTCATTGATATTTCCACTTTTTCGCACAATGGTCGGCGGAATATGTGTTTACTTTTTCACTTAGCGCAGCGCAACGCAAAAGACTCAAAACAAACTCAACTGATTTTGACATTTTGTAGTATTTATTCACCGTTTATTTGACTTTCAAAAAACGGAAAATAAACAGAGATAAGAGACTGATGCATTGGATCGCCAAAAAAATAATAATAAATAAACTATAGAGACTGTGATTTTGCTCACTTTCGTTTTAGTTGTTTACCTGATAGAGGAATGTTGAGTAAATCACAAAACCGTTTTTAATTCGATTATTTCGATAAGATTAAACATTAATTATTTACATAATATTAAAGTAAATTTCATTTTTATTATTTACAGCATACACAACAGAATGGCGAATTTCCTTGGAAACCAATCGAGCAGGCCGTTATTCTATCATCATTCTTTTATGGTTATGTTATTACGCAAATTCCATTCGGTATGTTGGCTAAGCGATATGGTGCGAGAGGCTTCCTTGGATACGGTATGCTTCTCAATTCAGTGTTCGCTTTTTTCGTTCCGGTTGCTGCACGGATGGGTGGCCTTTATGGTTTGTGCGTCGTACGTTTCATTCAAGGTTTAGGCGAGGGTCCAATTGTGCCATGTACACATGCAATGTTGGCCAAATGGATTCCGCCCAATGAAAGATCACGAATGGGTGCTGCCGTTTATGCAGGTAATTGTTTTTATCAATTCAAACGGATTTTTTTAAAAATTCATAAAGACAAACAAATGAACGATTTTAATGGTCTGAATTGTTTTGCTTTGATTAACAGGTGCACAATTTGGAACGATTGTATCAATGCCTTTGTCAGGACTTTTATCAGAATACGGTTTTGATGGTGGTTGGCCATCAATATTTTATGTGTTCGGTTTGGTCGGTGTGATTTGGTCGGTGGCTTTCCTCTTCTGTATTTATGAAGATCCATCAACACATCCAACCATCGAAGAAAAGGAAAAGAAATATATTTTAAGCTCATTGTGGGGAACAACAAATGTAGCCGTAAGTATATTTCAGCAGAATAATCGCTAAACAAAATCAAAATCAACTACTCTCTCTTCATAATAATGATAATTATGAATATATTTATTTTGCAGCAATCACCTCCGGTGCCATACTGGAATATTCTAAAGTCCCTACCATTCTACGCGATATTATTCGCGCATATGGGTCAAAATTATGGTTACGAAACCCTGATGACTGAGTTACCAACGTACATGAAACAAGTGCTTAGATTTTCACTTAAAGAAGTAAGTCGTTTTGTTTAACATTTAATTTGTAACATTGAATTGCATTGAAAAAGTCATCAAAAATTATTTGTTAATTTTTTTTTTTTTAATTTCAGAATGGAATATTGTCAGCACTTCCTTATTTAGCAATGTGGCTATTCTCAATGTTTATTTCTGTTGTTACCGACTGGATGATATATTCGGATCGTTTCACACACACAAACGCCCGCAAAATCATTAACTCATTAGGTAATTCATTATTTACTATGTCCATTTTCAACTTTTCATTCATTTGTTTTCTTTTTGTGTGTATGTGCAAATTCACAGGTCAATATGGTCCGGCTATATGTTTGATAATTGCATCGTACACTGGCTGTAACCGAACATTAACCGTATTCCTGTTAACACTGGGTGTTGGATTGAATGGTGCGATTTATTCCGGTTTTAAAATCAATCACTTGGACATAACGCCACGTTTTGCTGGCATTCTAATGGCAATCACAAATTGTACGGCAAATTTGGCTGGTTTATTGGCGCCACTTGTTGCCGGTACACTGATCAATGAAAAGGTCGGTGACAATCAATCTCTATCTTTTTTTAGTCCGAAATGTAAAATTAATTTTTTTCTTCTTCTTTGTTTTGTGTTATATAGCCATCGATGGCCAATTGGCAAATAGTATTCTTTATTGCGGCTGCTGTGTATATATTTTGTGCAACATTCTATAATTTGTTCGGTTCGGGTGAACGACAGCCTTGGGATAATCCATTGAATGATGCGCCGGTTGCAGCAATTCCAATTCGTCAAATAAATGGCGGAACAAATAATGGTGTTCAGTCAAATGGTGTACAATATAATGGGACAACGCCCGCAAGTAACGGGCAAACACAATTAAATGGAAATGGAGTTCGTGAAACGACACAATAACCGACCAATTTAAAAAATAATATATATATATAAAAACAACAACAAATGTATCGCTAAGCACATTCGTTTTTTTAAACACACGCACACACACATATGCCTCTGTTTCGATGTAATTCCTTTTTCCAATTAATTCTTTTTAGTTTATTTTTTATTTTTGTTTAAATTTTAATTTAATAATTTTTTTTTTCAATTTCCATTTTGGATGTTGTTTTGTTAGAAACCGAATTGTATAAATTGATTGTTTTATTTTTTTGTAAGAAAAAAAAAAGATATATACTATTTAAGTTGAACTCGATTCGCATGATAAATGAATGGCATTTTTCCTCATAAAATCACTCACAGAGACAGAGACACAATAAAATTGATTAAATCCGTTCCTGATATCGAGGAAAATGCTGCGAACGCTTGAAATGGTCGTAACCAAGAGAAAATAGATCATCCGTAAATAAAATATGGGAAAGAAGAAATAATAAATATGCCAATCGAGTGCAAATAATATTTAACAAAAAAAAACTATACATATATAAATATACAAAATTTCCAAAAGCTAAACGGAACAGCAAAACAAATTAAGAACAATATTCTCTCCTGCGCGTGCCACTGTGATTGAATAAGAACTTGAAAACAAGCAAAAGACAAATACAATTTGATGCAGTTAATCGATTACGCTCCGTTTTTTAACGGAGAAAAATGGTGCAAAATACATGAATGGATTTTATTATAATAAATATTTTTGAATTGATGAAAGAATGCGATGAACGAAAACAATGAATGAAATCACGTATCATTTCAATGTGAATCATGGATGGATTCCATTTTTCTGTGAAAATAATTATGCAATCACCGTGTGAGAAATGCGTCCTGTTCTGTTTGAAAAAGAAGAAGAATAAGAAGCAAAAAAAAATGCAAAGGAAAATTCAAATAAATCTATTGTTGTGTATTAAAACAGACAATTTTACATGTAGATAGCCTTTGAAATTTTTTTTTATAAATTTATAGATTTAAATGAGAATGCATGAGAGCATGGACGAGTTTGTTTGTAATTTAGTATCAGCCGAACAGAGAATTTACTAGTACGAATGGATTTTCTTTCAAAGACAAACATTATGAAAATGAATTTTAAAAACGCAGAGAGGAGAGAGTAGAGAAACAGAGACAAAAAATAAAAACCAAGTAAATAGGATGTAGAGTGTAAGTGATAGGATTTTACGGTTTGAAAATAAGAACACACTTGTTATATTAGAGTTTGTTTTTGGTATTAGCCATCCAAAAATGAAAAATATGCCTTATCATAGTTCCAGTATGCATAGTTATAGCTCATATTTTTTGCAAATATATTTTTATTATTGTAGCATGCATCAATATTTATTAATTACAATTTATCGATTTTAATAAAAAAAAAAAAAATATGAAAACAAAAAATACAAACAAACAAAAGGGAACCAATAAGAAATATAAGCCACTCATCAACAATGGCAACACTTAAAATATGTTGAAGTTTTACAAAAAAAAAAAATTCTTACGCATGTATTTTGAAAATAAATTGCAGCCACTAGTAAATAATTTTACTGTGGACACCAAAGCTGCCGTTCAAATTTAAAGTTCTTTTTTTTTCATACTTTTACATGAATGGAATAAATAAAATTCTTAAAAACCGTATTGGATGGATCTACGAGCTATTTCGTTTTCATTGACGTTTCCTAAATGTTTTAAGCTTGGGTCTTTTTCAGCAAGTGTTTTGTAGCCGAAAAAAATTCAACTTATTAGTGTGAAAGAAACCCACTGACATATGTTTAGATAAATTTCACGTGTACTTTCGAGAAGATATTGACCAATTTTAAAACCGCGATAATCAGGATGAACAACAAGTGCGTCGATATTCAAGTATTTTTGAACTTTGAAATAAGTATATACTAATGACATCATTAAATTGCTCATGGATCTCTGAATAAATCCAAATTAACGTTAAAGGTACTTTAATATAAAAAAAATAGTTGTCTTTTTTTCTTACAGTTATTGGATGTTTACTCTGGTCCTTCAATTCTAAAATCATTAAGCCCACCAACTGTTCCGATCCGTTTTCCTTCACATAGCATGAATTTCAAAATAAAGTTAATACTCGTATAAAGTAAAAAAAAATAATTTAAAAAACTTACTAATTGAAGCACACATTGGATCATCTTTGAGATAATATTGATTTAACAATAATTTTTATAACTTTTTTTTGTTTTGGGTATGTCTCTTTATGAATGGTGAAAGTTAGTGATCTCGAGGCTCTTGAGTGGGAACATTCCGTAGGGGATTCCTGACGAAAAACTCTTGCAAATCGAAAGAATTTTCTCGGCCAAAAAAAGTGAAGAGCAAAAAAAGGTCCTCATTTCCAAAATTGTTGAGGGTTCCCAAAAATATTTTATAGGGGGTAATCCAAACCCTAGGAACCCTCGTCATCACCAATATTCTTTTTTCGATATTCTTCAGTTAATTTTTTTTTTTGCGATGTGAGAAACAGTGACCGGTTCGCGCATATTTCTATGCCTGATAGCTATGCTAAGCATAGCGGAGACGCAAGCCGCAACTCACCCGTCGCCATTCGATTCGAGCTATATTGTATGCGCACGGTCGTCTGCATAAACGAACATGTGCATTGTTCATATAGAGTGAACGGCGATGCGTCGGCTGCGTTTGCGGCTATGCTTGGCATATCTATGCTACATAGCGTATTTAGGCAAGCATAGAAATATGCGCGAACCGGTCACTGGTGAGAAAAAATACTGTTTTTTAAATCAAAAAATGTGAATGATGTGAGGAAAAATTTGTTGAAAAAATATAATAGCTCCTATTTTTTGTTTTTGTATTTCTATTGACATGTTTTTCTGTCACTTGTGTGAACAAACTTGGGTGGCAATAAATGTGTTCAGAAATTACACGTGTATCACTCAAATTGGCACAACTTACAGGCGTTTATTACACTGCAATAACAAATACCAAAATATCAACCAATGCACACGGCACGTTTATCAGTACCTCAATACTACTATCAAACTCAATTCGACGAAATACATCCATTCGCGATGGCGTACAAATTGGATTTACGAAAAAGTATCTCAAATGGTTTTGGCGGCTAAGTTCAAAACAAATTCTGAATGTGTCTAAAGATGAACCAATCTGTCTTCGAACCATGTATCGTGTTTCATGGACTTAATATGAAGACAAAGATTCTAGAAAAAGCAAAAAGTACGGTCGTATTCCCAATTTAAATGCTCAAACCCTTCAAAATTGTCATCAAGTACCGAAAACCGGGTTGGTCAAGCAAAAATTCATTTTCGGTGATTTTATGGTTACAGCACATCCAAATTTGAACTAAAACAATAGATTTAGACACGATCATTAGTAATCAGCAAAATAAGTTTTGAAAAAATTCCAAAGGGTGTCTGAAATTGGGTGTTTACTTCATCGCATAGCATGTTGCACTGAAAAATTCAACATTTTGGACAGTGAAACATTAATCGCCAAATCGAAAGATGAATTAAGTGCAAGTGGTTTCTTTTGCATTGATTATGTTAAAGCACTACTATATAAGTCTAGAGACGTCGACAAACCGAAATTTGATAAAGGGGTGTTTGTATGGTAGGATCTTCTTTGGAAGGTGTTTTAGAGCCATTATTCGAGAATTTAGTGCTGAAACGTAAGGTAAAACCTCCATTATTTGCTCCATTATCAACCAATTACTGTTGGAATCGATAGAATTCATTGAGAACTATCTGACTTAAGACAGAATTTTGCTTTGCAAGCAGAAAAACCACACTAATGGCTCAATTCTTGGAAAATAGCATTTCCACGAAAAAAGGACCATCTTTTTAACTTCACAAAAAAACACCATATTAATTAAATATTTTAATGAAATGAAACCGCTACCTCTGATCAATTCAAATTACAGTAAATAAAACACCATTATATTGAGATAGCAAAATAGACTTTTTTAATGTCAATCTTTGTATGCATTTCGAGCAGTTTACCGCTCATCATCAGCAACACGACTAAAAATCAAAAAACATACAATCGTCAAATCATAATCATAAAAGTGCAAACAAAAATCAAAGTACAAGTGTATTGCCGTCGGCATTTTTTATATAGAAGAAAGAGAGAAACATATGAAAGAGTAAGATATACATCGCAAACTAACACCTCTGCGTTCGGAATGTATTTCACATATCAAAAATGAAGACAAATAAACACCATCTAAATTAGAGTGAATAGGTCAGATTCAATATTTCCTAAATCCAAATTTAAAGCAACATCTCAAATACATCGAGAACAATGAACCGAGAAAGTCGGTTTTCGCATTGCATGCACTGGAACACCAACACTTTAGTACAACAATAGATAACGTTAAATTATTAAAATATAATTAATATAAGTTGTGTCCGATTCGGGCTTTCCTTTGAACTTTTCTTCTAACAGAACAAGACACATATCTCACACGGTAAATGAATAAGTATTTTCCATTCATGATTCACATTGAAATGTTTTTCAAATTTCTTTAATTATCTAAGGCCCTAATAGGCCTTATTTGCTAGACACACGATCGCGAACGATTGTAATCGTGGACGATTTTTTTCGAAATCGGTGAACAAATCGGTCGCCGATTATGAAAAACCCTTTGCCGATTAAGATCGTGAACGATTTATAACAATCGGTAGACGATTGAAATCGTCCACGATTACGATCGTGTGCTTAGCAAATAAGGCCTTAAACGTTCATTTTCAAACAAAAAATGGAATGCATTAATAAATATCACATAAATAAAAACTGTAAATTCAATTATCATTTCAAACTACACGTTGCTCATTCATACAAATAAACTGAAATGTCATTGATTTGTGTGCCGAAGCGTATTTATAACACGCCGCATAAAAAACAAAACTGAAATGAAAAATAACACTTTCATCGAAAAGAAACAAAAATTGGCAAGGAAACAATGACGGACAACTACAGTATTTCAGCAATAAAATGATCATTTGAATTACTTCTAGGTTTGATACAGCAATTCCTAGTTTTTTTATTTTATTTTGAAATGAATAGTTTTGACGAACTTGGAATAGTTAAACCCACTATCAAAATCTCTTTTATTTAAAAAAGATGTACTTTATGCATCATGCGAATTGCATTTAAACGCTAAATTGTAAATTGTAAAGTTGTTTGTGCGTACCAGTATTGAATATCAGACGATAGAACAAAAACAATCATAGAAATATGAATTGCGCATTTGTTGTGACTAATTTTACATGTATGAAATGTCGCAACTGGAATGATGAAGATAGGAAGAGAATTGACGTTACATTTGTTTACTATTTCACAATATTAATAGTCTAATCTCGAGAAGATAGTTTCTATTTTCCCAATACGTAAACACAAATCGCAAAAATCTTTGCTAATAAAAGCGAAGATCAGGGTGATTTCGAAAGTCATAAGTCTTGTAAAATTGAAGGAGAAAATATTAAAGCGAATATAACGTGAATTGTGTTTTTTCAACTAAAAATCAGCGATTTCACAATTTAACTGAAATGAAGTACTTTTTGGTGTTGCTATTTTTGTGTGTTGAATTAAAAGCTGCACTTTCCGATAACGATTTGGATCGGCAGCTCTTGAGTGCCGTTAGAAGAGGTAATAAAAGAATTTGTGATGAACATAGGGTAAATGACTATCAATGAAATGGATTTATTTTTATGGTATATTGAATTCAAGGCGGCTGCAGTTGTTATGATCGAAATGGACTGTGATTACCATGAAAATTGCCAATACAATCAGAAGGAGAGGTTGCAATTTTTAACTTTATCACCATGAATTGTTAGATAGCTTTTTAATTCGAATTATATAATATCAGTGTTCAAAACGGGGAGCAATGAAAATTTGTTTGGGCATTTTTCAAAAGATTTATTTCAAGTGCAATCAGATTAAATGTGGGTCAATTTTCTTTCAGTAATATTGATAAAAATGAAATACGGAAGTGGCCATCTTTTCGATTCTAATGATATATATCACAAGGCACTAGCTTCTAGTTTAGCGGTTTCTATGGTGGATAAAACTTCCGTACCTCATTACCCTTATGAATTGTTTAATGTATTAAAACCAACTAGCCAAATTCTCCAAACGCATAATGCCAGTATTCAATACCTAATTGAATTCGTATTCAATAATATCATCCAGTCAACACAAGAAACAATAAATCCAAAAATTCAAAACCAATAAAAGTGTAAAAGCGACTTTGTAAGATTTGACCCCATAAGGGGCACTGAAACTTGGCCAAAAAGGTGAATGAGAAAAATATAAATTCTGAGGTATTTTTGCATGCTGATTTCGAGTTTCGGGATTTACAACTTTGTAGTACATTATTTTTTGATCCGATGAACTTTTGAAAAATTGGGGGCCGCCTGGGGAAAAATTCAAAATTCTGCTCCGATAGAAATTTTCTATTTTTTACCCCAAACATACCCCCCAAAGGGTTTTTCGAAATTTTGACTCCTTCATAGTGGCCCTGCTTCGTGATACACCCTGTATATAAATTTTGTTTCAGACGAGCTCAAGCAGCCTTTTTATAAAAACAGTACATTTTAATGGCATTTACATCACAAAACGGTGTAAATATAAATACTTTGAAACTGCTTGAGAAAATTGGTTTGACATTGCTAATTTGTTTGAAAAATGGAAAAGAAAAACCAGAAAATGAAGGGAAAGGCTATTTAAAAAATTTGTTTTCACTAAGATATACATCATTCCCAGAAACTTTTCGTTTATGCTAAGCTTGCAAAACATTCGGTAGCGAATCAGCTATTACTGTGTATTATATAGGATCTATATAACTTCTATGTAACTTCTTTATAAGGTCAAAAAAAAATTGTTGGGAGTGATCACAGTTAACTAACTATAGTAGTCTATAGTAACTAAATATAATTGACTAAAGTCAACTGTAGCCATAGTTAGCCAAAGTGTCTCACTAATGATACTAAAATTGACTATACTCAATTGTTTTACAAACAAAATTTCAATAATTATGAACTTGCCTTTTGATTTTAGGGTCAATAGTAACATATTCATTTTTTCCACAAGACCAAACGAACGAGTATTAAGAAAACCACACTGTTTTCATGCTTTTTTAGGTAATTTGGGTAAAATCAAATATCTACTTGCACATGGAGCTAATGTGAACGTCGAAGATGGAGACAAGCGTACACCTCTACACAGGGCTGTTATGGCGGGTAAATCTGAGCTTTTCGAATTGTTTCAATAAAAAACAATTTTATCACATTCAATGCTTTCTAGATCACACAACTGTAATCAAAACTCTCATCGATGCGGGAGCAGATGTAAATGCCACATCTACAGATAAAAATACACCGCTTCATTATACCGCTGAATGGGGTTAGCGCACCCTTTTTGAATTTTGAAAAATAAACGAATTTTAATCAAACCACTTTTTCGCATTGGTTGTAGGTAACACAGAAGCGATCAAGTACCTAATCGACCACCGAGCCAACGTACATGTGCAAGACAATCACAAACGTACACCTCTTCATCGTTCTGCACAAAATGGTAACTATTTAGCGATTGTGTTGTAAAATAAATGAACATCATTAATTCTCATGCTTTCTAGGCCAAACAGAGGCAGTCAAAACTTTAATCGATCATGGAGCCAATATAAATGCCGAAGACAATGAGCAGAAGAGTCCGCTTCATTACGCTGCCGACAAAGGTCAGAAATAAGAAAAAAAACATTTTCAAAGAATTTCAAGCTAATTTTTTCATGCATTTTAGGTCACATGGAAACAATCAAAATTCTAATTGAACTAGGAGCCGATGTGGATTTGGGAGATAAGAAGCGAAACACACCGCTCCATTGGGCTGCTGAGTATGGTAATTTTACATTGTTCCGAATTGTGAAGAATTATTTTTACATGAAGTTTTTTCTCACCACTCTTTATGCTTTTTAGGCTATACAGATGTAGTCAAATATCTGGTCGAACATGGAGCCAATGTAAACGGTGACGATAGCAAGCAATTAACACTCGTTCACTCCTCCGCTGCTAATAATGGTAATTTTACATGTTTCCAAAGTTGATAGGAATCATTTTTACATGTAGTTTTTTTCTCACCACTTTCTATGCTCTCTGGGCCATACAGCATTTGTCAAATATCTAGTTGCTCATGGAGCTAATGTGACATCGGAAGCTGAATCCAAATATACACCGCTTCATCGGGCTGCTCTGAATGGTAATTTTACATGTTCCTGAATTCTAATTATCTTTACATGTAGTTTTGTTTTTGTATGCTCTTAGGCCATACAGATATAGTGAAATATCTAGTTGATCATGAGGCCGATGTAAATGTGAAAGATATCAATAAAGCAACACCACTTCACATGGCTGCTGAGAGTGGTAATTGTACATTTTTTTCTCAAATATAAAATATTCGCATATTTGCAATTTATTCGGGAATATTTGGAAGCGCAGCATATTCGCTATATATCAGTGCATGTCATATTGTTTGCTACAGGGGTTTTATATATGGTTCGTTTGCCGTATATGTGTCCGCATGTTTGCTTGCTTGCCGTACAAAAGATGACGCAGGCAAGCAAGTTGCTTTTAGTAAGCAATATGACATTCACTGCTATATATTCGGAATATTCATTTTGGTCATAAGCTCCTAAACTTTTCCGAATTGAGCAGAAATATTTTTATATGAAGTTTTTTTCTCTACACTTTTTATGCTCTTTAGGCTATACAGATGTAGTCAAATATCTAGTTGATCATGGAGCTAATGTAAACGTGGATAATTACAAGCAAATAACACCACTTCACGGGGCTGCTGAGAATGGTAATTTATGTTTAATTTACTTAATTAATTTACATGTTTCTGAATAGATCAGAAATATTTTTACTGGAAGTTTTTTTCTCACCACTTTCTATGCTCTTTAGGCCATATAGATGTAGTCAAATATCTAGTTGATCATGGAGCCAATGTAAACGTCAATGATAACAAGCAAACAACACCTCTTCACTTCGCTGCTCAGAATGGTAATTTTACGTGTTTCTGAATTGATCAGAATTATTTTTACAGGAAGTTTTTTTCTCATCACTTTCTATGCTCTTTAGGCAATATAGATTTAGTCAAATATCTAGTTGCTCATGAGGCGGATGTAAATGCGGATAATATCCCCTATAAAGCAACACCACTTTTCGTGGCTGCTGTGCTTGGTAATTGTAATTTTTTCCCTAGGGATAAATTTATTTTCTCAAATATGAAATATTCGCAGCATATTCGCATAATTGCAATTTATTCGGAATAAATTCGCTATATTCAGTTTGGTCATACACCCCTAAACTTTTCCAAATTGAAAATAATTATTTTTACATGAAGTTTTTTTCTCACCACTTTCCATGCTTTTTAGGTCATACAGATGTAGTCAAATATCTAGTTGAACATGGAGCCAATGTGAACTCGGAAGATGCATCAAAAAGTTCACCACTTCACTGGGCTGCTAGCAATGGTAGTTTTACATGTTTCTGAGTTGAGAGGAATTATTTTTATATGAAGCTTTTTTCTCACCACTTTCTATGCTTTTTAGGCCAAACAGATGTAGTCAAATATCTAGTTGAATATGGAGCTGATGTGAATTCAGATTCTGCTCATAATGGTACACCGCTTCTTTCAGCTGCTAAGAATGGTAATTGTACCTTTTTCTGAAAAATTCATTTAAATATAAGTCTTTTGAAAATATGTTTTTGAAAAAATGTAAATTAGTGTTGAAGGATTTTAGATTGTGTGTATTTATTTGTGAATGTGTTAGTGCTTGCCTTTTTTGTGTTATTATTATAAAAATTTGGTTTTACTAGATGGCGTTGGTGTGCGAGAGAGAAAGAGAGAGTGTGTGTGGGTTTGTGGAATTGTTTTTGTGGTTGTGTTGGTAGTTGTTTTGTTACTCGGGCATAATCTCTGCGTGGCAACGGCCTAGTACAGTCGGCAGCATATTTTGTATGGTGGTGTTACATTTCAATAAGTTGTGAATAGAAGTCTCGCTTTCATTCTCGGGCAATCATATATGCTCTTATGTTCAGCGTACACAAATATACGCTCTTCCCTACGGTCTCTAAATAGTCCCGTGGTGATCGGTCTCTTATTAGTCCTGATGTTGGCTTCTCAAACCATTGTCTTAGGTGCGGAGCTCTATTTATACTATGGGTAAAATGGTTTACAGGGTGATTAGCAAGTTTTATGTTGTATAGAATGTATATAAATGGCGCGCGCATGGATTTTATTATTTTGTGATGTGAATAATTAGTGTTTTGTTTTATATGATTTTTTGTATTTGTCTACTTATAATATATGTGGGTTAATTCGTACATCAACAACATGAAGTTTTTTTCTCACCACTTTCTTTGCTTTTTAGGCCATTTGGATGTAGTCAAATATCTAGTTGAACATAGGGCCGATGTAAACGTCGATAATTACAAACAAATAACACCACTTCTCGAAGCTGCTGCGGGTGGTAATTATGCCTTTTTTCAGAAGAATTTTTCAAAATGAAGTTTAATTTAATCACTTTTCATGCGTTCTAGGTCACACAGAAATAGTCCAATATTTAGTAGAACATGAGGCCAATGTAAATTCTGAAGATCACGAGCTGAGAAGTCCGCTTTACTGGGCTGCTAAAAATGGTAAATGGTATTTATTTTCAATCATGGGGATGAAGCGCATGTTTTCGGTGCTGGTTCTTCTTCTATGTGTACTATATCAGTAGTGTTCGAAGGTAGGGTAGGGCTCTTACCTTGTTTTCAGCTCTTCACTTTCCCCGAAATTTTTTTTATACTAGATAGAATGCACTTTTGCACACTACTGCTGTGTATATACGCGTTACGTACTAACCGCATACCGAAATAATCGACAGCAGTATAATATAACAATGCCACAACTAAGAACAAAAAACTTCACCATATTTGTGTATATATGTATATGCATTCCATGGAATATGTAAGTAGTTCCAAAAGGAGGTCGTTTATAACATAAGCTATGGAACAGCTATTTTAAAATATATGAGAAACCTATCAACACAATTGATGGTTGTAATGGAGTGTCAATACGACGTCTGCTGAAGAAGATTCAGAACCGACATAAAAGTAACCTAGGCGATTCATGCTCACGTTTTCAATGGAATTTAGTTTTATCACTTTCTATACATTGTAGGTCACAGTGAGACAGTCGAATACCTAGTCGAACATGGAGCCAATGTAAATGTCATACTCGGTAGCGGAGGAACGCTTCTCCACTATGCTGCTAAAGATGGTAATTCAATACTTCGAATAAATGAGAATTATTTATAGAAGAAATATAATAAATGTCACCCATTTTTTTATCATTTTTAGGTAACTTAAAAGCAACCAAAATGCTAATCGATCATAGAGCCAACGTGAATGTCAAAAATAATCAATCAACGCCCCTTCACTACGCTATTCAAAATGGTAAAACGAAAAGAGTGTTCCTTTTTACACCCCGCTTCTTATAATTTGTTTCAAATCAAAAACCATATAATTTTTTTATGAAGTTTAAATTTATCGATGGGGTTCTTTGTTTCAACCAAAAAATATTGATAGAGGGCTAGTACCTCGAACAAACAACAACAAGATATTGTATAAAAATTTGACAGTTTTGCCACCCATTGAAATTTATCGCTTTCTATACCTTTTAGGCAATATTGAAGTGATTAAGTATTTAATCGAGCATAGAGCCAACGTGAATGCCAAAAACAACGACAACGCGACACCTCTACAATACGCTGTTCAAAATGGTAAATTAACACTCTGGGTTAAAATGGAAACCCAAGGGGCGAAGCAGTACTAGATTCAATTCCACTCAAATCTCTTCAATTCCAAATTAAATTCCGTGTGTGTTTTAACTCATTTACTTCAGAAAATTTTGTCATGGCAGCAAAATGACACTTACGTGTATTTTTTCATTCTGATTGAACCAGGTGATACAAAAAATTGACCAGCATTTGAGAATTGAAGAAAAAAATAAAATGTCTTACATACGTAAGATGAACTTTTCCGCACTGTGATCCACAAAATGCATTTATTACATATCTTTTACTTGAATTTGAACTCACGAAAAACTGAATCTGACATTAGTTTTGCGATACACATAATTTTTGACACACTGTTTTTACAAAAATTACTTAAAATGGGAATTTTAGGATGGAATCAATGCTTGTGTGATATCTTAACGACGTGAAACTTGTCACAGGGCACAAAAAGCCGACATTCTGAAAGTTTGAAAAAATTACAATACAATTTAGGGGTACTTCCCATACAAAATTTTCGTAAAAATAACCTGTACAAAGTTTCAGCTTCATCGTAATTACGATATCATTCAGGAATGGCTTCCATGCAAAAATTAAATTTTTTTGAAATTTTTGTATGAAAAGTGTTTCGAAAATTATTTGTATCGCAAAACTAATGCCATATTCGGTTTTCTCGTACCCAAAAACCCCCCAAAACATATTTTTGAGTGTGTGCGGAAAAACTAGGTGTGTGCGGAAAAGTAAAATTAATTTTTTTTTTTTCATTTTTCACGATTTTCCACCATATGATGGGAGACTTTTATGAAAAACATGAGTTAAAACACACACGGACTAGAATTTAATTTGGAATTGAAAGAATTGAATCTAGTACTGTTCCGACCCTTGTGGAAACCTCTACATTTTATCAAATAATACAAAACCATAGAGTTGCCGTAAGCAACTGTAAAAAAGCGCTTGAATTAAAAGGATTTTCTTTACAGTTATTTAAATGACGCTTATTTTGATCACTTTCGATACTTTTTAGGCAATATTGAAGCGATAAAGTATTTAATCGAGCATAGAGCCAACGTGAATGCCAAAAACAACGACAACGCAACACCTCTTCATTACGCTGTTCAAAGTGGTAAGTCAATACTTTAAAGCAATTTTAATCGCTAAAATTTAAGTCAGTTTGTGGTCTTAATATCAAAATATAAACAATAAACACCTTATTAACCGCAAAAATCGAAATAAAAAACCAAAATTTTAACAAAGTTAGATTTTTATTAATATCGAATGCATTTCGGTTGACAAATGTGTAACCATCATCAGCGAGCGTCGAATGAGCACTAGAAAGACCAATGAGCGCTAATATCGTAGATTTTTCTTTATCGATTCCACCAATATGACATCTACTAAAAAACTTGCCGATTTCTGTTACTAGTGGTGTTTTAATACAGCTCGTGTAAACGTACATAGGAACACATAGACTCCGATTCTGTGTATGCGTATGTATTACAAATTCTGCACTCAGTCGTCAATCGTAGCTGCTTGTGCAAATGATCGGAATCAGTGTGTTCTTTTGTATTAGTTCGTCTGTAATACAGCCATAGCCGTATAGTTCGCTCGAGCTGTGTCAAAGCAACAGTAGTAACAAAAATCGGTATCTTTTTTAACAGATGTCGTATTCGTAGAATCGATAAAATTAATTTGTATGGGGAATATACGATACTAGTTTCCATCGAGAAAGACAAAGAGTGCATTTTTTAATGTAATGAAATTCTAATGCATGTATGACATCAAATATGAAATCACATCAAATATCCATGGCGAGCTATAATTGTAAAACCGAATTATTGTATTTTCTTTATTTTTGCATTTTCAAACTTAGTAGACAATTGACATTGTTTTTTCAAAAAATAAATCAGTTTCATTGTTAGCCTGAAGATGAGCACACGGTTGCTCGAAAACGTTTGCGTAATGCAAATAATTGCTAATAAAGCATAAATTTATTTACATCAGAATGAGAAGATATACTTTCATTTTATTTAATTATTTAAATAACTGGTGTAGTTGCTCAACAAAATAATTTTTGGTTAATAAGGTGTTTATTGTTTATATTTTGGTAAGTCAATAGTCTGAATTAATAGGATATATTTCCATTGGATCTTAACTCCACCTACTCGTGCTTTCTAGGTAACTTGGAAACAATCAAAACTCTCATTGAACATGGAGCTGATGTGAATGTCGAAAATATTGGTAATTGAACTAAGCCCGCCTAGATTTTTTTAGAATTATCCAAACCGAACGATCCAACATGACATTATTTCTGTTAATAAAACCGACGGAATTTCAAATAAAATCTGAGCGAAATCTGTTTTTTTATGTCATCCGGGCGTCTGAGCCGGGCTATTTTTTGGAAGAGTTTTTCTACGAAAATCAGGGCGAAGTCGAATTAATCCGGGCGACCTGGATAGCTTAAATTAACATTTTTCTGTATTGGGAAGAATTATTTTTACATGAAGATTAATCACTTTTCATGCATTTTAGAATAACTAACCCCAGAGACCTGTTTAGTCAATAACTTGACTTATTATCATCGTTTTTTTATTAAAACTAATTAGTTTTAGTTTTAGACTAATATCCTTAACTACAGTATAATTAGTTATAACTAACTATAAACAGGTATCGGAACTATCAAGTTTTTGAGACTTTTTCTAATCACACGTGGAAAGAATGAAAATATCAATATCGAGATAGGAACACCAATTCACTGGGCTGCTCAGAATGGTAACCATTAGGGTGGTCAAATCTCACTATCTTAACGGATTGTTGTTCCCCAACCGGTTTTGTTAATAATGAATTTTTTGCGTTTTTTTGTTAATAATTATTTTTCGAGTATTTTCAAGGCCAGATTTGGATTCAGCGCAAAAAATTACCCTAGAAATGATGGTGCATACGATTTCAAAATAATCTGCTTTATACACTTTTTTTGGTTTGAAAGTTAAAAAAACGAGCAAAATAAGGTATTTTTGATATGGGTGGGGTCGGGCCCTTTTTTTCCCTTTAAACAATGTAATGATGGCAGTTACCTAGTTTTGGATCAAAATTAACAAAACCGGTCGGGGAAGAACAGTCCGTCAAAATAATGAGATTTGGGCCACCCTAGTAACCATGAATTTTATTCTTATTCAATTCGGCGAATTGAGAAGAATTACTTTTACATGAATTTTTAACTCACCACATTCTATGCTTTTCAGGTCAAACAGAAGCAATTAAATATCTAGTCGAACATGGAGCCATTGTAGAGTCCAACGGTGACAAAGGAAGATCACCTCTTCACTGGGCTTCTGAAAATGGTAATTGCGTGAGAACAGTTTGAACCAACTCGGATGTCATTTCACTTCATCTCACATGGCATTATAAAGTTTACTCATTCATACGTGAGAGTGAGATGAAATAAGCTGGAAATGAACTGTTCCGAAAGCACTCATAATGTTGGATTTCGTTGGTTTTTCGATTTTTGAATCGGGAAAGCATACTGATAAGCTCTGGCCTTGTGCAGTTGCGTTAAATATCCAGATATTCCAAAATATATCGGATGGATATCCGAAATACATAGAGTGCTGAGAACATTTATTTTCAATGTTTATTACTTTTCATGCTTTTTAGGTCAAACTGAAGCAATTAAATGTCTAATTGAACATAGTGCAAATGTTAGCGCCATTGACTTTTGGGGATATACTTCCCTTCACCTAGCTGCGTTTAATGGTAATTCAACACTTAGAATTGAGATGAATTTTTTGCTATAAATGTTAATCTTATTACCTTCCATGCCTTTTAGGTAGTATAGAAGCAGTCAAATATCTAGTCGAACATGGAGCCAATGTCAATGCTAAAAATAGATACAAAGGTACACCACTTCATGCGGCTGCTAAAAAATGTAATTCAGCAAAATGAAATACGAAGAATTATTTTCAATGAATGTTTATCTTAATGTTCTTCATGCTTTTTAGGCAATGTAAAAGCAGTCCAATATCTAATAGAACATAGAGCAAATGTGAATGCCAAAGACACAGCTGAGAAAAAACCAATTCATTATGCTTCACAGTGTGGTAATTGATTTTTTTTTCGATTTGACTATACGAGGGCCACAGATCGCTAATTCCTGATCGTTACTGATCACAATCCGAAATTTGTGCATAAGCGTTAAAAACGTTTGAACGTTTTTGGTCAATTGAATATTCGAATATTTTATATACAATTGAAAACAATAAATGTAGGGTCAAACATTTCACAGGCGTACCGAAATTATGTCCAAACTGTCAAATAACAACGGCGTTCAGTGTAATCTATATACTAAGAAGTTGCCAACAACTTGTGATAACAGTTTTGCTTGTTTGCAAACAACTACAGTCGTCCAATACAGTTTTTCATTTTATACAATATTTTATGTGACATAAGTTCAGTGCGTTTACATGTTTTCTCTTAGGTCTAGAATCTTGAAAAATAGAAAAACAAATGTTGTGGCGAATTTTATTTAGAAAAAACTTAACTCTAGCGAACTCTAGTAACTGCATGAAAAAACTCAAATATTTTATTTTCCCAGATCATAGACATGTAGCCAAGTTACTGAGGAAAGCTCCCAACTTTGGTAAATAAAAATCACTGAAAGCTTTACCTTCATTTTGAAAACGATCCCTATTTGATTGATTTCTCTGTTATTTCTATTTTCTTTCTAAGTTTCCGAATCGCAAACAGCTTGCACAGAATATTCAAGCAATAATGTAAATATACGAATTACACATGGTGAGGCTGTGAATGTCATACAATTTCCTTGGATGGTAAGTCAATTTATTTATTTTATTTTTTTTGCATTTTTACTCCCCCTTTTGAAATGCTTAATACAGAAATTGACACTTCTTTGTTTCCATTTTCATTCAAAGGTTGCATTATTGTATCCAAGTACAAGCCGCAGGGAAAACGAGATTCGATGTGGGGGCACAATAATATCAGATCGTTATATTATGACTGCGGCTCATTGTGTACATGTAGACAAAGAACCGTCTCAAGTTCGAGTTGGAAAAGTGAGTAGATACTATTGCGAGTTTTCTAAGGAAAAAATTAACATTCAAAACATGGAATATGAAAGATTCTCACACTGAAAAATTACATTACTTAAATGAACTTCACAAAACTAAAAATATACTATTTTAGGATTGGCACTAAGCATATTGAAAAATAGATTTTAAGTTGATAGCTGAAACAAACAAGCAAACCGAAAACGATTTTGCGTGTATAATTCAAAATTCTTTTACTTTTCATTCAAATAGCTAACTGGTAATTATGATGATGGAATTGAAGGCGAAATCTATCTAATACAAGTAAGATCACTTAAAAATCTAATTTTATTTCTTTTTTTCATCATTTTCTTAAATAAATGCTGTTATTACATCCAGAATATTACAAAGCATCCAGAATATAATTCACTGACGATGAAAAATGACATTGCATTGATTCGAACTGAAATGAAAATTCAATTCAATGATAATGTTACAGCAGCGTGCTTGCACACAATAGAGGAGGATGTTAATTTTGAACTGATCGTAATCGGGTGGGGTGCCACTTTCAATGAGGGTAGTATAAACTTGTCATTATTTATGAGTGAACATGAAACAATTTTTGTCCAATTGTTTAATGCAAATTTATTTAATTCTCGCTTCAAAGGACCCAATTCAAACAAGTTACTCATGACGAACTTAACATCAGTGCCATTGCTCGAATGTAATGCAACTATTTTGGAATGGAATAAAGAATCAAAGTTAAGCGAGTTTCAAAATGGTATCAGCGAAGGACAATATTGTGCAAATGATCCAGAAGGACGAAGAGATTCCTGCCAAGGAGATAGTGGCGGGCCTCTTCAATATTTCCCGAACAGTAATTCAAGCAGATCGACCATAGTTGGCATTGTTTCATTTGGTGTAAATTGTGCCACCACACTACCAAGTGTCTATACTCGTGTTGCTTATTACATTGATTGGATTGAATCCATCGTTTGGCCACCCGCATAAAATATTTAAATATTATAAACTGCCGTAATATAGCTTGAAACTATGATGCAGTCCAAATATATACTTTTTTATTTTATTTTTTGAAAAAAAAGAACAAGAAATCATCACATAAAATACGCAAAACTGAAAGTATGACTCAAATTTCTATCAAGAACTTGTTTATAGATAAACTGATTAAAAGACTATTTAAAGTATCAAACTGGTAACATTGTTTTAATACTCAGAAATTTGTGGAAAAACTGAACAGCATTTTCTTGCTACAAGAGCTCAAAAAAGCACAACAATAATTTATTGACATTTTCGTTTATAAATAAACTTAATGTTGAATGGATTTATTTTTTTATTTAATTATTAATAAAGCAACCCGCTTTCGCGATATTGTAAGACATCGGCTAAGACAAAGACAATACTCATGATATGTGTTGTGATTTGGATTAATTTGAAATGATTTGAATAGGTTTAAAATTACCAAATCAAAGCATTAAATTCCATTTCAACAATGTTTCTTAGATAGGATAGACCCATAAGATCGTTTTAATACTGGATGCATACGCTAAACATATACAATACGTCGACACGCGTTAAATGAATTTTTTTGTTAGTTCGGTTGTGGGATAGTTGTTGATAACGACCAGTCTACAGTGAATCTAATTTTTTTGATAGACAAAATAACAATAAAAGTAAGCAGAGAAACTCTCCATTGGCATAGGATTTATATACGAATGGCGTGTGAGTGGAGTGTGCCATGCTTAATGTTGTCTACCAAAAATATTAGACTCAGTGTATGTATTTCGGATGGATATCCATCCGAGATATTTTAGAATATCTGGATATTCAACGCAACTGCACAGCGCCAGAGCTGTGTGCGTCGCAAATAAAATCTACGGTATGTCGCGACGTATATGTGTATCAAGTGTCGCACGTACACAGTCACACTGTGTCTGTATTTTACGTGTAGCGACATACCGTAGATTATATGTGCTACGCACACAGCTCTGGCTCTGTGCAGTTGCGTTAAATATCCAGATATTCTAAAATATCTCGGATGGATATCCATCCGAAATACATAGACTGATAACGACAAAAGGAACTATAGTGAATTTATAAATATTAAATGACCTGAAACATGTTTAATATTAAAATCTAGATTAAATTAACTCATCTTCTGACTCTCGTTGATGCTATATGCATGAAAATGAAAATCTTCAATAAAAAAAATTATGTTATGCTTCAAATTTGAAGGTTTTTGAAAGTATTTAGTAAATCTTGGGTATTGCAGGACCTGCAGGTAACATTGCAAATTTGATCCTTGTGGATACAATTTTGAAGTGCAATTTCAAAGCAAATACATCCACTGGATGCCATCCAGTGGAAAATGTCTTAACAATAATATACTAACCGTTATAATTGAATAAGGAAGTTTTTTTTTTTAATTAGCTCATATTTTTTTGCAAATATATTTTTATTATTGTAGCATGCATCAATATTTATTAATTCCAATTTATCGATTTTATTAAAAAAAAATCTATGAAAACAAACAAAAGGGAACCAATAAGAAATATCAGCCACTCATCAACAATGGCGGCACATAGAATGTACTTTGAAAATAAATTGTAGTAAATAATTTTACTGTGGATACCAATGCTATACAAATGTTACAAGTTCTTTAATGTCGACAAACACAAACTTTCTTTGCATTGCAATAGCCACCGCGAAATCCTTTACCGATGCAACCCGCAGCACAGGCTGTTGCACTGAATGGTGAAAACGAGAATAAATCACAGGTAGCACGTTTCTGACGTAATCCACGTTGAACAGATGCAGAATGAACCTCGACCAATGACTGATGGTCAGCTCCAGATTCATCTACCAATATAGGCCGATAAGAGGAAGAAACGTTAAGCTTTTGTATTAAATATGAAAATATGTTAAGGAATAGCTTCGATATAATCACTGATTTTATTCAATTGTACTTTAATTTTATTAAATTTCCACAAAAATATTGATGCAATTATCATGAAGTCACTATCTTCATCTCAAAAGTCGTGAATGCGGTTCTTTTTAACAAATGTTTAGTCATTAAAATTGGAATGTTTGATTGTTTTTCTCACCGATAGATTCAAATGGTACATTGAATGATGCGGCAAACGAAGAGACAGCGAATAAGACGACTGCTACAAAGATTGCGACTAACTTTGAATTCATTTTTTTTAAATGATTTTCTTTTTCCTTAACGATTTGAATATTCGTTTGCTTGATAGCAAATTAATACTGTTGCTTTGGCCTCATTTTCAAGAAATATTTATAGTTAAAATCCGAACCGTTTCTAAAGTAAATATTTTTTAAAAAATTACCACTAAATGATCAGTTATGGGTAAATTTGAAGCTATGGCAAATGGAATATTTTTTAAAAATATTTGTTTTCTTCAGAAACTGTTCGGTTCTCGGAATCTCTTCGCAGTTTCTGTCTGTTATATATGTAAATACTGATTTTAATTTCAATTTATATTCGCTTCCCAAATGATTAAAATGTGGACTTACGTGAAGATATATATGCGGGGCTGTGCGGAGCAGTGTTGATTTAGACGAAAACAATTTACGTATTTCATGTGATTTTTTATTATTCGTCTGCAAAACAGATTACGCTCAAATTGATTCACATTGTATAATTTTCATGAGAAAAGGTATATTTGCCACTGAAACTTCTACCGAAAGAGACTTAAACGGTGGCCTCGGTCGATCGACGATTATTTGATTAATGGAATCTATTCATATCATAATTTTAAGAAATTGATAAAGTAGACCTCTCTTTCTGATTCCGTTTTTTAAAGAAATTGTCAAATTTGCCCATTTTGGAGAAATATTTTTGTTAAATCTCACAATTTCTTTAAAAAAAAACTGAAACGGGAAGGGAGGGAACGGTCTACTCGATCAATTTGTTAGAAATAACAAACGAATAAACTCCATCAGTCAAATTATCGTCGATCAGCAGATAGAATAAATTGGCTACCGTTTGAGTTTCTTACGGTAGAAGTTCCATTAAGAATTCATGTGAAAATTATACGTGATTCACCTTTTTTCATGATAATTATACAATGTGAATCAAATTCAGTATAGTATGTTTAATATGCAGTCGAATAATGAAAAAATCACATGAAATACTATATACAAATGATAGTACGTCAATTTAATAAATGCATATGTATTCAAAAGCGAAAATAAATAACTTTTGCTTTCTTGCACAATGAATAAATCGATTTAAATAATTTCAATTCTATTTTTAAAGTGATACGCAACGAATAAATAACATTTCATTTGCATTCATAACAGACAGACAGTCTATCTTATCAAGAAACGGTACAAAACCTTTAACACCTCATGTTAAATTAGTAATGCAATTGGCAATTAAATATGACGTACTCTTATATTTTTTGTTATGTTAATTCAAACAGAAAAATCCCCTCTGGAAAAGAAAAATCCCCTCGAACATTTTTTCCTTTTTTTCTTTCATCAGAAACTGCTCGATGTTTCGGGATTCCCCGATGATAAGACAATGGTAAGAGTTAATGCTTGTAATGGGATCCCCAGATTGAAGTTGGTGTTATAAAGTTATGTTTAAGATAGGTTCATAACTATAAATACTTCTTAAAAATGAGTCCAAGGCAACAGTTTTAATTTGCTCTCAAGCAAACGCACATTGAAATCGTGAAGGAAAAAGAAAATTATTTTAAAAAAATGAATTCAAAGTTAGTCGCAATCTTTGTGGCAGTCGTCTTATTTGCTGTCTCTTCGTTTGCCGCATCATTCAATATGCCATTTGAATCTATCGGTGAGAAAAATAATCAAACATTCTAATTTAATGACTCAAAATTTTTTAAATAGCGACTTCATGATAATTGCAGCAATATTTTTGTGGAAATTTAATCAAATTAAAATCAGTGTTACAATTTAATAAAATCAGTGATTTTATCGAAGCTATTCCTTAACATATTTTCATATTTAATACAAGACATTAACGTTTCTTCCTCTTTTCGGCATATATTGGTAGATGAATCCGGAGCTGACCATCAGTCATTGGTCGATGTTCATTCCGCATCTGTTCAACATGGATTACGTCAAAAACGTGCTACTTGTGATTTATTATCGTTTTCTCCATTCAGTGCAACAGCCTGTGCTGCAGGTTGCATCGGTAAAGGATTTCGCGGTGGCTATTGCAATGCAAAGAAAGTTTGTGTCTGTCGACATTAAAGAACTGGTTGGGCCGTTAAGACTTTCCGTTGCTGACTCCATTCCCGCTTTAATTTTTTTAAGAAATTAACTCAAATTACTAGTAAAATTTTCACCTTAATTTTTGTATATTGTTTTGATTTGGATGCAAAATAAAGTTGACTTGATGAAATGTAACTTCCAAGCTATTAATTTGTTTTGTTTTAAAGTAAAATATATTTTGTTTAATAACCACCTTCAAAATTTAAATAGCGTGAAATGAATTTTTCGTTAGTCGTCAACTTTTTGTCAGTTGTTGATAATGACGAACAAACCTACCGAATGTTTTCGAAAAGAAAATGCAGAATAAAAAGATCCAATATAAACAAAAATTAAAATCTAGATTAAAATAACCCAGATTCTGACTCTTGTTACTGCTATATGAATAAAAGTTAAATATCTCATTTTGAGCTCTAAATTTGAAGGCGAATCTATCTAAGTTTTGGTAAATATTGTGTGTTACCTTCAGGCGTTTGATGCATCCGGATGTAATTTTGGGGCTCAAAATGTATCCATTCTTAAATGTCTTAACTATATATACCAACCTTTATAATCAAAGAAGTCCATTGCTCGCTCGTGGTCAATTTTTAAATAAATACCTCAATTCATTCATTTAAAATACTTTTATTATAAACTAATTAACATTCTTAAAATAATATTAATCTAAAATAGCATCAAATCAAGACTTGTTTTTTAAGAAAAAATCCGATAAACTTCATCTAGAACTTCATGTTCGTTAAGTTGCGTGAATTGAAAAGTTTAATTAAAATGAATTGAATGCGATTCACATATTATAAAACCATATCTATTCTATACATGTTGTGTACGCATTACGATTATGTTTCGCTTAACTCCAGCTCAAAATTAGACCTTCAATAACATCGTAAATGGTTAGTGTTTAAATTACACCCGAAAATGGATGAAGATCACGTGGCGTTGACAAGCGATGAGAACGAAGACTTCGTCGGAATGCATTTGATTTTGGAAAAGACGTTCGACGCGAAATTCTCAAACAGCTTACATTCTTCAGCGAATCTTCATAGCTATCACTAAAAATAAACATGAAAAGAAATGAAATGGCTGTAAAATCAAATAAAATTAAACATTTTCAAGAGATTGATGTAAAAGAACTGCAAAATCTCGAGTAGAATAATGCAAAGAGTAAGTTTAAAATTGAAAATGAAATTATTCAGTTTACCTGCTTTCTTCTCCGGCATTACAAACGTGCGCACCTGCCGCTGCATATCCGCATACACATCGCTTAGTTCGTTTTTCATTAATCATTCGATCACGTAAGTTTTCACGCTGTGAACTGCGCATCAATTGAACTAGTTGCTTATTTGAACCGACATTCATTTGTGTGGTCAACCCCACACCAGAATCACAACCACTCGAATGTATAGACGGTACTGATGTATCCAAATTGTTGACATTCCTGTGTTAAATCATTAAATTTAATCATATTTTGTATATGAGAAAAGAAAAGCAAAATTGTCTTACTGATTCTGATGTTGCAGTGGATTGTATTTGATGCATCGATTTTCATGGTCCATCAAATTGAAGTTTGAACTTAAAGCGGGCTGGGATAACGGCACATCAATAAAATCATGTCGTCCATGCCCACTGTGACGATCTCTATGGTTTAAAATTGATTTTGTTTTCATATAATAAACAAATTTGCAAGATGTATCACAATGAATTAGAATTTGTTAGCAAACAATGCACAAAAACAACATTTCGACATCATTTTCACGCACGACTTCTTATAATGAAAAAAATGACGATTTTGAATGTGTAATGAATAAATTTCTAATGAGCTACATTGTTCTGACAGTAAATCGATTGACAAGCAAATAAAAAGATGAATACCATTTTCAATCAGTCTATATTTTAGTCTGAAAAACGGCACATTTTGATGTTTTGTACACTCATGAAGAACGCAAAAGAAATCATAACAATAATTGCCAATGCCATCAAAAAATATGTGTTGTTGATGTGCAAAACACAGAAAATACTCGGGTTATTACAATAAAAACAAATAAATGAACCTTTATTTTGTGATGATGGTGCGAGGGACAAATTTTGGATGAAAATTATTTACGATTACATATACATTGTATTGTTGTTTTATTAAATAACGTTAAATTCTATAAATATCAAATTTTTTCTATCAGTTACTATAAACTTTGTACAATACTGTTGTTGTTGCAGTCTAGATCTCTTCGACATTGCACAAAATCTCATCAATTTATTTACCATAAACTTTCGTATAAATCAAATCAATGCTTTTATTGGCAAATGTTTACGTGATGATTTTGGATTGATATGTGTGATGTCTTCTTAATTTTGCATTTTGCCGAATTCGAAAAAATTTCTCATTTTCTTCTCTCTCTCTTTTAGTGAAATTATAAATCATTTGAAAAAAAAAATCCATTTTGGCAAATTTGTTATTTCTAACTAATCAGATCTCAACAATCTGTTTAATTTTGAATATTGATGGATTTTGAATATGAATGGCTCAATAAATCATCCATCGCACACTTTTTTCCAACTTTTTTCTTTGAATCGAAACGATTAATAATAAGTTTGTATTTTCCAAAATTAAATGGAAGAATATGCAAGTAAGCTAACTTAATTTCACGATAATAATCTCTTTGTGAGTATATATGTGTGTGTATGTGTTTATTATTATTTTAAATAGTGCCTTTTGTTTTCTTAGTGCTTAGCCAGTATATTATTATTATTAAGTTCTACAGTCTACATTTTTCGAGGGAAATTGGAATATATGATACTGTGAAACGCATTTATTTACTTATATTTGCTTTTATATCATTGGATTTTGGATGCTCAATATCTTTGCGATTAACTGAGCATATTTGGCTGAGCAATTTGCGTAATTCCTGCACAATGTATGCACACTGCACCAGGTGATCGGCTATATGTTTTGTATCACAGTACATGCGCTACACAAATTGCTCAGCTATCGCACTGATGTTGAGCATTCAAATCGCAATGTGACTGTTTTATAATCAATGTGCCGTAAAGCATTTGATTTATTATTTATGCTTGACAAAAAGTGCAACTAAAATAATCCATCTAAATAATTAAATGCTAACGATCTACATTTGAGTGTTCTTTTGGATTTTGTTTTTTATTTTCCGAAAAACTTTTTTTTTCATGAAATTTCTTCATTTTCGATCGAAATGTGCAAAGTGCTAATATTATTTGTATGTGCAATTGACATTGGTGAAAAATGTCTTAATGAAACGTACACATTTTTTTGTAAATTTATTTTCAACATTGCGGAAAAAAATAAATATATAAACTACATCTTGACATCTGTTCATTTTTGTTTTTCTCATTCGGTCAAGGCAGGTCTTCTCTGAGGATTATGTAAATATACGGAAATTTGAATGTTCAAGGCTCTGAGTGCATGAGTCTTTCTCTCTGAGACTAACCTTGACCGTTGGAGTGTTAAATGTTCTGCCTATCAGTGCGTTGAACATGGTCGGTTAACTGCTTACACGAGATGAGAACGTTGAACAAACAAAACGAGTTTATCTCACAATTTTTTTTTTTTTTTTTTTTTTGAATTAAAAATCATGCTTCTTTATAATTTGGAATATTTTTTTAAGTTTAGTTATATTTTGTACGTTTGACTTGTGGCACATTTATTTAAAACAACAAAGAAAGAAGAGAAGAGTGTGTGGTAAAGATAAGATAATATATTCGATCGAAAGATATGTTTATCTTATCCAAATTTTAATCCTACCAAACACTGTGAATTTTGTTTCATCCTCCAATTGACTTTTTACACATCAGTCAAGGTGCAAAAGTGGTTGGACCAATTTCACTTGGATGTTAGTCAGTTTTGTAAGTGATTTTACGTTTCATATTTTTTTGTATGACTACTGCCATTGAATGTGTTTGATATAAATCAAAAATTTCATTTCAAATAAAAGAGGTATTGCAAAAAAAAAAAAACGACTGAATGCAAAATCAGTTCGAATTGTGTGCAATAATTGTATAATTTTTTGTTATTATTGATTGTACCAATTTACGGAAGATATTTTGAAATTGGTGTTGAAACTGTCTGAATTTCATTGAATTTGATTGAAGCCGTTATCTTATCGAGATGTAAGGAGCAAAAATGAATGAATCATTTTGAAATGTGAATGTTATAATTTAATGCAGATATAATTTAGTGGCAGATTTAATATTTGATGACGAATTTAAGTTAAAAAAAAGTCAAATGAGAAAATTAAACGAGTGTTAAATTCTATGAATTTATGAGTGCTTTAACGCCTATGTACTAGTGTCCTTTTTTGATTATTTGCAATTTGTATTATTATCTCACCGTTTATATCGAACGCAAACCACGCAAAATGCGGTCGCCAAGCCCCCGGTGAACACGACAATGGCCAATATAATTGTGGCCAATTCGGATGTTTTTAAATTCGAGCCTTTGTATGTGGTTTGCGGGATTCTGGCATTGAAACTTTGGTATTCGCCCAATTCGGCCAGTCCAAGAATGCGCGATGTTATCGTTAAATTGCTCATTGAAATCGAACTCATTTTGCTTAAAAAAAAAAAAAAAAAAACGATTTTTAAATATACTATCGTGGAAACGATGGAAAAGACAAGAAAAAAATGAATCAACCTTTGCAAAACGTCCATATCGACAACTGTATTTGATCGAGGATCCACTGCATACAGATAAACATCAGTGCTGTTATTGTGAATAAAACAAAATCAGCTTTATTTCACTTTAATTTTTAAAATTCTGCCCAAAGATACACTTACGCTGGCTGATAGTTATCGCTCATGTGCGGCTCTAACATTCGGATTCGTACATCGAAGTTCGTTAAATCGCTGAGAGAGCTGGTCAAATTCTTAAGATCTTTTTCGATATCAACCGGTGTTCCTGCCATTACCAAACGTACGTTACGCATATCATCCAGAATGTATACCTTTGAAAATTATTTAGTGTTTTATTTTTAGTTCAATGAATTCGAATAAAAATTCAAGCTTTCGAATAGAGTTCTTTTAAAAATGAGATGAGAACCATACATGGGCGTCAATTCTTTCAATTTCTTAGGACTTTTGACGAGAGAAAGACTTTTTCGATTGTCCCAAATTCCTCAAACAACAACCCTCCCCCGTAATCAATTTTGATCCAAGTCAGATGAAAAATCACTTTTTGCTAAAAAAGAAAAATTCTTCTTTCGATTTTATGTGTGGATCCCCCCTTAACGACCATGTATGATAAGAACTCAATAATATTATCCATAAAAAAAGTACACGTACAAATACATTAACAATCGCACTTCGTCCATCTTCTGCGCCTTTTCGATCGGTCGCTTTAACATCAAATCCATAAACGCGTTGATCATTCGCAATCGGACCAATGACACGAATATTGCCAGACATTTCATCAATTTCAAACAGTTTTGTTGGTTCGTTCAATAAACTGTAACGAATTTCCGAATTAAGGCCAACGTCGTCATCAGTTGCCTCGACTCTTGTAACTGGATAGCCAAAATTGGCTGTATTTGGTATGACAGCAACGATTGGCTTTCCATTGCCAATAAATTTAGGTGAGTTATCATTTTCATCGGTCACACGTACCACAATCTATAAATAGAAATAAAACATTATATCACTCTGGAATCTGAAAATATCTATATCAAATTATGGCTATCGAACCCGATGGTAAAATGACGGATTTTATACGAATTACTTTGCGAATAATTCTGTATGCGTAATTAAATGCATCTTCACTGCAATTCATTTTGTATGAAAAGAGACTTCAATATATATATATATCTTTTACTAGTTAGTCGAAATCGTATCGGAAATTCAGGTTGTTAAATAGACACAGCATGCCTTTTAGCAAAGCAACATGATTGAACGTATAGCGGTACATTCAACATCACTGACTAGCACGCATCGCACTTTATTTTACATATCAGGCAAAAGCGCTCAATTTCAACACATACATTGACTTCGATTCAGCATTTCCAAGTGCTACCATTCAAGATTGATTAACGATATTGTGTATAGGCTTAACCAATATGTACGATATACCGTTGTTTATAGAATATATTTCGCATATGCCGTTTTGCACACAGCATACCGATCAATTTTACTACTAGAAAATGTAATCTGCAATACATAGTTTAGCCAGCAGGAAAAAAAAGAAACATAGAAATCGGAATGCCGCACACATTATCTCACTAGGATTGATGAGAATCACTTGTTTTTCTTTTCGATATATTTTACGCTCTTTTCCAATTACAACAGAAACGTGTTTATAACATTGGAATTCTAAGCAATATAATGAACGCGATAACGATCATTGATAAAAAAAAATAGGATACGAAACAAATTCATACACTCTCAATCTCCATCAAGATTCCATCAAAAATCTTGATTAAAATATTCCTAGATCATTGTGATGCAAAATGTAACACATCATAAAATCATGAATTCCAATTTAATTAAAAAAAACATTCCAAAACACTCACCCGAACTTCGTTATCCATTAAATCGCCAATGCGTTCGTCTGTAATTGGGTACATAATCGATGCGCGACTTTCACGAAAAACTGGATCGGCGCGCACTTTAAGTCGATATATATCTTGGAGTTCTCGATCTAAACTTCGCACCAACCACAATGTACCGTTGTGTGGATCGATACGAAATTCTCGATTTCTCTCCGTTTCGGTTGTAATCGTCCATTTAAATGATTTTTCACGATGAAAATGTGTTGCATTTATTTGCAACAACATTGTCGGCACCACATTATTTTCGGGCACTTCAATCTCATAGTATTTGTGATGAAAGAAACTATTGCCGACAATTTCTTCATAGTCACTATCTACATTACTGGTTCCTTGTAAGTTAACGATGAGCAATGCAACCGATGATTTGGACGGTGTTCCCAAATCGGATGCAATTATTGTTAAATTAATATGTTCATATAGATTTTGATATCGATTGAATCGTGCAATGGTCGTTATTACACCGTCACGTGAATCAATTTCAAAGAAATATGGTAGACTATTGTGTCGCAATGCATACATTACCAAACCATTACCATTGCCCGAAAAATCTTTGTCAATGGCCGTGATTTGCTTAACATACGTTCCAGGTTCTGTATTTCGATTCAAATATGCTTTGTATACGGGCAAATTGTATGGTAAATCTTCATCGTTTATCGATTCAATTATTTCATCGGCATCTGATATTCGACGACCGTAACCACCGTTTAGCGTAAGCATTTCATCAAAACCAGTAAATATTGGCGCATTATCGTTTACATCCATGACATTGATTTCAATTTCTACCGTCGATTTCATTTGCACTTCCTTTTTACTATTATCACTTGCAATCACTTTGAATTCGTACAGCGATTTCATTTCACGATCCAATTCACCATTGACTTTTAATATGCCCGTCAATGGTGTTATGTAAAATGGATGCGATTCATTGCTTACTAATGAATATGTTATATTTGCATTGTCACCGTAGTCCTCATCGGTTGCGGCGATTTTTCCAATTACCATATGCATGTAGTAACCTTCACTTATGTCAAATGTATACCATGGCTTTTCAAACACTGGCGCATGATCGTTTACATCAATTACCTGAAAATTTAAAATGATATAGTATTCAATTATGCAATGGTGCTCATTAAATTTTATCCAGAATTTTTTATAATAATTTAATTGAATTTGCGTAACGGCAATAAAATTCAAAACCAATTAAGTTTGAAATATGTGCACGATCAAAATCGTCAAATTGATTGAGGGACTCGTGGGAAAAAGTTCAAATAACAATTTTTTATGAGAGAACTATGGCAAAAATATGTGTTGATAAGCGAAGCCAGAAATTTTGGAAGTTAAAACTACTTCAAAATAGGTTTAGTTTTGCTATTTTTTATGCTTTCGTGTGGCAAATTTGAAAAAAAAAATCTCAAATAAACTTCACTCTCTCAGAGAAGGGGGTAAAATCTCTAAGCATTTTACCGATGGTTTGAATTTGAAAAAAATTGTCTTGCTAGGGGGCCAAACCGGAAAACTTCCAGCGTGCATGTGTGATTGGTTTTTGCACGGAAGAAATGAAGAAAAAATTCCGAATTTTCCTAGGGTTTTTATCTCAATCAAAACACTGTGAATATTGCGTATATTAACTGCGAATATTCGCAAAATATTCGCAAAATACGTACATTCAATGCATGATTCGTAAAACATGCATAGTATATGTACTGTCGAATAATATATATTCGCAAACAGATAGTGTGTTGTAAAAATGAAATCCATCATTTCTAATAACTTCACAAGAAAAAAAAAATCTTGATCTCAAATATAAATGAACATTGTTTCTTACCTTAAATTTAATTAAAGTGGCATCGCTCAATCCGCCAGCATCAATGGCCGACACATTCAATATAATTTCAGCTTGTGCTGGTAATGGTCGTATAACACGTAGTTCACCGCTTGACTCATCCATTCCGAACAATTTTGTGGTGAACATTTGTTTGGCATTTGAACGTGGCACCGTGTGCGATTGTGAAACGATTTTATATGAAACTTGTGCATTATTTTCGTAATCATCGTCGGTGGCAGTGAGCCGAATGACGGTGTTACCAACTTCAATATTTTCAAGTATTGAAAAAATGGCATATGGTTTATCAAAATTGCGACGTCGTGAACGTGATCGATTCGATGTTGTTGTTGAACGTGTTCCATTTTTTCCAATGTCAATGTTCAATTGACGTGGCGTACCAATGTGTTGACCATCCGCCAATTGCATAATTTCATAGTTCATATTACTGGCGCTGGTCATAAGTGGATCGACATTCCGTACATGATGTCGAATCGGATAAGTTAATGTATCGGGTTCGGATCGATCGACAAAATAGACTTTTAAATCGTTTGGATAATCAAGAACCTCAACGTTTGCATCTTTAAAAATGGCAAGCTTATCAAAGATCGGTGCATTATCATTTGTATCAAGTACATAAAGTGTAAATTTAACTTCTGAACTTAAACCACCTTTGTCCCGTGCAATCACATTGAATTCATAATAACTTTGAATTTCACGATCGATAACATTTGGTCCAATATATCTGATCACATACTGTGGCACATTAATAAAATCATCCAAAAAACTATTGTTCGAATGTCGATTTGCGTGAATTTTTGATAGTGCACGTGCAAATCGTTGATTTCCAATTGAATAGGCTGATGTAAATTGATTGAGTAGATTCGATGTGGCATTTCGTCGTTCAATCGTAAAGAAATTGCTTCCTTCACCTTGAAGTGTTAAATCAAATACGGCATTATCATCAATATCACCATCGTGCACTAACATCTGTTGATCGAATGTCACTTCGGTATTAACGGGCGAATTTTCAATTATTGATCCCGAATATGAATGCATGTTAAAAACGGGCGGATTATCATTTACATCATCGACGTAGATAACAACTTGATAAATACCAGCACCAGTCACATAACCTTGAACATATTCAGCGATAATTGTTAAATAATAAACATCGCGCTCTTCACGATCCAATGGTTTAACGGTCATTAGTGTGCCATCATTTGTAATTGTTATCATATTATTGACATCATGTTGATTTGCAATGACAAATCGCAAACCACGGTGATTATTATTCGATTCATAACGTCGTTTCACTTGTTTACCAGATCGTGTAGTATTTTGTAGATTCGGAAAAGCTCGAGGTTTTTCGGTTTGCTTTCGTAATGGACGCGGCGTAACCAATATAACTTTTGACATTGATGTTGTGCTCGTATTTGATCTCCTGCTCGGTATATCATCCAATAAATTATCCAATGTTGTCATGTCGTGTGTCATTATATGTTCCGTGGTTGGTGTTTTATTTGATATTGATGATGTTCGCGATGTCACCGTAACCACTGTTGAACGTGTTGACACGGGATGCGATGTTACGCCTACTTTTTCCGTTTCAGATGCAATCATATCATTGTAGAATACAGACGGTGTTACTGACACATAAAATTGATCCTCCACGTTTACATTGCGATGCGTACGCTTGTATGGCACCGTACCTTTTTTTATCTTGAGTTTATTTTTATTAAAACGAGAATTTAAGTAACGCTCATGGCGTCCGGTTTGATTTGTCGATGGCGGTGCTGGAGTTGTTAGTGGTAGTCTCGTATTTAATGAACGATTTCTTTCTTCTCTCGTTACATTTTTGTAAATTAACTGACCAATCATTGCATCGGCCAAATTCTCACGAATATGGAATTCAATTGGATCGTTTATTGATCCTCTGGCATGGATTAAAATTAAACAACAATTTTTTAGTTAACAAACAATCAAATTGATTTTTTTTAAAGATGAAACGCTTTTTTAAATATAATTGCTAATTTAACAATCGAATATAATTTGTAAAATATCAAATCTTACCTCATTAATATGCGTGTTTCTTCGTCTGGATTGACAACATGAACCGTTACATTTGTAATTAAAACATTATCGTTATCGGTGACAATGCCTTGTTCTAACTCAAATACATCACCGCTCTTGGTGATTTGACGGCCTGATTTTGAGGTGTGTTTTGTCAGACGATGATTATTTGACCGTGGTTTTTCCGGTGAAAACTGTGAATTTAGTAATGAATTTTTTTATGGAAGGAAATCGATTAAATGAATTTCGTTTATTTTTATTTGGATGCACACGGGGACACAGTAAATTGTGCTTAAATTTCGAATGGACTTCCGTGTATCAAAATATTGGCTGACTAATTTGGGGCGTTTTAACTTTTTTTATGTTTTTGAGATATGTGATTGTTTCAAACCAAATAAAACGATTATTAAAGTCAACTTTGCATTCACATGACTAACATCCCAAAATACCCGACATGATGATTTGAAATTTTAATTTTTAACAATCAATTTAATCTATAATAAATACTCACGTATGCAGCAACCGCTTCAAATTCATATAATCTTCTGTCAAACTCCTTTAAGTCTCGAATAACCGTAACAATGCCGGATCTTTCTTCAACCGCAAATGGGACACCTTCTGAATATGAATGCAACAGGTCATACATGACATAGTCACCTCCATCCCAATCAAAATTTGTCTTAATATGACCAACGGAGTAGCCAACTGGAGCATTTGCACCAACCCAAAATTCATACGGAGCTCCAATAAAATCTAGCGATCCATCAAAGACTTTTGCAACCACTTCAATGGTGACCACAGCCAGTGAAAATCGACGTTCCGATGGATTTGCTGGCTACAAGTTGGATATAAAACGAAAATATTTTGCTTAAGTATATGAAAGTTTCTGTAGTATATGAAACGCTATGAACATAAAAGAATATCTGCTCACCTGGTCGCTGGCCTCAACAAATATAGCAAGTCGTCCCTTCTTCAATGTACTAGAAACAATCAAAGCTCCTGTCTTAGAATCCAATCTAAATGGAACCTGTCCGCCACCTTTTGGTTGTTGTAATTCATATAAAATCATTCCATTTCGTCCTTCGTCCGGATCTTTGGCGGTGATATAACCAACAATATTTCCGATCGGTGCCATTTGATTGACTTTAAATTCATATAAATTGCCCATATCAAATTGTGGTGTATTATCATTTGCGTCCAGAAGTGTAATTTCAATTTCGACTGAGCTTGGTTTTTGATTTTTCCATCCATGTGGCTCAACCTTTTCCACCGCTTGAATTGTAATTCGAATTTTTGTTCGAACTTCACGGTCTAATAGCTCTTGATCGCGTACGGTAATCCATCCGGTGCGTGGATCAATTAAAAATGCACCTTCTGGACTTTCTTTACTGATCATATATAAAAAATCAGCATTTTCACCCTGATCACGATCCAATGCATTCACTTGTAGTACACTAAAACCGCTTGGTAGATTTTCAACAATCGATATATTGTAAAATTCCACTTCAAATTCCGGTCGATTATCATTCAAATCGATAATTTCGATTTCGACACGTGCCACAGCCCGTTTAATCGGTGTATCGCGTTGACGGGCCTCAATTTGAAGTACAAATGTATTACCGGGCAATGTTTCTTCTTCCAAATCGATTTCGCTTGTTAAATAAACGACGCCAGAGTTTGGATTTATGGAAAATATATTTCGATCATTGCCCGATATAATGTCGTATATCAATGTTGTATTCATTGAATCTTGATCGTATGCCATGATTGGTGGTGAAAACATCAATGGTAATTTTATGTGCTGACCCTTTAAAAAATAGACATGGGAAACATTGCATTGAAAGTTAGTTGTTTTATATGCTTTTACACTTGTCTTTGCCAATCTTAGTCTTACTAAGTCAAAATTCATCTGATTATTATTTTTGACCAATTACGTAACTTTTTTTGAATTATATACCATTTTTTGGTATAATACAAGCATTTGTACTGTATAATTTCGACATGTATCATTTGGCTTTTGAACGGACACTTGTTTCTCAGCAAAGAATGAAGATAAACCGATTGTGCAAATGAAATTTAACCAATTCAAATAGTGTGCGAATTTTAACAATCTTAACTACCAAATCGAAGCTGGTGCAAGATTTCAGCAAAAATCTTTTTTTAACTTTTTAAAAATATCAAATTAAATTCAAAATCTGCTGTCATTTTGGATTATTAACATATATTTCAAATTGAAATTTTCACAATTCGTTCAAAATCTCGTGTGCCGCACATGCAAAAGATGGTGTAATAAATTCCATATTTCCGAACACTTGAAATGCACGGCATACTGTCATTCGAAATACATCTACACAATAATTGACACCTTGCCTCATTTCAAGCCGATTGTGTATTTAAATTCGCGTAATGCACATTTTCTCATGAGATCAAAGAATAGATAAAAATTAATTACAGATTTGAAATGATCCACTTCAATGCTCATTTCCAATTGAACATCCTACTTTTTACGTTTCTCGTCATATTGTTGCAAATTAGTGACGAATGAAAGTGATTAATATCGGTTAAAAGGTTGTGTGTAATTTGGTAAATGATGCTCAGTCTAGTTCCCTACAGCTGGCGGCGTTTGAAACAAAAAGATAATACAGGTCGGATAGTAAAAGTCGCATGTTCGTTGTAATTATGATATTATCTGAACAAGCTGTGAAATGGTGTACTTAAAACCGGAAACCTGACTCTTTCAATGCATCACTTTGTGTTTTTTTTCCATGTCAAAGCGAATGTTTTTCAATATACAAATATTTTTTAAGTAAATTCCAGAAATCAAAAAAAAAACGACAACGAAACAATTGAGATCAGTAAAAAAGAGATTCGCTTTGGAGTAATTTGTGGCTGAAGAAAAGAAAAACAGACACAGAATGAGTGTTTAACGTACGTGCTAATAATGTGGAATAATAATGCAAATACTGTTATTCACATGCGCGAACAAATGATGAAAAAAGGCGGCACACACTTACACCCCGAAAAGCAGTGAACTCTACTCATTTCTATGAGAATGGGCATATTGATGTAATTGCTAATGTGGGAAGTGACTGCTTTACTGTTTCTTATTATTGTGCATACAATTTACTTATTATAACACATTTGAGTCGCTTTGAATGACAGCGAAATTTGTTTAAATGCAATTTGTCGTTGACGCGAGCGTGCTAGCACAAAGCACAAGCTACCGTGCATATTTGCGTGTATGAGTTATGCTCGTTTTTGGGTGTCGAAGCTAGTGTTGAAGACATACCAACACACATTCCATTGTGAGAAACAAGATGACATAAAAATACATTTAATATTACAAATACGGACGAATGGTCCAAAAAAAGTGGCAATTAAAACAAATAGACAGAAAATGACATTGCAAGAAAGATAAAAGAGAAAAAAAAAACGAAAAATATATATACTTACGGTAATTGGCGAATTTTCATTAATTTTTGTCCGATAAATGCTTTCAGTGAATTTTGGTGGCAAATCATCGCTATCTTTTACCATTATCATCAACGTTGTACTTGATGATTTTGCATTGTCTCCGCGATCCTAATTCACACGAAACAATTTTATTTTTTCGATGAGATAACTTTTCAATTATATATGTTGTAATAAAGTAAAATTGAAGCACGAAAAAAGAGTTAAACGTTTGTCGACAAATTGCCATTTTTTTATTGATAAGAAACGAACCATCATAATTTACATGTTTTTTCATCTTGAATAATAAAAGTACGGTAAGATGGTTCGTTCTGTATAAATCCCAGAATTGACAATTTTTGACACTTTTTTAATTTATTATTCAATATATTTTAAGATTTGTCTTAAATTGAAAAACGGTTATACTCACGGTTGCAACGATTGGAATTTCAAACATGCGTTTTCCTTCATCAAAATCGAGCTGTCTGCGTAGAATGACGTGCGGCCGATGTGGACTTTCGAGCGTAAAATGTGCATCATGTTCTGACGAATCAATGGAATATTGTACATCTGAATTTGGTGTATGCGGTTTGTCGCGATCAAATGCCATAATGCCCGTAAAAATTTTCGCACCAATTGCCGTTGACTCATCGACATACACTTGATATGGCAAATTTTCAAATTGCGGTGCATGATCATTGATATCTTCTATGTATACATTAACGGTTAAATATGACGTCTCTTCCGTGCGTCCATTTCGACTCATACATTCAATTTTAAATTTTAATACATTTTGTGGCACATCACGATCAACTAATTCATCGATCGTTTTATCCAATAAAACTTGGATATTTGTTTCATTCACTGTTCTTAATTTAAAATACCGTACATCGTCTGCATTTTCATTGGTACCTTTTATAAAAACGCTTTTACGTGGATATGCACGTACATTTAACACCTCGTCACCAACATGCAAATTTTCACGAATTCGAATGAATTTTGTTGTTTCCAATTCACTTTCGATGCCATTTTTATCATAAAATACACATCCTGTAAAATATTAAAACCACATTAATTTCATTGTATTTCGACCATTAAAAAAGTTTAAAGCGTTAAAAAGTTGTTAAGGTGCACTATAAAAAAAGAAGAAACAAAATTTTCTAATAAAATTTCTGTTCCTGCTTATTTGCATTTATGATGAAATCTTTTTCCAAGGGGCGAGCTACTACAATTCTCACAAATTCGCAATTCTTTTAAAAAATCTAGACAATTTTGTGAAGTGTCGCAGTATTCTGAACAAAGTATTTGTAGAATTACGTAGACTTTTTTAGGTTTTTGTGGTACAATGCTGAATTGTCGAAATTGCAATGCTTTAGTAGTTTGCTGCTTGCTTTTTACGCTTAAACAAAAGTTCAACGATTTTTTTCGTATCAAATGACCTTCATGGATGTAATTTCTAGTTGTTTTTAAAATTGAACTAGATCCTCAATGTTATCTTGGAATGTTCAAGTTAATAAAATAAACTTCCCGTTTTATTCATTCGCGATGACTTATAGCCTTTTTATTAATATAAAAATAGAATTATGAATATGGTAACCTAATCATGATTACCGATCATCATTCATTCGAGAGAAAAAAAACGAAGATTGCCATAACATGATTGTTGCATCGAAACGTAAACGCAATACAAACATAAAAATAGTTAAAAGTAACATAATATTAATTAACAATATATGGGTCCGTTCATTAAGCAGGAAGTGAGAAGATTCAACAAATGAAACATGCTGTAATTTAGTGACGATATCATCATTATGATTGATTAAAATCTGATAAACCGATTTAATAACAACACAAAATTCCGACCCGCCTACTGTGTGCCTTCATCGTCATTTCTGTATGCCATTTTCTTCGAAATTTTCATTGAATTTTTCATCGCGTATAGGAAGAGAGGCAACATTCAATAAGCACCGTTTATCGGATTGCATTAATTGGAATATAAATTCAAGCGTAAAACACGTGCCAGATTTTGTTCCGCTTGTCTCATTATATTATATCTATTTTTTGTTAAATATATCAAACATATTACCATGTGTGTTTACATAATGGGAAAAGTCATTGTTATTTGGTTTATAGTGTGTATGTGTGTCGGGAGTTTTGCGTAAGACAGAAAGAAAATAGAGAAAAAAAAGTCTACTTTAATTGAATTCAATAAGTTATGAGGATGGGAGAATATTCGTATTCATTGTTTCAACTGCCTGTAAATACAACTTCTTGATCTTTTTGTTTTTCTCGTTGTTTCTGTTTCTATATTAATTCGCACACTCGCAAAACAATAGGACAAAACAAAAAAAAATGCTCAATACTTGAAAATTGTGGAAAAATTGCGTTATTCTTTATTTGCTGTGCGCAATTTCTTTCTGAGCTTGTGTTCTTCTCTTTGTATGTATTTGCACGCCTTTTTTCACTCTTTCCATGTCGCAAAATAGGGGAAAAACTTCATCAAGGCTTAAATGGCTGTAAAACTCATATTTGCCAAAGCTGTAACGAGCACATGTCATATTTTCATCATACTAGCCCAGATTTCAAGAAATAAAGCAATTATAATGAAATATGCGTGTATTCCGACCATATCCAAAGCAAAAATAGGAAAAAACAAATCATATTATTATTTGATAAAGGTGGAAGTGATATTTTCAGTCTCAATTAGACTTATATGCCATTTTAATATTTATTTTTGTCTCTTTTTTTGAGTCAATTCAATCGCTCCGGTAGACATACACTAGGATCGCACAGCATTTTAAAGTGTATTTTGAAGAACAATAAAAAAACAAATACAGTTAACACATTTGCGAAAACGGAAATTATGAATCGATGTAAAACAATTATTTTCCCATGTGAGCGAATGCTAATGGAAAATCAAGATTTTAATCATGTTTGTTTGTTTCAATTTAAAGAAAATGAAGACAAAAAAAAGCATTGATGGATTGGTAACCGTTTCGTTCGCATATTCTTTGAAATAATGAAAAAGCAAGTAGCATTTTTCACTCGATTCGTCATAACATTTTGATCGAAGTTTATGGGCGTTGTGTGACAAATTACAAATCACATAAAAACCACACAGACAGACACGTACGGTCAAACGAAAAATTTAGTGCATTTCATCAAATCGATTTGTATCAGTTTCAAAGGCGGGGAAAAAAACGTCATCTGCACAAAATACATGTCATAGTGAAAGTCTTACAAATTCAATCACAACAAAAAGCAGCAACACATTAATAAAATTCACACAATTGGCCTGAGGCCAGTGATTTTTCGTTGCTCGTGTGTCAAAAACCATGAAATCTTCACAATTTCTAATTAAAATAGTCGATTGTGAAATTAAAAATTGTTTATAAGAAAGAGAAAAGAAACAGAAAAAAATGAAGCCAAATCAGTGCAAAAACTACCGATAAAAATTAGCCATACACACACATGTACACACATTGTACGCCCATAATGCCATTTGAAAGCCATTTCATAAATGTTTGATTGAACTTGCCCATTCTTTATAATAATTAACCGTATTTCCATCGACATTATGCAACTTAAGTGGATACACGCATATTTCATCTTGCATAATGATTGGCGTTTATTTCATGTTTTTCTATTTTTCTTCCACTTTTTATACACGTTTTATTCTTAAGTTCAACGGGATGTGATTTTTTAAAGTCATTGTATAAACGAAGAAAAAATCGGCCATATAAAAAACGTGTCATTACTTAAGCTTGATATTTAATCGCAAACACGATCGAATCAGTAGAATAAATTTATCATTTATAGATCTTTATGTATAATTCTTTAATCACACGTTAATTTTTGTATAAAATCTAATCATTTTTATTCAACTTTACACCGTCGAAGCCTTCGACTCGAAGGTGAAGGAACCTTTTTGAATGTTTGTTCGAGAAGATTAGAAACTAGCTTACTTATTGGTCACGAAAACATTTACCAGTACGTACAGTTTCACCAGAAGAATTTGAATTTTCATCTTTCGGTTAATAATAAGAAGAAAAATGAACAAAGTGTGTTCAAATCTGTCAATTTGTACAAAATAAAATTCTATACTTCATTTGATTTTTCAATTGAATTGACCTTCTGGTCAATTGAAATGATAAACGAAACTTGTCTTCATTTGCTGCCTTTGATACTCAATAAGATCACCCAAGTGGTCTATAAGATTTCTATAATTATCCCTTCTTATCGACAAGTCGCCACAGTCAAATGCTGGGTACCGGTAACAAACGTGTCAAACGTTTTGAATTATGACATTTAATATGACTTTTTTTTCTCTTGGTACAAATTACCGCATTTGGTAATTACTAGCGATGAACAAGATCCGAAAAAAAAAATCCGACTTGAAAACTAAAAGTGAAAGAAATGATACTTGGTACATGGAAATTCAATAAATAAGCAAAATGCATTGTTTATGCAAAGCGGCGACGAAGAAGAAGAAGAAAAAATACTATGTGTGAATTTTTTTTTGTAACAAAACAAAAGACATATATGGTTTCTTTTATTTTCGACTGTATATATGGATTTTTGATGTTTGCGAAAAATGTTGAGCCTTGACCGGTTTGTTGTTTTTTTTTTTAAAAAAACATTTGAATTTGTTTCGATGAGATGTACGTGATAAAAATCGAATGACACATGCGGAACACTTTAAATGAAATTGATAAATCATCCGTTCAAAATGGTGTACCATATATCTCTTTCTTTCATTCGAATATTATCTCTTCCCGTCTATCGGTAGATGCAAAACATCCTCGATGGTTCACACATCGCGCTCGTTTGCTTTACTTCGAATCGCGGCAAATATTTTTTTTTTCGTTTCTTTTTTTATATTTCGATTATTCCAATTGTACATATATATGCATACATACATTGTTTACATGAAATTCTCTCATTTAATTAAAAGTGTTTAATCTATGGAAATATTCCAAATTGTTTTTCCTGTATTTAAAACACTTTTTCTGTTTTTTGTTTTGTTGGTGTGTGTCTGTTGAACTCTTTTTTTTGTTGCAGTTGTTACTATTGCTGCGACTGTTGTTGTGTTCTTTATTTTTATGAATGCATGTTCCATGTATTATGAGAAGAAAAGAAAAAAACCAGATCTATTGCCGCACATTCAAAACAAAATCTAATTAGTTGTTCAATGCTTTTTTTTCCACCGAAATTGAGTAAATGAATGTAATAAAATTGTTTTGTGAGTGTGTATAATGATTTTCGAGTTATGGCAGGTGAAACAGCATGGATTCCATTGAATTGTGCCGGAACTTCTTCGTTTTTTCTTCTTATTATTTATTTATTATTAATTATGCCTTAATTTGAACTAGATTATTGTAGTTTGATGTTTGATATTCAATTGTATCAGAGGACTCCCGTCGATAAATCGCCGCATGAGGTCAACCAATTGACACTCAATGATTGAGTTAATATCGAAATTGAAAGGTTTATGAAGATGCATAGATCATTTCGATTTCTTTGATATTTAAATAATGACCAAACATCCAATTTGGTAACTCTTAAATTTTAAATGTTTTTTTTTTTTTTTTTTTTTTTTTTTTTTTTTTTTTTCAAAAAAAATTCAATTAAAAAAAAACGAAGAAAAAGTAAAAAGAGAAACAAAAAAAATTATTACTCAAGTTTGGTGATTCAATTAGTGAAATATGATTACAATTATATCCATCAAATCTGTATTACGTGGACTGTTAGTAGAGGAAAAAAACATACGAATTGGTCGCGTAAATTTGCGAAAAGTAATTAATTTCTAATATCTTAATACCGATTTGAAATTAATTAGTTAATAATAAATGCCATCAAATCACACACTTTATTTAAAGTTGCAACCGCACACTGTTGTAATATATTCATTCGTTCATCTTACTTTTCTTCTTAACTCTATTTTCCTGAATTTTGAGTGCTAATTCCGTTTGCCATTAAATTTATCACACGAAAAAAATGTGGAGCGAATGATTCAAATGATCTTATTTGTTGGGTTTGTGCCAAGATCTAGAGAGCAGAGCAAGAGATGGATACCGCGAGAGAGAAGGATGGAAAAACGAAAGAAAAACTGCTTCAAACTCATAAACAGAATGATTATGCAGTAATTTTCTCGCTTTGTGTACTTAATGTATTGAAGCTTTGAGATTACCTAATGGGCACGCAATGTTACAATTTTTCTCTTCTCTTTTCTTTTATTCAAATCATAGTGAAATGTAAAGATTTGCACACACACTCACTAGCATACCGAAAACGGTAATTGTTTTCATAGAAGAAGAAAAAAAAAATGTATGAGGAACAAAAAGCATCAATCTGAGAGTGTATTCTGTGTTATGAACGCACTGCCAATGGGTTCATTATTATGCGAAAACAGGTTTTCCCACATATTGCGCGCGAGCGCATAAATACTATATAGAGATATACAATCATGTCATAGAACTTGTACTTGTTGTGCTAACGTATGTTAGTGCCATTACACTTTGGAATATGGAGAACGAACAAAAAAAAAATTGTATGTAAGTAAGTTTATTGGGCTCCTCTATTTATGCATGCTGCATGGAATCTATTACAATTCAAGTGCGTCCAATTTCCTGAATCAATTTACCGAAGACATACTTTAGCAATGCGATGAAGCGAACAAGTAATAAAATGAAAATATGTCAATATCAAGAGGAATAGGAAAGACCCTCTAAACCCACATTGTAAATTAATTATGTAACTGCAAAATGGAAATAATCTTATTATACAACGTCACATTTTTTTAACATTGAAAACGATGGACATGACATAGCCACACCATGTGTGTGTATGTCTTTTGTATAAGCGCTAACGTGCACTCAAGAAAACCGTTTCAAAACGGTTCTTTCAACTCGTAAGACTCGTTTTCCTTTTTTATTTTTTAGTTTTGTTTGAAAAAAAAAATGTAATGAAATAGTTACACGAATGAAATGCGCAACATTTTACATTAACTTATCTAATCTGTGGCAACATTCAAGCACCACTTCGATAAGAATTCTGGTTTCGAAACCAAACGAATGGATTCAACACGTGAGGACTGTAATTTTGCAGACGCAAATGCAGTCGAGTGTTCTTTCGTTCGTTCCAAGCGTTTAGCTTCCGGAAAATTATTTGCTCCAAATGGAACGGGTAGGTGTGATTCATGAGGTGTTTGCAAATTCGATATGCTGCAGATGCTAGTTTGTAGGTTTTTGTACTATTCGATAAACGGTATTTTTGAATCGATTTTTGGTTTGTTTTATGGCATTTCTTTGATAATATGTTAAATATATATTGATAGCATTTTAGATATTTAGTTCAATCGATTCGATTTATTTATTTTTCTCAGCGACCTTATTTTAATATTTTCACTAATGTTTTTTTTTTTAAATTTTCATTCGAACATTTGTCATTACAACCGAATCGATCGAAATCTGTCTTACCTTCGATGAAAAAGAGTCTGTATGAGATGATATCGAGTAATAATATGATAGTTTTTATGACATTTGAACGCATTTTGGAGTTTATATTGTTGATTGAACATTCAAAAGCATTAGTTTTTGTTTCTTTGTCTCACTTTGTCCGGCTATGGTTGATTTCTTTCGTAATATCGACTGTCCGTTAGTTCTGGTCTCACTATTTTTTTTTATTTTCTGTGTTTATGATTTCTATCTGAGGACAATCAATGTTTCACATTAAATTTGTATTTATATGTAAATCAGATGGTTATCTTTAGTGTATAGGCAGCTCACTTTATGCGAAGTCAAACAAAAATTCTTCGCATTAAAATTGTTCAAATATTTTGTTTGAAATAGAAATGATCGAGATTTGGTATGTGTTTGTATCGTGCCATGTTAATGAATGGTCAGTCGTTTGAACAGTTTCTTTCGACTGAAAGTGCTCATTATCGTTGCATTGAGTGATGACCTTTCTCGATTAACAATCCAATTCATTCTGATGTAGAAATTTGCACTCATATCAGTCCATCGTGCAGAAATTGCACTGTAACACCGAAACCAGTTGATTTTCAATCGATGTATGATCACGATTATCGATAACGTCTTTTCTTTTGTAAAACATTCAATCACAATTATTAACTTTCGGTACGGTTTTCAATCAGTTGCAAACAATGACTTTGAATACTCCAATCAAATTGATTACATTAAAAAAATTTGTAAAGTTTTGTCTGATTTTATGCGAATTTTTTTTTTGGTATGAAAAGCAAAATTTTTTGTTGTGTCTAGTCGCTTTCACTTGGGACGAACAAATCTCTCCCGTTTAGCATGTCAATTGTTTGGAGTATGTTGGGACTCCTTGTCCATCGTCTTCTATTCAAAATTCGTGTGAGTCTTTTCACTTTATTGATCGTGCATCACTTCTTACAATACACCATATCTTTTGTGCATTTTTTTGTTGCTCTTTTTTTCACTGTGTATTTTGTATTATCGCGAAAATAAACATGTTGCCATTCAAATGTATTTCTTCTTATTTTTTTCGGATCGCATGACAATCAATTCAAAAGCAAAACTGTTTAACGGTTTTTTTTTTATTTATTTAATTTTGCATTCATATTGTTGGGTGTTAAGTTTGTTGTCTTTCAGTTTTTTTGTCTGTATTGTCGAATGCACCAAGGAAAGAAAAATACATAAACACTAAACTGCATGATAGTTTTGTATGTGACTTGATGCGAGGCTAAAACATAACTAAAACTCAAGTGTGGCTGGCACAGCTCGCAAAATTACCAAGAGTTGACTTTCATTATGCGCGATGATCTCTTTTCACCTGTACTGTGGCAGCGGTGAGAGAATTGGATTGTGTGTGTGTGTGTGCGTCTTGTGTTTACCTCTTTATCGCTTCATTTTCTGCACCGCACTCTTCGCGGCATGCTGTTTTTGTTTGATGTGTATATGGTTCACAAGTGTGGCGGCTGCTACTATGCTTTTGCCTGTGCAGAGAGCAAATAAATGAGCGAGTTTGCGCACATTGGTAGGCATAGACAAATAGTTCGTAATGATCATATACAAAAGAAAATGGCCAAAACATTTGTTACCGTAGAAAAAGAGCAACTTGGCTCTTGGTCTGGTCAGTGTGCACTCGGAAAATTGTTATGCTTTTTCTTGTGGCGCTCGTAATAGTAAATCATCATTGTAATTCGGTTTATTTCGTTTTGCCGCAATGCATACACCGAATTTTGATCATGATTCTTTGTTTTTATCTCATCAAATGAAATTCAAAATCATGTGGCTGATGGTTTCAAAAGAGTCAAATGAAAATGCGCGTTGTTGATCTTTTTCGATTGGTTTTGCTCTTGGAGTGATCATAGCTATAGCCAGACGTGAATTTTTTTGGTTTCCGAAAGAACAAAAAGTGTGTCGAAAAACTGCTTTTTACCACCATTTTCAACAATGTTCTCGACTTTAATTTAATTAACTTACATTTTCATTCATCATTCAGTAAATCGCTTTGAACTCTGTTTTTTCTTCACTCTTGCGATGTATCCGAGAAAAAAAAAATATTTAGTAGCCCTATTTGACGAACGAATTCCAGATAAAAAAAAATTGTGCCGAAATTTTGTTACCGAAGAAAAAAATCTTAACAACATCGTGTACAACACCATAAGAAAGTTCTTTGCGCCAAGTAAAAGAAGGTTGGGCAAAAGAAATTGTATGTTTTAATCCAATGTTGCTTTGTAATGCTAAAAAGACAAGAAAAAAAATGTTTTGATTTCTTTTCATCATTTGACTGAATGTCTGAAATGTTATGTGTGCCTAATTTTTTGTTTTCTTCTTCTTTCTCCGGGCCAATTAAATCACTTCTGTGAACAATGCTGCATCTAAATTGGTCAATAAATTTTGGTGTTTGGTTCAGAAAAACACTTTCGTCTTAGAAAATGAAACAAAAACTGTAGCATAAAAAATAGCGGCATATTATGAAGAAAAGTGTTGATTTTTGGCATTTTTTGTTGTTGTTAGTTAAATGCCAACCATAAATATTTGAAAGAGTTTCTTCGAAATCTATTTAAAACATAAGTCACAATATATATATATTTATAAATTATGACCTTTTTGTAAACGGATGAAATGATTCTGGTATCCGTGTATGTTTCGGCGGCAAAAATGATTTCATCACCATCGTTCAAAAGAACGAATGAATTAGATTTGATTCTTTGTTTGTTTGACTTTTGATCATCTACGCTACAATCAATGCGTGTATTGATGCGACGCAATATGTATCGCGTGTGAAAGGGGCATAACAAATGACGATGAACATAAAATGCAAATGATTAATCAAACGATACGATGATTTACACTTTTACCGTTGATTCAAGGAGGTTTGTCTTTGTAAACAAACGAGTTACATGAAACTATGTCAAAAATCGTCATGCCATCATCATCTACAGCGGTTGTAAACCGAGTGCAATGTCTTGTGCGCGCGTATTTTTTTATTATTGCTTCAATCCAAAACGAGAGAAAAAAGCCGCTGCTTATTATAGTTTTTTTTTTGTTGTATTTAATTTTTTGTTTGTCGGTCTGAATGGGAATAGAAGACAGATGCTGGGAGTGCAGAAAAGAAAATACACAACGGATAAACATCGAGATAGATTCGTAATGAAGTGTGTGCATTTTGATGCGTCTGTTTCTCTTGTGTCTCGGTATTTAATGAGTTCGTATTTATGCCACTGGTGCAACTGTTGTCTTATACTGCTCTTTTTCACATCGTTCGCCCGCTCAGCAGCGTCGTCACACCGTTGTCGCACACCAAATATGCGTCATACTGTATTACATTGTTGTTAAATCGGTTGAAATGCACAAACAAAGACCTAATCCGGATTCATGTGTGCAATTCTCACAAAATCACTCATCTTCAGCCGTTTCCATCATCACTTCTTTTTTTGTTGTTGTTGTTGTCGTTGCCATAATAATGCATTATTATCGTTTACAACCGAAACATATCAAAAACTCTTCCGCTCACGTCGAACAAAAAAAAATTAATTTACGAGAGACTTACCTAGATATACAGAGAGGAGGGGTAGAGAGTACAGTACAGTTTACATAAATAACCAGCAGAATGATGGTTTTCGATCAAGCATTTCGATCCATTTTTCCGCATCAAAGTGAATGGAGCGGAACATTGACATCGCAAATTGACACAAATAACAAAACACTTCTTTTTTCACTCAATTGAAAGTGAAGTGCGTACCAAAAATGTACGATAAATATTTCCATTGTATTTCATAACCAATGTAATCAATGCGGATTCTAGAGCATTAACTTACCGTTTACATTCAGATTTTTAACCAAAACCATTCATTTTTGCATTTTTTTTCACTAAATTACTTTTTTTTTATCAAAAAATTACTTTTTGGCTGGAAAATCATCACTTCAGTGGCCAAATCATTGCAGCAATCATCAATTTGTTTGTTAATGTTTCAGATAATTTCATAAACGTGTTTCTCTCTTATCATAAGGACGCTGCTGTTCGAAATACATTATCATTTTTTTTTTTGGAAAAAAAACACATGACATTTGCAATGAGATAGATAGACTGTTCATTATATGTTTGCATCATGTTTTTTCTCTTGTAAAATATTTTAATTTGATATTTTGAAATAATGATTGTGTTGGAAAATGTGCAATCTAAAATAACAAAGGAAAAAATCGATTTTTTCTCTATACTTCTGATGGTGCACAATTTTATTGTTGAATAAACTCAAGGAATTCCATCCACTGGGTATTCAATAAACACGTTTTAAAGATTACTGATGGATATTTGTATGTCAATATTATCATCATCACACCATCACAGTGCATTTTTGCCAGACCAATCAAGCATAGAAATTATTCAATGAAATCAAAATCTCGATCATTCGTGGCTTACGTTTGTATATTGGTTGGCAACAACATTTTCATTTCTTCGTTTCCTATAGCCATGAAATGAGATCAAAATGTTCGACATTGGACTTTTTAAATTAAGATTTAGATTACTTAACCACACATAAGAGCTTAAACATTAAAAGAAAAGACTTTTTCTATAAATATGCATCTTTTGTATCGATTTGAATCATTTGCATTTTCATTATTCACTGAAAATCGTCGACATCTGCTTCGATTGCTTTAGATATTTGCTCTCGAAATTTGTACAATTTGAATGGTGATGTGAGAACGAGTGGTATGGTTTTGAATGATGTTACAATCAGTTGAGTTATATGAATTATGCCAGCACAATCCGACATAACCCGATGATGGCAATAATCATAACATACGCACACAACAAATGCTATTGTTGTTCATGCTGCAACGGAATAATCTTCGATTATTCTTCTTTTTTACCATTCTTTCCATCTGCGTTCTTTTTTTTCATGAAAAAGCAAAGTCAAAAGTGAATGAGCATTTGCATATATGCAGAAAGTTTTTTCAACCTCACACACACAGCAACTGTGGTGCAGTTATGAACTGAAGGTCACACTACAATTCAACTCCAATGTCAACGCACTCGCACATTATGATTATTCTGGTGCATAGCATATTATTTTCAATCAACATCCCAATACTTATCGTTCACCATTTTTTTAAGAGTGGCATGTAAACAATCATCAAACATATAACTCAATAACATGATATTTTGTGGGCGATATATATGACTTAATGAACAGTTTACATGTCAGAGATGAAAAGTAAGAAAAAAATATGATGAAAAGAAGGTCCGACAGCAAAATAAACATAAAAACAACTCAATTTGTAAATCGGTTCAATTTTATTCGGATTTAGCGTGAAGGAAAAGCGTGTTTTTTCCATAAAAAACCATATAGTTTTTATTTCTTGCCACAAGAGGCCAATTGATGCGATTTCCGTCTATTGCAGCATTTGATTTGGGTAATGAATTGTCACGGTTGCAAGAACTATAAATTTTCATTTAGGTTTTAGCAAAACAAACGTCTTTCACTGACATCATATACAACTTTCAAAAACATTGCATGTAAACAAAAATCCATGCCATGTGAAGTATGTTTCAAATACAGAAAAATCTAGAGATCGTTCACTAAACTAATGATAAAATCAGATACAGATAACGGAAACAAAAACGCATTAATTCAACATTGTAACAGATGTAATTTATCAGCACTCTCTGGGTCTAAATGAATATTTTCTTTGATGCTGCCAGCATAATGGAATAGAACAAATGAATATTCGTCATAGTTTTCATCTTCTTTTCTTTAGATAAAAGAAGAAAAAAAGAGACGATTTGTATCGAGTCCAATTTTTATGTGCACGAAAATCATTTTGAAATCTATACAAAATTCACAAAGAAAGAACGGAATTTAACTAATCAATTTGATGCTTTTGCTTTGACAATCTTACCATACACCGCTATTATGCTTCAATCTGTCAATATTCGTTTTTCAAAAAAAAAAAAAAAAAAAATGAGAAGTTATTTCGCTGTTGAAGGTGATGATAATATACAGTTTTTTCAGCAGTCGAATAAATTCGAAAATATTTATTATTGACAATGACAATGTACATTGCCAAATATGACCAATTATAAACAACAATTGAATTGCAATCGCATTATCGGTCGCAGATGTTCATTCGCTTTCTTCCTCAGTGAAGTGTATCTCAACACAAACATACCGCATAGATAGAATGGTTCACAAGAGGCTGATTTTGAAATTTAAATTACCGTTTTTTTATATATATCAACAGCACGATGAAAAAGTCGGAAAAAGTGTATCTGTGTATTACGAAAAAAAAACAACAACATTTTAATATAAACAAAGCCAAATATGTATAATCAAATTTAATGTGAAAAACAAAACGTGGGAACGGCGGCTGATTTGGTGAACCATTTGATTTGGCTGCGCAACGATAACACGGTGGCATTAAAAATAATTATATTACTATTGAACAGGTCATATTTGTTTATCATCAACATATGTCGCTTGTGTTTTTAAATAGCCACAACATTGAAATTGGCGGATCGAGTGGTTTAATTGCAACATTATCATCTTTTGCGATAGAATATTTTGTTTGTCAATAATGACATTGTCATTATTTTTAATAATTTAATTTATTTATAAAAACCGAAAAAAACGCCAGATTAAGCAATGAGAAACAAATAATTGCAAATGTGTGATTTTGTTTTCGGGATATATTGTATAAAAGGCGAAGATTTTCAATTTGAATTCAGTCGACAAAATGAAGACTATCATAAGTGTTCTGTTTGTAAGCATTGTGGCGGGATCGTTCGCTTTCCAAAGCGGTCCATCCAAACCCGCTGATAAGGATTTGTTGGGCAAACAAGCCATTATTTTCGAATTACTGCAACATCCATACCAACCCGGTGTCTCGATTTACAAACCCGAATATTTGAATATTGTGAATTCATATGACTTGGAACGCAGCTTGGAATTTTACAACAATGTGAATGCTGTTAAGGAATTTTTGCTGTTCTACAAAAAGGGATTGATCCCATACAACGAACTATTTTCAATTTACAACGATCTTCATCGTCAACAAGCTGTTGCATTGTTCCATGTGTTCTACTATGCTAAAGGTAAATCGTTTCAAATTTAATCAAACTAAATGTTTAGGAATTGACAACGGAATTATTATTGTAAAAGTGCTCTGAAATTTCAATTCCATTCAATAGTTTATTTTAACGAAAAACTTCAAAAAACCAAACTAATTATTATGATTTAATTTCGCAGATTGGGACACATTCTACAAGACCATACTCTGGGCACGATACAACGTAAATCCCGGTCTTTTTGTCTATGCATTGAATGTTGCCGTTGTGCATCGTCAAGACTTGGCCGGTTTGGAATTGCCAGCCATTTATGAAATTTTCCCACACTATTTCTTCAGCTTTGATGTAATTCAACGTGCTCAATTGTACAAACAACAAGGTTTCTATGGTGTTAAAAAAGTTGATGGCATTTACAACGTTGTTATTCAAGCTAACTACAGTGGCCAATACGTTAATAGTTATGAAGATCAAATGGTTTCCTATTTCCTCGAGGATATTGGTTTAAATGCATATTATTACTATTTCCACATTGATTATCCATTCTGGATGGGCGGCCCTGAATACAATTTGTACAAAGATCGTCGTGGTGAATACTATTTGTACATCCATCAACAATTATTGGCACGTTATTACATGGAACGTCTGTCGGTTGGATTGGGAAGCATTAAAGAATTCAATTGGTGGTCACCGATCGGTGCATACTATCCAAACATTCGCACATACTATGGACAAAACTATGTATCACGCGAATCTGGACACGTTATTTACCAAAATGGAAACTACTTCAACATTGAATATATCTATTCGTACGAACAACGTTTATTGAATGCCCTTGATTCGGGACACTTTTTGCTCAGCAACGGAACATACTTCAATTTTGCCTATCCCGGTGGCATTGAATATTTGGGAAATTTGATCCAAGGCAATCCAGACAGTTTGAACGTTAAATACTACAATTATTTGTACTACGTTTACAAGACTTTCGGCCAATATTTGGGCAAAGACTATCATGTTAGCGGTGAATTGCCAAGTGTTTTATACAATCCGGAAACAACATTGCGTGATCCAGCATATTGGATGTTCTTGAAGCGCATCTATTCATTTTTCAATAAATACGCGATTCAATTGAAACCATATTCATTGCAACAGATTAGTTTTGATGGCGTTAAAATTGATTCAGTTCAAACTGATAAATTGATTACATACTTTGATTACTTTGATGCTGATATTTCGAATGCAGTTGATATTGAACAATATCTGCCCGATCGTGTGTCAGAATTAAGACGATTCGGACGTCTTTCATACTATAACGGTGATGACTATGTCATCAAAGCACGTCAATTACGCTTGAATCATGTCCCATTCAAAGTTACTATCAATGTTGTGTCGAATGTTAAGGTTCCTTCAGTTGTTCGTATTTATCTTGGACCAAAATACGATGAATATGGCCATTTGATCGATCTCAATGAAAATCGTAACAATTTTGTGCTTTTGGATGCATTCAAATATGATTTGATCAGTGGTAATAATCAAATTATTCGTGAATCACAACAATTCTTTATGAATGTTAAGGATCGCACCTCCTATTTGGAATTGTACAAATGGCTTTTGTCGGCTAGTGCCGGACAAAAGGTATGGCCATTGGATAATACCGAAGCTCATTCTGGATTCCCGAACCGATTGATTTTACCAAGAGGCCATAAGGTAAATAATTGAAAAAAAAACTTGAAAATCACAACCGTTTTACTTAAATCTGTTTTTGTTTCTTCTTTTGTTCTCTTCTACAGGGAGGTAGTTTGTATCAAATATTCGTTCACATTTCACCGTACCACGAACCACAAGTTCCACAATACAGCACTTTTGATTCAGTCATTTCAACTGGCATTGGATCCGGCTCGAGATGGATTGACTCTCTTCCATTCTACTATCCTCTTGATCGTGAAATTGATGTTTATAATTGGTACTTGCCAAACATGTACTACCAAGATGTATTGATCTATCACAAAGTTGATGCTTAATTTTCTTTCCGGCCACTGCGAATCCCCAAATCGAAAGCAATCCATTTCTTGTCTGAATGGAAAATCAACATTTTTTTATATATCTTACAATTTTTTACAACTTTTTTTCTGTATTTTTAGTTTGAAACTTGATTCATTGAATAAATTTTTGATTATGCAAATGTTCGTTATTTAACGACAAAAATTGAACGTTGTTTTGTTTTCCTCTTTTTTCAGACGAAAAAAAAAATCTTTTCTTTTCTCAATTACTTGGAGCTTATTTTTCTCATGATTTATATGTGATTAAGTCCTCAAGCAACAAATAAACTTTATTTGATCAGTCGTTAACACAATTTCGAATCAAGTTTGCAGCAACATACGTTATTTCAGATGAATGCAATTTAAACCGTATTCACTTGGCGTTGTAAAATTTGAACCCAAATAGTGCACGATATCATTATTCATTGGCAAGAAAGTTGCACAAACAAAGTCAAGTTTATGTTTGTTAAATAAAAATAATTTTATTGCAGCCGGTTCTGGAAATATTAAATGAATCCGCGCAACCGGTTTGAAAACTGTCTTAAAAGTTCCAAAACAAAGTAATTTCAACGTGTGTTTCCAATTCGATCCAACAGATGCTAAACAGAAAATGTTTAGCTTTATCACCAGTGCCAGCGATGCTGCACATAGCATAAATACATTAATCACATTTGGGCGTCTCCATTCAAATATGCGGCGTTTTAAGCTTTCATTGATGGAGTCTATTAAAAATGAATAATCGCATTATTCATTATTGATTTGAATTCAATTTAACGGAACATTTATTATTACATACATGGCATGTAATCTCGATGGAATTACATGATTTTTCATGGGCGGGTTACGATTGAAACGACCAACTCAATCAATTTATAATTTGATTATGATTTCATGGGTGAATATCGTTAAATATCCACAAATATGGTCTTATTATATAAGAAATATCTCTATATATATATATCCTCTGCAGAAATATATTTGTACCAAAAAGTTGAAAAAAAAATAGGTTTTTACAATTCTGTAAGTCAAATTTATCGAAAACTTCGAACGAAGGAGTGGATTACTTCAATGGCGCATTTTGCGCTTATTTACCGAATTCTAGGATAATTTCGTACCCATGTATTTTGCAGATAAAATGTTTCTTCCAGATTGTTTTCTTTTAAATTAAAATAAATGTTTTCGTGTTTGTTTATCAATAAATAATCAACCATGTTTTTTATTTAATTTGATAAGATAAATAATCAACTATGTTTTGATGCACGTGTCTTTTCAATGTTGTTTTATTTTTATTTTAATTAAACTTTCAGTTAACACGTTTAGTATCGGTTTTCTTCAGAATGCTATTTTGTTTTGGAACACATTTCAACCTTCAAAGAAATAAAATCTTGTATTTAAGTCGGTAATTTTAGTAACTTTGGTCATGTTTAATTCAACAGTCAGTTAATAAAGTATCTTGAAAATAATTAAGTTAACGTTATTTCATTTAGATTAGAGATTAGTTTTCGTAAAAAAACATTCTATAAATCAATAATATTTATTTCCAACGAAAAAAAAAACGTGTAAAATGAACAACTGAGTTTTTTTAACACTTAATTTAATGTTTGGATAACATTCGGAGTGATTTCATAAATAAAATTCGTAGATTATGTTAACACAAACTCATTTACAGCAATCCAACTTTATCCAGGTATAAATCACAAGCAAGCAAAAAACTTTTTACATAAATAAGTGGTATCATTGACCCGAATAAAAATGCATCAAAAACTTTTGAAATAAAAAATTATCCAAAACTACCGGAATATTTCCAATATTCGTGTGCATTAAGGATCCAGCTGTTAATGTCATCGAAATATAATATGGTTGTAAGTGTAAAAGACTGATGTGTAAATGTTTGGCAACCACACGCACAAAACTAAAATGGATCACGAGCACATCGGGGGAAAGAGAGAGAGAAGAATGTGAATAATATTGAAAGTTGTGTGTATGCATAAGAAGAGAATGATTTTAATTTGATTGATTCAATAATGTAGTAACGATGACGAGTAATGACCCTTTGCTTTTAGTTTCCGTTCAAAAAATATATTGTGGATATGGTGATCACACATTTTTTCGTGAGACCGGATATATTATTTCCTCAAACATCTTCCATCTAGATGAACTAATTCAGCGCATAAATGTGTGTTATTCGATGCAAACCACAGTACGCAAACACACATATGAAAAGAAACAAAAACAAACATATACACAAAAATGTCAGCAAAACTATGCACTGCACACAAAATCAATGGACAAATATTTTGACTGTGTCTGTTTATGTTTAAGAAAATTGACCGCACTTTCAATTCATTAAAAAAAGGTGGTTTTTGTTTTGGCATTTTCGATCATCGCTTGTGAGTCGAATTGATTGGCAATGCACACACACATTATGCAACGATGACAAAGTTTATTCGACCGAACACACACCTAGTGACCAATTATTATTTTCAGTTCAATTACAACGTCAAAGGTTTTCATGAAATGCGACTGTAATTATGTGATTGAAATTGAATCAAAGGATTTTTCGATCGAGTGATTGTAACTGCACGCACACACACATATACAATCTATGAATATTTTGAATCGATTGGTTTTTTTTGTAGTATTTCCTTGACCAGTTCGAAACAAATTCAGAGTCGGTGTTCGTCTTTCGCAAGATAAAATGTTTTCTCACATCATTTTACGAGAATGTGCAGCACCTTCAAGCGCATTCAATTTGAACGAGTCAACATAAGTCAATAATTTGTTAAGTGGATATGAACTAATTACACGATGATTGTATATAATGGAAAGTTAGAGACATTATGACTTAAAAGAAGCAACAACAAAAAAGAACCGAGCAAATCAGAAGTTCAGAAATACCAATAAATTGGCTTTGGGTGCTTTTTTCTTGTGTACTATTGTTTCGTTTGTATATATGTATCGAACATTCGATGCGAATGGGCTTTTTGATTCGAACGAAATTCGAAAAGAGACAATATTAATAGAATAAATTGGTGTTTCCGTGCCCTCTAGATACATATGGCAAAAAAAAAATTGCTATGTATTGCACGCCACGGCAAAGACCTAAATCATATACACATTTTATTTGCCATTAGAAGTGTATCAGATCAATTGTATGACCAGAGGACTTTGATAATCTTCGTTTGACCAAAAGGTTTGATCACATATGAAACCTAATGAAATGGAACACTTTTCCTCTCCCTTTTTTGCACATCGTCATTTATATCCTGTTTCCCGTTCTACTCTCCCCACCCACCCGTCCAACAAAAGCGACATAGCTTACTTTCGTTCGACGTGAGTTTTAATGTTGCACATCTGCTTTTATATGTATGTTAAAGAATGTTACAGGTTGTGTGTGAATTTAACATTGTCAAGTACTTACGGTTCGGGATGGTTTTTTTCTCTCTTTCTCTCTCTTCTACATCTCTGTCGCATGTATGTATTTTGACTGTAGAGCAATAATGCACTTGGGCATTTCTGTATATACATCTATTCGAATACACAGATAGAAAAATAAGCATTAAGCACGACCGATACTTGGGCTATGCCGTATTGTTGTAAACTCTGCACTATTTCTCTCTCCTGTCTGTCACATGGTGTTTGCTCTTTATGCGATTTACTTTGGTTATTGTTGTTGCGACTGGAAAATGTAGCGTTCTACTCCGTTGCCAGCCATAATTCATCCACGAATAAAAGAAGAGGCTATTTCGCTATTTTCCTTATTTTGTTATGTTGTTTATTTTTTTTGTGCGCTTCTTTCTAGGTATCATTTTGTGTTTGGTACATTCTTCATGCTAATGTCGTATGTGTATGCGTGCATGTGTCATAACCAAAGTGCTTTTATCATAAAAAAAGTTTTATGCTGAAAGAATAGGCCAAATATGATACTCCGTTAAACAGGCACCATATTCAGCAAGTGTGTTCTCGGTTTTCTTTCATCTCAGAAATGGAAATGCAGAGAAGACGAGAGAAAAAAGCATACACACACAACAGTCGTGCTCTGACTCATTCTGTGTGCTTCCCTTTTGCGAGTAGCGTGTGATACTATGTAGCAACTAAAAACTCTCGACGTTTCGTGTGACACAAAACTCTATGCCTGACGCGTGCAGAATCATATATTTTCACCTAAAAACGTTATAAAAACCCTCTTCTAACCACTCTTATTGCCACTTTGCGCGCCTAAAATGTAAATAAAATACAGATATTTCGCAGATATCACACAGTTTGTGAAGAATTGTTGGAAAAAATCGAAAAGAAAAGGGAGAGAGAGAGTGAATGTGTATATGTGAAACCATTTGTCAAAAAGTTCAGTTTGATTTCATTTGGAAGTGATTCTATTTTGAAATTCCGTGACGGTTTCCAACTGCGTCATGTTGCTTAAAGTTAGTATGGAATATGTTTTCTCTGGTGGCCACCCTCTTCAATGTATAAATCTTATTATTGGTGTTTGATGCGGTAATCGTTGAATAAACGTCCGGTGAATGTGAATTCCAGCAATTTCATAACTTTGCGGTACCATTATCAGAAATATGACATTCTTATAACGTACAACACCAATTTCATACACATTGAGAAAAACACTTTCGTAAGCATGCTTTCGGAAGTTTTTCCGATGCCATCACCGCTGCTGGTGCACATTTTACTTGTTAAACGAAATTCTACGATAAATTGGATATTAATTCGATGCTTTGTTGTTGTTACTGCTGCTGCTGCTGCTGCTTTGATTTAATAAGACACAAGCGCCAATATAAACAGATTACGTCAAATTCATCTAGCTGAAACGTTAGTGACAATGTAACTCTATAATTTTCAAAACGAAATACCTCACGCAAGGAGACAGCTTTTTATCTACTCGTTGAAAACCTGAAATTTTTTATAGATCTTAATAAACGTATGCTTGAAAATGTGAATTGAACAAAAATCATTTATTTTCAGTTATCTCAACGAAATGAAACGTTACAGATGCTCACGCATCGCAAATAAAATGATCGCTTCAATAATTGTGATTTTATTGTTCATCGAACATTTTCCATTCATATCAACTGATCAAATGGTGAATATAAATAATTGTTTATTGATTTTATACATTTTTTTATTAACAATACAATTGTTGGCAACGTTATCAAGTTGAAGAGAGTTCAAGCGGCTGGCTATACAATTGAACGACATTACATAACTACAGACGATGGCTACATTTTACGACTTTATCGCATTCCATCATCACCAAAAACCGTCAACAATTCAAAACACAATAAACCAATACTATTAATGCACGGACTGACTGGATCTTCTAGGGACTATGTTGTTTATCCAAACATTTCGCCGGGTGAGTACGATTTGTGAACTTTGTCATGTAATAGCTTTTATCACATTAAAATCCATTGCTCGAGAATAAATTGATTATGGTGATAAAAAGAAAATTTGGCACACAAACTGTTGTGTGCATTTCATTCTTTTTTCAGCATTGGTTAAAATAATTTGATAAAGACAATAAATTATTTCAAATAAATGAAAAATGTGCAATTGAAAAGTCCGTACTAAAAAAAGAGTATTAAAACATTACCAAAAGTACCGAAAGTACCAAAAAGAGCACCGACAAACATACAATGGTAGAAAAATGAAAGAAACAAAATTATGGGAGCGTTTGTATGTGTCAGTTTTTTTTACACTTTCGATACTTCTCGGTATTTTCGGTAATATTTTAATACTCGACGGTATTTTGGTACTAATTTGCCCCTTGGAAAACCTCAAATGCTAAAAAACAGAATGCTTTCAAGACTTTTATAAATATTTTTTGTATATTAACGGAATTCCGTTTTGTGCGACATTTTAGTAATTTATCTTTTCGATTACTTGGTGTGAACAATCGGCAAGTGACTGAAAATAATGTATTCAATTGTTGACGACATGCATAATTACTGCTGTCTAGGCATAATTAAGAATTTTTCATCGTTTTATTGTGGCGTTTTTAATTTGCAAAAACGCAATACATCGAAATTTATTAATGAAAGTTCGTAGTTTAACTTGGTTTAACTGGTTCCATATGAATTATCAAAGGATGAAAATATAAAAAATAGTAAGATTTTTCTTTTATTTTCAATTTATTGGGTGTATCGATTAATTTTTACCGTTTTTTGGGTGAAAATCTATATTTATTTGAATAACAAAATAAATGAGTACATTAACCAATGTATTGCCCATCGTTAGCTATGACTTCCGCCCATCTTCTTGGTAGCTTGTCGATTCCGCGTCGAAAGAATTCCTCATCTTTTGAGGCTATCCATTCATCGATCCATTTTCGCACTCCTTCAAGATTTCGAAACGATATCTCGGACAAACCCATTTGCATCGATCGAAACAAGTGGTAGTCAGAAGGAGCAAGGTTTGGAGAGTACGCGGGTTGATCAAGCCGATCCCAACCGAAGTCTTGTACTTTTTTTTTAACGATGTCTGCTCGATGTGGCCTGGCATTATCATCGTGAAACACAACTTTGTCTTGTTTAGACGCTATCCGTGGCCGTTTAATCTTCAATGCATGCTCCATTTTGATTAATTGCATGCGGTAGCGTTGGGCTGTAACCGTTTCACCTGGTTTTAGCAGCTCATAATACGACACCTTTTTGATCCCACCAAATGCACAGCATGACCTTCTTGCAATGAATGTCTCGTTTTGACTGCGATGGTCCTGTTTGGCCTGGATTAACATACGCTCCTTTACGTTTGGGGTTGTCGTAATAGACCCACTTTTCATCGCCAGTGACAATTCGACTCAAAAAACTATGTTTTTTGTGTTCTTTGAGATGTTCTCTGCATGGAGTGATTCGTGCTTTGAGTTGATTTTCGTTCAGTTGATGTGGGACCCATTTTCCTAGCTTTCGAATCTTTCCCATTGCGTGTAAACGTTCACAAATGGTTGATTGAGAGACATTTAATTCCAATGCTAGTTGTTTTTGCGTTTGACATGGATTTTCATCGAGTAATGCTTCCAAATCCGTATCTTCGAACTTTTTTGGCTGACCTGGTCGTTCTTTGTCTTCCAAATCAAAATCACCACTTTTGAATCGTTGAAACCATTTTCTGCAGCTAGAATCTACTGGAGCTTGTTTACCATAAGTATCCGAAAGCATTCGTTGCGCTTCAGCCGCAGTTTTCTTCGTATCAAATAAGAAAAGGAGAGCACTTCGGAAAAACATTTTATCGCGATCCATTTTGAATTGATAAAAAAATAATGACACTGTGTCGAAAATAAATCTTTCTGCTCTGAATTAGATTGGCAAATGTCACATGTACAAAATGCAATTGGATTCACCTGTCAAACTTCATACAAGTTTAAGTGGCGACATCTAACAGTCAGCGGTAAAAATTAATCGATACACCCAATACGTACTCAATTCTTCGCTCACAAATCAAAATAGATGTGATCAACAGAGCATCTTGATTTGCTGCTGCTCAGCATATAGCTGAGAGCTGAGAAATGCTGAACTCGTGCGGCTAACGCATACGAAACGGATGCACGATACATATTCCCCTATCGCTTCGTATGTGCTGCCGTTGACGCTATTGCCGGTACAACGTTTACACACTATACCAGCGAACATACGAAGTGAAAGGGGAATATGTATCGTGCTTCCGTTTCGTATGCGTTAGACGTACACTTTCAGAACATATGAAAGACTGAGAGCAAAAACAGCACGTCGCATCTCATCTCTTGCTTTCACTTACGTAAGCAAAATAACGAGGGATGCGACGTGATGTTTTTCTCGCAGCTTCTCATATGTCGGTCGCAACACAATTTCAAACTCAACTGGTTACTAAGTTTTGAGTTTTGAATTGAACGACCAAACAACTGTTTATAACCGTTTAAACGGGGAGAATGCATGTGTGCGTGTCATCCGTTTCGTATGCGTTAGCCGCACGAGTTCAGCATTTCTCAGCTCTCAGCTATATGCTGAGCAGCAGCAAATCAAGATGCTCTGGTGATCAATGAAATATAATAATGATAGGAGGTAGCTTTTTTAAAGTAAAAAAATCCAAAATTTAATAAAAACAAGTTTTTAATTGTATAAATAAGTGTCGAGTAAAATGAAAAGAACTTAAAAGGTTATTTGATATTCTTGACAATGTAACATGCTCGATATAAGCAATATAGAATTAAAAGTCTTGCGGTTTGCTGAATTTATTAAGAATAAAATTGACCAATAATTTCAATAATAATTAAGACTAATATATTTTAGATTAACTTCATGAGTTCTGACATAGGTAGCATATTTCCGAGAACGTGGAATTTGCTGTGGTTTTTCGACGGAAAAATTCGTCCAGTTTTCTAGGGTTTTTCCCGTTAAATTGAATCGATTTTGATGAAGAATATGGAATGAAAAAGTCTTTCATCAATGTATTCACTGGAAACTTTTAGACTAAATAAAATATCGATTTGCCATGTCCCCCTAGATTTACCAGTGTCAGAACCTATGATTATCGTAACCTTCTGAATAAAACTTTTATATCTTTTTTTCATTGAAGTTATAAAATGATCATTAAAGAAAAATTTTATAATTGTAAGAAAAATGTTTAAATAACACACATTCGTCTCTTATTTCTATCCTAGAAAGTATGATGATCATACCTTTTTTATCGATTAATTTATTTCCAGATATTTTAGTAAAAAAAATATGATTTTATTTTACAGGATATTATTTCGCACAGCATGGTTTTGACGTTTGGTTAGGTATCTATATCGTATGCAAATAAACTTTCTCTCTCGAGTCTATTAGCATTGAAAATGGACACACTTTTTATCTATTTCGTTCTTGTTTGGTTATAAGGAAACGCTCGTGGTAATACATTTTCACGAAATCATACATCGCTTGATCCAGATGAAGGAGAATTTTGGCAGTTCAGTTGGCACGAAATTGCTATGAACGATTTGCCAGCGATGATTGACTTCATTTTATACAGATCCAATCACAATCAATTAATATACGGAGGGCATTCGCAGGGTATATACATCTATTTTATATTATAATTATGTAAGAATGATTTCATTCATTCATGAATTGTCCCGATATTTCATACAAAAACACCGCCATACAAAAAAAATTTCAATTTCTCAAGTTTTCATATTATGATAATTAGGTGGCACAACGATCTTTGCTCTACTTAGCGAACGACCCGAATACAATAAGAAAATTTCATTAGTACATGCTATCGCGGCGGCCGTTTATTTGAAAAATGCACAATCATTTCTAATTCCAATATGGACAAAGCTACGTCATTTTCGGGTTTGTTTAATTCTTTTTTATTTAAATGCATTTTTATCACTTAAAGCATTTATTCGATAGGGATTGGCCGAGAAGACTCAATTGTACGAATTGTTAGGTGGAAGAACATCACAATATTTCCAGCCACTGGCTATTTTATGTACATCGCCATTCTCTGAAAAATTGTGCAAGTCCCTGGTCGGTTATCTTTACGGACCACTTGCAGCCGGCAGTTATTATAATGTAAAAAAAATATGATTGTTGGAAAATATGATTTTATAAAAATGTCATTTCTTAACAGAATTTGGTTTCCGACTATTTATCTGTCGATCCAAGCGGTTCGAGTTTTTTACAAGTCATTCATTTTGGACAGCTTTTCCGTACAGGTGAGGAATTATTAATTTATTTCAAAAACTTTGAAAGAACAAATAATGAGGAGAATGCATTGTTTTTTCTTTCATTGCATAGGTCGATTCGAAAAATTTGATGATCAACAACTAGGAAATCCACCCCAATACAATATCTCAAATGTTCAAACAAAAGTGCATATTATTTACGGGACGAATGATTACATTGTCCCCACAACGGTATGTCATTATTTCAAATTGAAAATTAAAATGTGATGTATCGCTAAAAAGGAGATTATTATTTCAGGGTAGTCATAAACTGATACGCAGACTGAGCAAAACATTAGTTGCGGTTGACGAGACTGATTTCAGTCATTACGATTTTTTCTTCGGCCAGCAAGCTCACCAACTACCATCGCTTATGTTACGAGTTATAAATGCACATACATGAAAATGAAATCAAATAAATACAGTGCAAATCAAAATGGATAGATAAAAAAAATTGAAATTGTTTCTCTGTATTGTAAATTAAATTGTATTTTTCTCCATGGATCCTATTCGGTACATTAAATTGTGTTTCATTCTGGTTCAGTGGATGTCAATTGTTGAAAGTCTTTTTTTTTAGTTGTATACAAACACGTATTGTGCATTTTCATCTGGCAAAATACGGTATCGCTTACCATACGTGAGATGGTGAGATGAACAAGCAATGAATGAACATGCATTGAAAATTACATTCGTGTTCCTGAATTTGAATGCATCAACTTCAAACTGTGCATCATTTACAATAACAACAATGTTTTACGGTAAATATGTGTGACATGGTCTTAAGACACTTCCATAATCAAAACTGTATAAATTCGTTAGAAGAATTTGCAAATATAAAAGAAATATTATATGTGATCCCAACTTCAAAAGTTTCTTTGGTAGTCTTTTATAATTTATACGATAAAAGCTTTTCTTTAACACAATAATTTGTCTGATATTTTCTTCAAACTGGGTTTAAAAATTTTTGGAGAAATATTTAATGCTTTTTTTCGGCAAATGCAGTACTTTTGACATGATTTACTGTCATTTTCTCATAAGAAAACAATTGCATTTAATCACAAACGTTACGTCACCGAAATATCATTTATTTATTCATAACGATAAGAAAACACCTAGCTAAATACAATTTGCTCTATGAACTGCAACATCAGTGAGTCTGCAACATTGTATGCGTTCTATAAAATCGTATTCTCACGTGAACTAGACATTTTTCAATGTTCTTTTCACAAAACCTGAAACCGAATATAATTCCAATTATAGTAGACAATAATTTGCGTTTGATATTGAAAATTCATTAATTATACAATTAGCTATAGCATGAAAAGAATGAAATGAAAAAAAAAATTGCCGTATATATATAAAAACACTTTCAAATCGATTCAAATCAAATGTAATTTCAGTCATCTAAACAAGGCGAAACTCTATAGAAGCTCGTGCACAATAAATAAAATGATTACTTTAATATTTGTGATTTTTTTATTCATCGAATTATTTTCGTTCACATCAACTGATCAAATGGTGAATATACCAATTGTTTGCTGATTTTTGTTGTTGAACCATTTTGGTCATTTTATCCGTTTACTACCGCTATGTTGTCCAGTTGGAAATGGTTCAGACGACTCAACTTTCCATTGAACGATATTACATAACAACAGATGATGGCTACATTTTACGGCTTTATCACATTCCACCCGTACCAAATGTAACCGATAATACGAAGCATCCGAAAAAACCAATGTTCTTCATGCATGGACTGCAGTCATCGTCTTTGGATTATATCGTTTATCCAAACATATCAATGGGTGAGTTGCAATGTGATGTGCCTTAAAAAGCGTTTGTAAAGTGACGATTAAATGTGATTTATATACCAATACTCCAAATGAAGTGACATAAAATTTTTTATGATTTCGAGTTTTAAATGATACATATTTTTGCTTTTGATCATTTCAAGTCATTTTACTGTCACTTGTTTTAATTTATGCATATTTCAATAGCATTGAATTAACACCAATGTCTTTTTAAAAAAAATCACGTTATTTTATCTTGTCCGATTGCAATGCATTTTTCCATTTGACAAATCTCTTGCGACTATTTTGAAATGCTGAATGATCTTGAACGGTCAAAAATGAATGGGCTAGAATGTAAGTGATATACTGAAATGTTATTTTTTAAACGAAAACATAACACTTTTTTTAAACCATGGCAGACCATGAAGAACTAGAAATCCTTACGGTGTCCAAGATTTCGGTGCAAACTATAAGCTGAAAAGAAAATCACATTTCATTTTTTTAATATATGATGCAGTAGTGTGCGAGGAAAACTTTTCGGGGGGGGTGTTGATTTTTCTAACCCAAAAAATTCGGAAAAAAATATCTCGGAACCCTAGCAAATGGAAAGAATTCTCCTCAATTTTCTACATTGATGAGCTAAAAAAAAGGTCTTCACTTTTTGAATCAAAAACCCTAGCAAATTCGAAAAAAATGTCTCATCCAAATAACAGGGGACTCCGCACACTACTGATGTAAACAAATATGGTAGCATTTTATTTTCAATCGAATTTCAGGTCACACTAATTCATATGCGTTGCATTTAAACTTTAATCTCGTGCATATTAGATTTAATTATGTGCGGCATCAATAATTCGCTCTTTCTCTATTCCTCATTTCTCTATCTTTCATCTTAATCGTATGCATCGCGTTTGTTTATATATCAAATCGGCAAGTGAATGAAATTAATTTATTCAATTGTTGACGACGATGTGCTGCATAATATTTTGCCTAGACTTGCGATAGTCGTCAATTTGTGTACAAAAGTGTGTGTGTGTTGTTTCTAGCATTTGCTTTGCGTGTGAGCGCACAATGTAATATTCGCATAAATTGCATTCAGCGTCTAGCTTCTTTAAACATACACACACACACACAGTTCGAACGAGTCATAAACACGCTATTTCGATAGAGTGATTTTTGTGCTGTACACAACACACATATTATAGTTAGTTTTTCTTAATGTTTTGTTACCAAGAACCGATTTGATTTTATTTTGCAGGATATTATTTTGCACAGCGCGGCTTTGATGTTTGGTTAGGTATGTATGTTCCCGTCGATTCAATTCGATTTCTTTAAACCCTAAAAGCAATTTAAACCAGCCAATGAATACTTGCAATACAATTTTCCATGTTTTTTTCTTTCATTCTTTTCTTTTTGGTTATCAGGCAATGCTCGTGGTAATACATTCTCACGAAATCATACCACACTTGATCCAAATCGATGGCAATTTTGGAAGTTCAGTTGGCACGAAATTGCTATTTACGATTTGCCAGCGATGATTGATTTTATTTTAGCTAGAACCAATCAGAGTCAATTGATTTATGGCGGTCATTCACAGGGTGGTGCGGTGATTTTTGCATTGCTCAGCGAACGACCCGAATACAATGCGAAAATTTCATCAGTGCATGCAATGGCAGCCGCTGTATTTATGATAAACAATAACGCACTGTTGACACCGCTCTTGGAAAATTTGAACGAAATAAAGGTTTATATTTACAAAATAAAAAAAATCACCGATGAGCTTAAGAAACACTACCGAAACCAACATGCATTTGTTATGTTTTCATTTGCTTCTTTCCGTCTCGTTTTTCCCCCTACAGAAATTTATAGAGCAGAATCAATTTTACGAATTCAACAGCTTTCGAACAAATTCAAAGTTTCTCCAGCCGCTAGGTGAAATATGCATCAACCCATTCTTTGCGGAGATTTGTAAATGTGTATTAAGCTACCTTTTTGGCGAATTTGCACCGAACAGCTATTATGATGTAAAAACATGAAAAAAAGTATATACTAATAATCAAATTCAAATTCAATTTGAAAATAATTCATTTAAAAACTAAATAATATTATTGGTAAAAGAAAGAGAGAGAAGAAAAAAGCAAAGCATGAACTCTTCAATTAATTGAGCGAAATATTACATGAACGCCGTTAATGAATCTCTTGTTAACACGATTTTGTATGTTTTTTTTCGTGTTCGTTTTTTTTTTTTTCAAACAGGAGTTGCTGCGCGAGTATGCAGCGATTAATCCTAGCGGTTCAAGCTATCTGCAGTATGTTCATTTCGGGCAACTTTTTATATCGGGTGAATATTTGCATTATGAAAAAAAACGCTGGCGAGAAAAAAACGCACACAAACGATGCTGAAAAATCAGTAAATCATATTTTCCAAATGAAAAGTCAACGGTTTCTCTCTTTTTTTCTTTCCATCATTTTCATTTACATCGTTCAGTTGTTTTTTTTTACACTCTCTCATTTTGAATAATTTACGGTCAAACCTGTGTCATCTAGAGTTTCTCAATTCCCAAGTCGAGGCGTTTGACCGCACGTCGTCTATCTCTCACTATTTCACACAGTTGTAATGTATATGTATTTTTTTTTGTGTCATTGTTTATACGCATTTCGCTTCGTTCAAAATGTCCTGGAGAGCGAGAAAGAGTGTGTAAGCGAACGTTTTTATTTTATTCGATCACGCTGCGCCACTTCTCTACGAGTGAATGAACTGAACAAAGCAAAAGTGTGAAAGAAAGGCGACTTGAATTCTATCTGATTAATTTGTTTGGAATGTTGAAATTTGAACCGTTTTTGTTTTCTATCTCTCTTCATTTTTCGGAACCCATTCGGTTGATGGGTAGGGCGATTCCAGAAATTTGACTATGGACGAAATCGAAATATGAAATTGTACATGAGTCGAAAGCCACCAGAATACAATCTATCAAATGTTCAAACCAAAGTGCATATCATGTATGGAGACAATGATGCCTTAGTTCATCCTGAGGTATGTCGTATTATTTCGATGGAATTGAGCAATAAAAATTCAATGTCTTTATTTCAATTTAATTTATCTCTTTTTTTTCAATTCCAGAGCATTCCGAAATTAATAAGCAAAATAAATAAAACGGTGGTTGCCGTTGACAAAATACCGTATTTTAACCATTTAGGTATGAAAAAGATTGTTATTTTTGATTTTATTAATTTTAAAATGTTTTTTTTTTCTCGAAATTTCATTAGATTTTGTAATGGGACGCCTGGTTCATAAAGTGCAATCAATCATTTTACGTGTCATAAATGCTCATGCATAGCAGAAGAAAAAAAATCCGGTCCAAAATCCAACTGACGACCAAATAATAAATTCCAAATTAAAAAAAAAAATGAAATCGTTCGAATTGTTTTTCTTTTATGAAATTGTATTATTGTTACTTTGGGCGAACAAAAACCAAACAAAACAAAAATCCGTGGTTTTATTACAATTCAGTGCATCGTACAGCGCATTGGATATACTCGTATATGTTTAATATAGTTGAGTCAACAACGCACTCAATTCAACTAAATTCAAATAAAAACCCATACTCGTAGTAATATATAAAATATGGCATGGTTGTACAATGGCATTCTGCCTTTGCCTCATATTAATTTGACGAATCATAAATTTTGATGGTGCTTGCGTTGAACTTTGTTTTAGATATCAAGTGTTTTGTTTAACCAGTGGATACACTGCCACTGAAATATTTATATACGGTATGTATGAGCATGAGCTGTGTACACCAAAAGGGAAGTGCTCCATTTGTTGCTTTTAGTTAATTGCTACTTGTTTGTTTATTGTCGGGTAAAAAAAATGTGCTCCAAGTCGCTTGTGAAAAATGATGGATTCCTCTTTTTTTTGCGTGCAGCACTTGAAATTTTTCGGACTTTTCGTTTTGTTTCATATTCAAAATGAAAAATGTTCAGTTGAACTATAATTCAAGCGGAGCTATTGATACCGTGTGCTGCAGTTTTAATTGCTCGTTGCCCGAAAAAAAGTCGGAATTCTATTTCTTTTAAAAAAAAAATATAGTGAGTCAAAAGTGAGAATAAAATAGAAAAAAAAGATATAAATTCTCCGAAAAATGGTGTCCTTTGAAAGAGTTTTAGTAGGTTTCAATTTCTATTAACCGGCCTCGATAATCGAACAGTACATATAATTTGAATATTGAAATCAAACTAAACCTTCTTTATTCACTTTCGAATGGAAAATGGCCCGTTCTCCTAAGCCGAATATCAAATTCCTTATTATAGTCGGATTCGGAAGAGAGAATACGATGTTTAACATTCAGAAGCCATAAATATGTATATTATGGATCAAAATGTGTATATTTTTGAGAATAAAAATATGTACCGCGACACTGTCTATAGGTCCACACAAGGTGATCATGATCAATGCGCGCGCTCTTTCTCTCTAGCTATATATTAAATAAACGTTAAGGTATTCATGCCCATAATTCTGAAGGATTAATGCGTCTTTTTTTTGTGTTCAAAGAGAAGGATTTTCTGTGCATGCATGCAGACGGTATTTCGATTTGGGTTGACGTGACTTTTTTTTCTTCTTCATTCTGGCATATGATGTAGTCGTTTATTGTGAAAATGAAATATATGTGTGATAAAGAGATTGGGAGAGGGAGAGCGAGAGAGAGAATGAAAGATAAAGAAAGAAATCAAATTGAAATCAGTAATTTCCAATTGGAAGCATTTACGCTAATAGAATAAGTTAAAGTTAAAACGTTTTAAGTACTCATTGATAATTCGTTCGTTTTTAATGTTGTATTGGAGTTGGTCGTTTCATCGAAACAAGTTGAACTGAATTAGGATGTGTAAATTAAATAATAGATTTCCATGTTCTCGAAAATTGAAAGAGCTCTAGATTATGTGAGAGAATGGGAGATAGAGAAAGAGAAATAGTAAGATAGCTCGCAATGTTCGTAAAAATTGGTTAAAAAAGTTAGCATTGAAAATGGAAAATATTTTGTGATGGTACGGAGATAGTAAAATAGTCGTTATATTGTCAGACTAGATGAACAAGAAAGCCTGAAGTGAGTCTTAAGTGTATTGAATTTTAGAATGAGTAAATTTCATTCTTTGAATGTTTGAATGCATCTAACGTATTTGAAAATGGCATCTTACTAAAATAACGACAATGATGTCGGCGATTCCAAATGGGTTGTGCACATAGAGAGAGGGAGAGAGCAAATTGATAAGAAAAAGAGATTCACAATTGAGAGGATCGTATCGTAGAATATGCTTATCGAGTTGTATCAGAGCAATATGAGTTGACTGTATGGCGTATGATAAAATTAGTTCCTTTTATTCAATTGAGAAACATCTAAATTGATCATCGGAGATTTTTGTCCCATTCCGTTACACACATATTCCATGACTGTAATGCAAAACATATGAGAAAGCATATTATCGCCTTTCGGCACTAAACTAAGCAATTTCATTCATTCCAAAACTGAAACTTGAGCATTTCTAATGCTGTTACAGTTGTTGCATTTCTTTATTATTCGGTTTTTTTTTATTCTTATTATTTTTCTTGTTCTTTCACTTCTTGTCTTGTCTTTTATAGATCTATCTGGAAGAGAATTGCTTGTAATTTGAGCAGTGGATGGATAGATAGTTGTTGTTGTTATTGGTAGTGGTGTGTGGTGGCAGCTACAATAGAGTGTGTTCAAATAAAATTCATTTGTATGGATCTCTTTCATTCTATCGTCATTGTCGCCGTTTTCCTCTCTCTCTCCTCATCTCTTGTCTTTTTGGGTTTCATCACTTTGGCTCTTCGTCTATCTCATGGTGTGAGTGTGGATTTTGCATTGTCTTTTGGTTTTTGCTATCGAAAATCTTCTGGCATGTTCCACCACACGGTTTCTCTCTCTTTCTCTCTCTCTCTGTGCGAGCTTCATTGCAATGCTCATCGTCATTGCTCATGTTTCAGAGGGAATGGCAGACATAAAAGAACAATAAAAATGTCATTTTGTGTGAATGTTACATAAAAACAAGCGTAAACAAGCCAGTATGTTCTGTGAAGATAGAAAATCTATAGGCACTTATTAAAAAAAGAGCAATATGTTTTGAAACTTTGTTGCCACATATTGGGCATGTTGGTGCGATTGCTATTTTTCTTTCTGCATCTCACATCGTCGTTTATTTTGTGAGACCGAATGAATGAGTGCAAGTTGATGTAATGTTCTATATATTTGATATGTGTCTGCAGTAAGTGTACTTGGTGTGTGCATTATTGCCTTCCCCATGCCGTCTATATAAGATGTGAATCTTCACATTTTGAATAATTTAGTAATTTAGTAGGCTTCATGAATGAATGAATGAATGAATGCAGTGCATTGAGGAAGAGAATAAAATAAAATAAAAAGAGTGCAGCTGAATTGGCCGCTTGCTGGCTTACATTCGGCAGCTGATTTAGTGATGAGAGAGTGAGACATCGTTCGCTTACGTGCCGAGCATTGAATGAGCATTGATTGTATACTTTGCTGAGAGAGATCGAATTGAGATGATTAAATAAAATGCATTCGACAATATCAAAAGGAATAATATTCGAAAAATACACAAAACATACCATTAAAGAGTATAGAAACAGGAAAAGTGCGAGAGAGAAAACGAGATAGATAGAGAGAGAGAGAGAGAGAGATGCCGAGTACGAGAGATGTGAATGTACCACGCACAATCTTATTTTATTGTTGCGAGACGTGTTCATAGGACGGAATATCTATGGCAAGAGAGCAGAGAGAGCGAGAGAGAGAGAGACTGGCAGTGTGTATAGTGTATACACAATTCTCGATTGATACAATGCGTTTTGTAGCTCCCAAAAATGCGATGGTATTGTCAATACACGTCCATACCATACCATGATAATTGAACCATTCACCAATATTATGAATTTAGTACGGAGGAGCGTAGCATAGATTTGGATCCATTGCTACCAGCAGTGTGTATGTTGTGTGTAGTATTTGGATATAAATTCATTCCTTTTGGTCGAGATGTATCTCTCGGCTGGTTATTCGGTTGCAACAAAACAGTAAGAACAATCGCTGTGTAAACGCGTGAGAGTGCCCGTATTTTCGAGTTCGAAAACGTAGTACTTTCATTATACCCAACTTTATATCATATCTTTTCATGACGGTTTTCTCTTCTCTCTATGTGTATTGATGTATACATTGTAGCGATACATATACGGTACGTGTATTTCACTCTCCTGTTCTCGAATGCAATGCTTCAACGCTCCCTCCCGCTCTCTGTCCCTTTCAAATTCACTTGGATCGTTCCATCGTTTACTATGCGCCTCAACACGTTTTCTGTCCCGTTCTCACTCTCTTCTCCTTCTCGGCATACAGATATATATATATACATGAATATAGGTGTAGCATATATTCTCAAGCGCGCCTCTGAACCGATAGCATACTCCGCGCGCGTTACACACATATATTTTTTCAAGAGAAATATAAAAAAAAACGGATACTGTAAATGACAATACTAGCACGATATAATATTAGGAGAGAAGAATGTGCATAGAATGTTTTCAGACTGGATTCAGTCGAGTTCCGTTCGTCAAACGCAGTGGATATACGCAATTGGTCGTGGCTGTGTATTCGTTTGATTTGTTTTCGGAAAAAGATACAGAATTGAGAGAGAGTACATGAGTGCACACACAATAGCGAGAGAAGAGCAAATGAACGATGAAGTTTGTGGCAATGCGAATTAAATGAGAGTTTGAGAGTATTTTCGGTTGTTTCGGTAATTTCGGCATAGCGAAAGACAAAAACAAACAAACATACACCAATTGTTCACGTAAATAAATATACCGAATACCGTTTTGTTGAACACCATATAGAAAATTCAGCATATATATTGAACATTTTGTTTTGTTTTTTTTTTTTTTTTTTGGTTGTTTTTGAAAATCGTGCGACAATGATGTGTACGTGTGCAATATTATTTTAGCGAGCCATTTAAACATTTCTCTAGTGTTGGCCAATACAAACAGCAACAGCTACGACAACTACGATTGCTTCGAGTACGACGACTAACCAGAAAGATCAAATATTATATTGTGAATAAAATAAAAGGAAAATAATAAAAAAAAGAAGCGAATACACTATACGGTTTATATCCATCGGTTTTTTTTTGTATATGTTCGTCCCATAAACAATTGCTTGACACAGGGATTTGAAACAAAAACAACACGCATCATCTTGACAATTTCTTTTCTTTTATTCTGAAGCAAATGTTATAAGTTCTTTTCGCACTCGCTGTGGCTTTTAACAGCAGAGACGACACGACACACACACACGAAAAAAAAGAGTGAAAAACGATCTCGCATGTGAGCGATAGAAAGAGAAAGAGCGCGCGCGTTTTGTTTGGAATTTTATTGCCATTTTCTGCTCGCATATCTATATACACCAGATTGTTTTGTACCAACTTGCATGTGGTGCCAATAATACGAAATACCCATGTCAGTGGATGTGAATGGAATAATAATAAAAATAAAAAAAAACAACAACATGAATATTTCGTATTAAAATCATACAAAACGTACACGAACTAGAATCACCGCCAGAGAGCAAAAGAAAATAGAAAGAGCGAGCGCATAGCGCATTAGAGCAGCAACAAAAAAAAATTTCAAATCATCGGTGTGTATGCGCTTTATGCGATTTGAATTTTGTGTTTTGTTTGTTTTTTTTTTATTTCATTTCATTTTTCCATCTTCGCAATAAAGGAGCCGAAAAAGCATCAAGTTGAAGAGCCAAAGTGAGTGAACGCCATCAAGAACAGATCAATCGTAACAACAAAAACAAACTTTTAATAATGTGAAAGATACCGACATCATGACAATCTTATCTGTTTGCAACGGATGTCATGATGTTTGCTTACCGGAAAAAGTTTAAATATCCAATTAATTATATCGAAGCAGCAGCACAGTAATAGTCGGCATTAAAAGGGAAAATCATCTTGAATCATCTTGCAAAAAAAAAAAATATTTATTTTTCTGCTCTTGCTCAAGCGAACGCGCGGATTCGTGTTTTTTTTATTATCTTTCGTTCAAACAAAGGAGTCTTTGTGTAATACTACAATTGTTTTGTACAAACTAAGCGTTTAAAGAGAAAATAGTGAGTGTATTTTAATCGTTTCGGTTTTCATGTTGAAGTGCAACAATTTAGTGGAATTGAATTGGCATTATTAACACAAAAGAATATACTGTACATCACATATTGGATTCATTGTGCAATTGAGAGTATTAATCAAGTAAAACAAAAACCGAGAGGAAAAAAATTCAAACGAAAAAAAAGAGTATTAAAAGAGAGGGAGATATAAAAAATATATATATATAAAGGCAAAGAGTTAAAATACCCAGAAACAGAGAGAAGAGAATATTGAAATAAATCATGGGGAAACCAATGAATCCTCCAGAGAAAGCTGGAGGCTTGCCGCCGAATCAAAAAACTGCACAGTCCAACAGCCAAACAAATTGTGAACGTAGTTCAATAACCAACAATAGTGGAAATGTTCTCGTTTATGTAATATTAATCGTTTCGTTGAGTTTTTCTGCATATATATTTCTACGACAAACACATTTTGAAAATAGAATTCGACAATATCAATCGTTAGACAAACGAATATCGATACTTGAAAATAAATTGAAACTATTTCCGTTGGCATTCATAAATTCGTTGGCAAAAACGGCTGATACGTTACCATCGTCGTCATCGTGGTCAGCGACAACAATGATACCAAACAATGCACAAGAATCAACAGTGCCCGAAATCGATTTTACGAATGCAGGCGTTAATGCTGATGATGATGCCGATAACGATAATGGTCAAATTGCTGCCCATATTTTACAAAAGTTATCCTTACAAGTATCGGGAATACAACGTTTACGTCGCGACGTTTCTCACTTGAAAGCATCTAGGCGTGGTGAGCGACAAGCATCTGTTCATCCAACGGATTGTTCATGTCCACCAGGTAATAACAATAGCGTAGATTTTTGTTTTTTTTTTATTTCATCTTTCGTGCGGTGTTTGTATGCGTATGTGTCTGTATGTGAATCTATATCTATGTTCTTTCTTTCTCGCGCTCTCGCGTGACATGATGAATGCATATTGAGTGCAAGAGCAAAAGAAAGGTAATGGTAAAATCCCATTGAAATACACCGGAGCACCAATGAATATTTGAAAATAAATACACAATTCAATCAAAAGCAGCTCAAACGAAATAAATCATAGCAATTGTATGAAAGAGATGAATGATGTGTGTGTTCATGTGGTGGTGCATTCGCGTTATATTGTGTGTTGGCCAGTGTGTTTTTGTTTTATTTGTACATTTTATTTATTTGACTGTCATTGTTTTGTCTATACAATATGGGTATGGGATGCCATCCATTTTGCCGTATGGTCGGGTTTTTCGTTTGCGTTGCACGAAATGCAATTTAAATTGGTAGAGAAAACCGGAGAGGAGCACGAGGTGTTGATTAACATTTTGTGGTTAATCTGAACAAAGTGAGGGCAATAATTTTGTAAATATATACCAATATTTAGACACTATCATTGTTCCGGTGATTACAATTGATTTCGATGGAAAAACATTAAACAAACAAAACCGCGGATACATCTCTGTGTCGATTGCTCTCACCTTTTTCTCTTTCCCCTCTCTTTCTTTCTTTCTCACTCTCTCTCTCTCTCTCTCTCTCTCTCTCTCTCTCTCTCTCTGGCTATGTCTATCTTTGTTCGTTCCCACAAGTTCACACAAATTCACACAAATTCTCTCAATCACCCAATGTCCGTTGTTCTGACTCGGTTATGTTTCATATAACCGCTATCTGAATGGGTTAGTTTGATGGTTGGCTGGTTTGTAGCTAGATCTAATCAAGCGCGCACATATGTAAAATACATGCATCAAATGGCGCACATTCGACATGCTTCTGCTGTTGCTACTACAACTAATCCTGAAAGGTGATAGCGCCCATACGAAAACCAATTCAATTTTTGAGGTAAGAATACTGCAACATAGGTGTGTGTGTGAATGTTGCATTATTTGTAGCAATTGTATTTAGCTGTAAGTCGGTTGACTTTAACGTTACGGCCTTTACATGCTTTATTATCGCTTCAACTATATACATATAATATTATCGGTGTATGTGTGTTGTGTGTTCGTTGGTCCTTTTCATCTTGTCTTCTATGCGTTCGCGTGTTGTGTGTGCTTACATATGTCTGTCTTGCTTGTCTCGTATTATTTTTCTTTTTATTTCTCCTGTAAGCATTTTCAATAATATTAATGGCATTTTGGCCACCCACATTACAACGCAAGACACTTAAGTGAATCGCTTATAAGATTTGGATGTAAGTCAGATACACGACCTCCAAAATGACTTTATTTAAACTCGAATCAAGTTAAAAATAGCGTTGAAACAGACAATTCTTGCACGCATTTCTTCTCTGTGTAAATATCACATCTTTTTCGCTATATACCGACCGATTTATTCTTAAATTGTATTTTTTTTTTCTCCTTCTGTTATTATTATTACTGTTGTTGTTGGTGTTATTATTTTACATAAAGGGAAAAGGCTACTACATCTCATTCTCGCATGCTGAACCGTCATCATCGTTGTTTTGTATCTATCTCTTCTGCACTATATAAGGTATACGAGCAAGAAAGATGCGACAAAAGTATTTTAACCAAATACCCATAAATAAGTACAGAGCCCAGTTTAAGCAACACGATGAGACGAAAAGAGAGATGAAACAAGCCAAAATGTAAGTGTGCGGCGGTTTTTTGCCGCCGTCACCACCGCCATCGCCGCCGCCGGTCGTCGTCATCGTTCTCGTTGCTTGTGCGACTCATTCAATTCAACCAAACCAAAACCGTTTCCTATCTCATTCACTCTTCAGCACTTTTTCAACTCTTCGCCGGAATGTTTCGAAATTGTGTATATATTCCAAGCAGAACATTTCAAAATATGTATGGTTCGCTTATTTTATTTGTTTGTTTTTGCTCCCAATGCGTACGCTAAATATACACGCTTCCTAGGGGATAGACACTGGCTATGGAATGTATGCACTTTGTGAAAAATAATGCACCGATCACACCTTTCGAGCAAATGACACACAAAATTCGTTTTCCAAGAAACAGAGCATCGTGCATCGCACCATGTATGCACTTTGTCTTGGAAAATCTGTAAAATTCTTTCTCCTCGTATCATATGTCACGTGTTTTCACTCTATTGACATTCTGTGCTCGTAAATAGGATTTTTGACTTCAAAACAGATTAAATGCTTTTCAAGCGCGCGTGAACAATGCGTGAAAATAACGACATGACAGAAGTGGAAATAGAGAAAATGCTCTGCGTTTGCTTTCTTAAAAGAGAATTGTTGCACTCCTTCTGTTCAACGTCAAGCGTAAAGAAACATAATTGATTGCTCAACAAATAGACGACATCGAATTGAAAGAGAAAAGACAAAACAAATACGAAGCAACACATTTTTCTATTTAAAATTGTTGGAAAAGGAGAAACAGAAAGCAGAAAAAAAATCTAAACACAAATTAAAGATAAACACCATTTGTAACTCAGAATCGATTTTGTTTTTGTGATTTATGTATGTGTGTGTGTGCGATATTGTAACACAACGATCCATGTTTGTGGAGATTAAAATAAACAAATTCGATGAAAAATGTTTAAATTATGCAAAATTCAAGTGTCGTGAAATTTGCATACTCGTCGCCAGCACCAACCCCTAGCCAAGTCCAATTTACATTTGGAAAAAGAAGAAAAACAACAACAACACGGCAGATAGCATTTATGTTGCATGTTGTTGTTATCGACCACAGTACGTAGCTACGAATGCAAATTTGAATGCGAAAAAGAGAACGATTGAAAGAGCATGAAAGAGAAAAACAGAGTGAGAGCATAAGCGATGAGATTGATGTATGCATTATCTGTTTCTTCTGAACGACTGAATCGCATAATGTGCAATAAAGTTATAAGTGAAACGTACGTTTGTTGCTTAAAGAAGCTTGTAACTCATATTTACAAAAGGATAAAACCATATTTCTCTTCTTCTTCTTTTTTGCGACCAATTTTCTTTGGAACACTAACTTTTGAGTATATGTGGCGCATTGAATGCGTATATTTGCATCTTAACACATTGAAATGGGCCAGAGAGACAGTGAGAATGAAATAAAATTCGTGTTTATTATTATTAAGATGAAATGAGAGCTCGAGACCATACAGTAAACGACTTGAGGCAACTGTTTTATTTGATAAATTATGCATGTACCTTGAATATTTGGCTAATTTGCGACCAGCAGATATGATAATATTTGCAAACGATTCGTGACATGTTTCTTCGTTTGCTTGCCCAAGTGTGCATTGAAGCGTATTTATGGTTTTGGTATTGGCCCAAAGTCTTTCTCGTGTGTCAGAGATGAGAGAAAAACACAGACACACACACAGAGGCAGACAGACAGAGAGAGAATGAAAAGCTAATAGACATAGACCGTGAACATATGCAAACAAGCAAGAGAATGATATGGTTTTAGCAATTATTCACCTAGTTTCATAATCGTATTTCGTGTAAATTGTATGGATAGTTATCAAAATGCATAATTATGCTCAATAATATTTGGTCCATTTCACATGAAATACACATCAACCGAAACAGACACACAATACATACATAGAACCATAATTTTATCAGTTGAGTCGTAAATTTTCAATATGAATGAAATCAAAATGTCAAAATCGAAAACCCCCTTTGGTTATTACAATATGTGTTACCCATTCTTCATTATCCTTCTTTTCATATGGAAATCTAGCTGTCGGAAATCATACAATTTATGTACCATTTTTCACGCAAAAAAAAAGAATGTCATTTCATCCTCTCCGTGTTATTCATTCTTCGCCATTTCCACTCTTTTTTTTATTACTTTTCTTGGTCTTCGGGTGTTGAAGAGATCGATTGAAACCTTTGCCACGTAGCCATGGGTATTTGTGTGAATTTAAAGGCATTAGTAATTTAAATCTCGAGGCAAACCCATTTGGATAATAAAATGAAGGCGAACGAACAAACAAAATAAATGCTTTTATATATGTTTCATCTCGCTTCTTTCTCTGTCTCTTCCCGTGCGCTTATGTTGTTCAGTTTCAATAACCCATAAACTGACATCATAGAAAATCCCACATTTTCGGTAAGAATATGTTTTAAATTGTTTGAAACCAAATATAAACACTGAACTTTCATTCGTTAAACAACACATAAATAAAAATGGCTTTGAATAATAACTCCAACTTTGTTGTCACATTTATATCTTTGTCCTCAAGTCAATCTCTTTTTATCAACTTTTTTTTTTGTTTTGTTTCTTTTCATCATTTGGGTTTCGTAAGATGCGTTTCAAAGACTTTGTCGATTCTTTTTCTTACAGTTTGTGTGGGTGGTGTGTGTGTGTGTTTTTTTTTCGCTGTCGTGTAAAAAAAAGTACTGGAAAATTGTGCGGAATAATTTCCGTGTTAAGTAAAATGTTTGGTGAAGCACGTGATTTAAGTTACTTTCATATCACTTATATTGTTATATAATTATCACAATATTTGCCGTTTATAATATAAATGGAAAATGAGCTTTTATCAACAATTTCATTGCGTATTTATACAGTACATCGGTTGAACGGGGGCGGATTGAGTGAGAAAGTGAATGTTGTGAGAAAATAGGATTATTCGGGGAAAATGGGAAATTGTTTTTTTTTCGTTCAATTTTCGGAAAAAAATGTGGCTTTGCATGTCTTTTTTTGTCATCTCCGCTGTGTCACTGTTATTTTTGGAGTTTCCGTTCTATTCAATAAATTAAGTTGCAATCCAAGCGCTCGTGTGTGTGTGAGCTGGCTGGTGCTCTCTGTTTCTCATGATTTTTTTCCATTTCCATCCGTAGATTGATTCGTTTTTGTTGAAATTTTGGCGGCATTGCTTTTCATTCTTCATACGAACTTAAACATCTCACTCGAATACAATTAATTTGATTGTGAAAATGTAAAACCATTCGAAATTCAAATGGGAAATTCGAATGAATGGAAAGACAAGAGTGCGACGAAAGAATGAGAAAAACCTTTTGTCGAATAGGATCTTTTGTGTAAATATTGAATTAATGTTCTTTATATATCGTCGTCGTTCATATACACCAATTCAGGCAGTTCCGTGTGCTCGCTTGTGTGCACGATATATTGTCGTCACAAGTGAAAGATGAAAAGCGAGAGCTGAAACAGAGATTGCTATTTTTAAGTTAAGTAAACAATAAGAAAATAAAATTGTATGGATGCTTCCCTATCCATATAACCTGAAATAGATGCAAAACACAAGCATCCAGACACATATGTGACACACACACACCAACCGAGCGAGAGAGACATGCACATACACGTACCTCACTTATTCACTTAAATCGATTGTGTCTATTTGTTTTTGCCATTGCTATTGCGACGGATAATGAAGCTTTGAAATGCTGCACCTGGTGTTAAAGAACAAAAAGCAATTATTATCATTTTGAAGGTTTCATCCTTTGAGAAGAGAATGGTTTTTGAAGTGAATAAAGTGTTTGCGACACACAATTTTAATTGTGTTGGCCCAAGTTTAAGGCCATATGACACACATGTGTAATTAGCCTCTAAAAATCCTCTCTATATCATATTTCTGAGTGAGTAAGAGAGTGTGCGGTGAAAGAGAAGGGAGAAGAGCAGAGAAGAAAAAAAAACACCGCCAACAGTGCATTACAAATTCAGACCGATTGCGTTTCCATAAACTTTAGTCATTTAACATTTATGCGGAGGCATTGCCGCAGGCTGTAAAATGTCATACATATAATTTTGCGATGTAGCAAAAGAGCAGCGCCCAAAGACAAATTTATTTCACAGAAGAAGAAGAAAGAAAGAAAAAACACACACACAGCCACAACAACAACAAAAAAATGTCTTGGCGTCTGCGGGTGTAAACGACACGAAAACCGGTGTATTTTTGTTCACAATTGACTGCATTATGAGCTTCGCCAATTCAATTGTCTTGAACGTCCCAAAACGAGTGCAATTAACTTTCTTGCGTGTGTTGCACGAATGTTCAATGAACATGAGCATTTTGTCATTTGTCGAAGTGCAACGATTGTTTTTAGTGTTGTTGTTGCTGCTGCCAACACATGCATCGTAAGCTCTTTGCTTATGCATTTCATCAAAACGCCGGTGGAAAAAGCACTATCCCATCAATCTCTCTGTTGAACTTTCTTAAAACAAACAACAATAAAACATTACCACTCGTGTATAGTATATTGATTTATTTTCACATTTTATACAAATTGAGTGGCACAATGTTTTTCCACTCACAATGCAAATCATCAGACTTATTTTGTAACATTCTCCAATTTTATGCTCAGATTAGGGGCCGCGTTGCTACACACTGATATTCACCCAATTTATGATAATCATTTATTGATTGATCCGGAATTGTGTCAATAAATTTCAATTTATTTCGGATGCAAGAAAGATGACAATTTCAAATTGATAATGGATGCGAATTCGAATGAATAATAAAGATATATATACGATATCAATTATTCTGTATTCGCACCAATTTTGTATTCGTACCAATCATTCGGTTCAGCAAAGAAAAAAAAACCCAATCATTCTATCTGCAAACGTTGATGATTGCAAATTCGTACGGATGATTTATCAAGGGGATTTTATAAGCGTACATCTCAAAACTTTGTATTACTTCATACTGAATTCAGTGTTCAGCTTGTGAAGGTCAGACGACTTCGACAAGTCAAGTCAACTACAGGTTGTACGCGAATAGTGGGCACACACACACTCGAACAAGTTCAATGTTTTAAACGTCATGTATGTTATTTCATTTCGTTTTTTTTTCTTCTGTTATTATTGCAATCGCGTCTAGCGACCACCACCGTTGCAATATCAATATTCATGGCACGCAGAGATACATTACGATCTGTGTGAGTGTGTGCATCAAGCATTTAATCTAGAAATAATTCTCTCTGGCTAATTTCAAATAGAAAACGGCAATATGTACACATAATTTAATAAACTATAATTTCAACGACTGAAATGTGATATAGTGATGTAATAGAACATTGTGGAGGTACCTTTTTGAACAACATCATTGAAACGAACAGATTGGCCGGCTTAAACACACATCCAATTGCAAGACATTTCCGTTTAACTTTGAGTATAAATTCTGAAATTAAATTTTAATCACCTTAATTGCATGTATCCCATTACATGGTTTGAGCATATTTTTCTGCTTCTTCGTTTCATCTGATGGTTGCTTGTTCTTCATCTTGTTGTTGTTGTTGTTATTGCAGATTAGTGAGTTTTCAATTAATAGATGTGTACTTAATGTCTGTCATGCACGATTTTCAATATATATAGATATATTTTTCTTAATTCCAATCGATTCACTTTCCTGCATCGTAAGCTCTTTGAAAACCAAAAGATTAACAATCAATTTGCAGCTACTTGTTGTGTTTAAACAGAATCATTTTAAATAACGATTTTCGAATCAATTGATGATTGCCAATTTGAAGCGAATTGAATTTTAAGATTATCGTTGTGTGTGTGTGTGTGTGTGTTTTTAATGTGTGAAACGTGCTAAAAGTCGAATTTTTTTTTTGGTGAATTTTCATTTGAAATTATGCATTAGAAGATGGCGAACGAACGTTTTGCAAAAAGAATGTGAAACTGAACACCGAAACACTTGTAATGAGATCTTTTATTTCGTTTCTTTGGAAACAATTTCTCTCTAGTTCGTCTCTTTAAAATTTTAACACCTCCAACAGCAAATCGATGGATAGAAACTTTGTTTCGTCTATACGAACTACTTCGAAAGTCATTGTTTGAAAGTCTTAAGCTGTAGACATGGGGTTTTGTGGTTTGAATATATGGCGAATGTTTTAATGTTAAGAGACATAGATAAGAGTCACGAAATACGTCAAAAAACTAATCTAAATTAGATGAATAAAGTAGATAATTTTCACATTGATAGAAGTTGAATTTCATTTGTGTTTTTGTTTATTCCCAGGACCACCGGGCCCACCGGGTAAAAGAGGAAAGAAAGGAAAGAAAGGCGATGCTGGCGAACCGGGACCACCGGTAAGTTTTACTCAATATGTCTAGCACACAAGAAAACCCTATCACTAATTGTATATATTTTCGTCAAAACTTAACCGAATTGCTACATCGAAACATGAGCAACTCTATCCAAACTATATAATCCCAACCGAAAAAAATGTTTGATAAACATAAATCGGTTGAAATTTCGCGTATAATATTTTCGAAATAAATTTTAGCAACTAGCATTATCCATCCTTTTTTGAAAATCTACACCACGCCAATAAAATCTCTCTTATATAGAATAATGAAACCATATTGCCTGCTAGCCCGTGAAATGCATGAATCTGTGTAAATATTTTCATCCGTTGCTGTTCTTTGCACCTTTATCTCAAATAGAACAATTAATTATTTGTAGTTGGTCTTTCGGGTTTTTATTTTATCCATTTTTGTTTCGTTCGTTTCTTTCTGTCATTTATTTTCCGCTGCCGTTTCTCTTTCTCACGTTTCATTTTTCATTTTGGCGAAATGAACGCAGTCCTGCATTCATACATTTTAAGCATATTCATATTTTTTTTTTTTAATTTGTACAATATTTCGTTTTGAGTTGCTGTTTTTTTATTTTTGTTTTTCTTTTCGTTTTATTTTCAGGGCGTGCAGGGGCCACCTGGAAAAAATGGTTATGGCTTGCCGGTACATATATATAAATATAAAAAAAAATATTGAAAATGAATTATTTATACTATCCTTGTGCATTGGTGTCTAGCGTATACTATCATACCAGTTCGGTTTGGTTCGGTGGTGTTTTTTTCTTCTATCTCTCGGTTCGGTTGATGATGCAAATGTTTTATTAGTTGAAAATGCAGCATTTCCGAGAAGAAAACACGAACTGAAATATATAACAATATTCAGCGCTGTGTGTTCAATTTTTTAGTTTGTCAGTTTGATAGCTTGACTGTTTGATGAATTCAATTTGTAGATCGCTGTACGAGAACGAGAGAATTGGAATTTATGTGGAGTTGAAAATGTGTTCGGTGTGTGTGCGTCTTTATTATTCAGTGCACGTCATCTGAAACATTTGACCCCATTGAAATTAGCTTCGTTCCATACGGAATTTTACAGATGTCATAATTACTATCGTTCGGTTGTTTCATGCAGCACGAAAATCAAATAAAATTCCACCGCGATTTCAAGTTTCAAAATTTGACATCTCCCATCTCGAACCATACGTACACGTACATACATATATATTGATGATTAAATTTGAGCGACCAACCATTTACGAATTTTATTGAACCATGCTCTCTTGCTTCGATGATATTCTCTCCCTATCTCTCACACTCTCTTTCTGCTTTTAAATTCTCGACAATTTTTCGAATGATTCATTTTGTACACATAAATTTTAATGTTTTCGCTTGGCTTTGATGATTTTATGCCTGTTTTAACATCGATCGCTAAACGATGGTAAATTTCATATTCGACAAGAGCACCAAGTTAATCTCATCAAAATCAAAACCAATAATATCATTTTCGAGCATTTCACGAATTTTTGATATAGATTTTAAACTTTAAAATGTTTTCAAACTTAAACACAAAACAGAGAGAGAGAGGGAGGTGGGAAGGAAGGTGGAAAGAGAGATAAATTCACGCCAAAAAACTTGGAATGAAACCGATTTTGATAAGACAAGTGATATTCAACAATTTTAGATGAGTGTCTGTGTAAGCAAAAGAAAGACAGATTGGTGCCATTATTATTGTATAAACTTGTTGGGGATGCTTAAAAATGGTGGGCACGTTGATTCGCAGGCTTGAAGTTTTGTATATTTAGTTGTAAGCGATATCCTTTTTTGGATGAAACGCGAGCAGGCCATATTCAAAGGCAAGGCGATTGCGTCTTCATCAATGCATGCATCAAACACACATAAATCGATAAAAACTTCGATGAAGTTTTTTTTATATCTAATCAAACATCTTGAAACAACATAGACACTTTGAAATCATAGTTGAAATTACTCAAGAAATTCCACATCGATTTGATTTTTCACCAATCTATTTTTCAAAATCTTCAAAAAAAAAAAAAAAACCAAAAAGTTCGCTGGAGAAAATCAAAAATCAAAAGAATCACTTCATTTACCCTCTTATTATTCTAAGTGGAGTTTGTTTCAACCATATTTCCACTCATTCGCTCGCTCGTGTACCATGTTTTTGTGCCAATGAAATTGCTTCGCCGAGTTAAAGTTGGCATACAAATAACGCCAAGGGTATGAGGCCGTTTTACAGTGTAAAATTACCACCATTCCATGTATAAACTCTCCGGTTTAATAGCAATCGACCATCATTCACCGTACATTCATCTCCGTATATGGAGTGTATTCATTTTACATCCACAACACACGCACACACTCACGTATATATAATTATATTCAATGCAAACGAACACCCATTGCTGAATTTTCAAAGACGGTTGAACGATCTCAAATAATAATTATAACTAATGAACAAGACTAGAACAGCTATGCAAAAAGTAAAAGAACATCGTTGCAGTAACAAAATAGCACAACGAACGAATAAATTCAAATGAAAGTTGTTTCATTGAAATTGAAAATGATAATGAACTTAGAACCAAAAATTCCATTCATCATAATTCTAGCTAATTGATAGAGTCATCATAATGTCAATCATTTGTGCAAAATCATATCATCAAAGAAACACTCAGTTAATTAATAATTTATTCTGTCTTTTTCTGTAGGGCCCTATCGGATTAGATGGACCTAAAGGCGAACCGGTAAGTTGATTTCAATGATCCCTTTTTATTTCTGTGCGATTGTCTGTTTGTGCAAAACTTTTTCATCTTTTCATAACACACATTTTTTTTCTCCACATAAATTTTTCGTACATTGTTGCAAAAAACACTTTTTCATATTGCTGAACACTTGAAAACGGTGTAGATAAAAGCACAATTGAAAAGAAAAATGGCAAATGGTGGTTATTCGCCCGAACTTGACCAAAAAAAAACAATCTTAGGCATACTTTGTGCTCTAATTGAGTGCATACTTATCTTTATTAGCCATCAGCCGATAAGGACTTTTGTTGTTCTTCGTTGCCATCGTACGCTTGTTGCTCCTAAAATTAGCGTTTTATGAAAATGGCGTGACAAGTATTATTTGATTAAATTCTTAAGATTCTTATCAAACAATGGGTACGGATTCACATTCCAACAAAATGAATTTTTAAGAATTATAATTTTTTTTCTTGACGATGATGCTTCCGTTGTTTTCGCAAATATTTTTTCAAGCACTTTTGTCGGTTTAAATTTTTCTTTGGCTCATGCAAAATTCATCTATTTTCAGGGTCTTCCGGGTGAAAAGGGACAGAAAGGTGACTTGGGTCAGCCGGCCATCGATGTTTTCCAAGCAGTCAAGGTATTTTTGTTCATGCTTTCGTCATTTTTCTTCTTTAATTATGACGTCAACTGCATACATTTTTACACAATGAGACGAGAAGAAAAAAATATGCATACAACGACAACAACTGTGTGGAGCACAAGCTGTATGTGTCCATTTCGATTTCGTTGGCAACAATTATTCATCGTCGCTTTGAAAAACGAAAAAAAAAACAAGATTCTATATACATTGAGTATATACGCGTTTATTTACTTCTTGCCATTTCATCGTGTCAGATAGATGAAGACAAAAACTTCGGCGCTTTCGTATGCGATCATCAATAGGAAAAGAAAAGAAAAATGACCGAAAAACAAATAGAAAACATAAATAAAGTGAAAAAAAAATTCAAACCAAACATCACATTGAACGATGAGGTTTAACAGTGGTTGAGATCTTTCAAGCCCAGAGGACCATTTTCTTTCATTCCTTCTATCCTAAACCAAATACTAAGTAATTTCCAAACAAAACAAATCGAAAAGTTTACAAGATGGGAAAAATCGTCTTTCCATTTCAATGAAGTAAAAAGAAAAAACAACGAAACAGCATGTTTCTCTGACAGCGTTGTAGAAAAATCCGTTTCGAAATAATCTAACCAATTGCATATTTTGCTTCCGATTTATTGAACAATTTTTTTTTTCAACGGCCATGTTACACAAAGTGTATGTTTCTTTAGAGGAAAGACAATTTTTTTTGTGATAAAATCACACTGAATCAATTTCAAGCTGTGTGAAAAGTGTTAGATTTTTCCACTCATTCATGTCAAAAACCTATTTCTTGTTAAGAGTTCTTCAGTTTCAATGACTTGTCAACTGCAAAAATAGAAGAAAAATAAGAAGACAAAGACGATGACGAAGTACGAACATAAAAAAAAAACTAACCAAGAAAAATACACAAATGCCATTTTGTTCGGTTGTTATTTTATGTTAGTCGTTCGTTCGTCGTGTCCTTCCGCTGACGGGGGAAAAAAGTGTACAGAATTGACATTTTCAACAATTCATTTTATTACGCTTCAACTGTACAAGCGACAGCTTGTCGTACTTCAAGCAATTGCAGAATTTTTAGTATTTTAAACCAATAATATAATAGTAGCTTATAGTTAGCAGCGTTTTGTCTGCGATATCTCATCATTTATAAAAAAAAATTCGTTCTATTATTCTTTTCGTTCTTCGAATTTATGCGAAAATATGTTTATGTTTAAATATATGTTACAATGCAGGGACTCAAAAGATCAGTTACAACATTACGCGGTGGCTCTCTAGGCTATGCAGAAATTGTTGCCGTCAAGGTATAAATACACAATGCACATGGAACGAATGTTTTAAATTGCGCGCTTACTCACCACCGAGTGTGCATTTTTCACATACCATTTTTCGTGTTTGTAGTTGTAGAAATGTTGGTGTGTGTATTTTATATAGTTTTGATCACACACTCACAGATTCATTTAACTTTATGCCTTTTGCATATACAAAATATAGTGTTCTCTCTGTTGATTAAACATTTCATCGATAAACATTAATTTTCCAATCCAAATTGCCGTTTCGAATGGAAAAAATAAAATCATGAAAAAAAATTGGCTTAAGAAAAATGTTTAACTGATGTGAATCGTATGTGGTTCGTCTGAATTTGAACTTCAATTTTCGATCAATCTTAGAATATCCATTTCAGTCAACAATTTTCATTGATTTCTTGATACCTCAAGCGATTTTCATTTCGTGTTGGCTTTCGAAGCGAAATGTGATTATGTTGCTGTTGATCAGCAGAGAGTGCACTGTAAAATTGCTCAGGCTAATTGTGTTCGGTAAAAATGTCACTAATGTATTTCGCACAGGTCGATTTTTAACTATTTGCTTGTTAACATGTTTCTCTTTTTTGTTGTTGTCGGGTTACCTAGTTGAATTTTACCGATGGGCTGAGAAAAAAAAAACGCAGAAAGAGCTCACTCTGAATGTGTATTTTTGAAGCGATTTTTTTTTTGTTCGGTTAATGCAAATTGAATCGCTCGAAGTAAACATTTTCCACAATTTGACTAGTTTGTAGTTTTAAATACAGTGCAAAACATACAAAGTTGCTCATGCACCAAAATCGGTCTAACTCTCTAGCTTCTCTCTATTGCTTTTTTAATTCAATCTCATCGGTAAAATCAGCATTTGATATTTATAGTAGCTTAATGTTGTAGAGCGTTTTACCTCAAGGTATTAATAATATTTGTTTTGAGATATATTTGTATATTTTGTATGTGTTGCCCTTTTTAATTGAGATATATCTTTTACTCTATTGAATTATTTATTGAACAAAAAGACATATTAGCTTCATCGATACGGTATGTTGAACCGAAACATAAAAAAGTGTACACACACATTCAATTGCAATGCAATGATTTTTAGTCGATAAATTTGATGTTGTCGTCAGGGGAGTAAAATGTGATTTTTTTTTTACTCCAATCGACACGCACACAGAAACAGAGAATGAAAAATCGTGCAAACTGCTGGTAAAAACGGCAATCGGATTTGTTTACAGTTTTCGAAATTGAATGCATTCTTTTTTTTTATTCGTACATTCGCTGCAGTTCAAAATTTATTTTCAGGTAAACAAAATCAATTGGCATTTTTATTTGAAAATACGATGGTTTTTTTTATACATCTCTCGGTTCATTGTGGTCGATTTTAAACTGAAAAATATGGTGTCAGAAAAAATTGAACATTTTTGTTAACATGGAATATTTGATATTTTATTTGAGTACATCGCTTTGAAAAGTGCATAAGCGAAAGGGAATGAAAAAAAGCGTTTACATTTCAAGAATGTAAAATTTAAGGTGTTTTTTTTATTAACGCTCGACCCAAAATGACTGAAGAAAATGAAGACGAGAGATGAAAAAAGTGTAATGAGAGAACACAAACGTGATAATAAAGAATGTTTTTATTCGACACAAGCTTTCTCTAGAAATGAGACGATTTTATTGGAAAAATTCCAAAGACCAAGGCCTCTTTCAAAACTGCCACCCAAATGAACAGAATGAAGAAAAAAAAATGCGTCCCAAACATATTGTTCACCAAAAGGAGCAGACATCGCACATTGCATTCAATTTAAGTTGTACCATCATCAGACACCTAAAAATTACTTGCGCAGACAGCTTTTACTTTCGTCGTCGAAATTTAATTTCTCAAATGTTTCCAGTTATTGTTTACTACTTATTTCTTTTGTTCTCCGTTTTTATCCTGCCTCCCCATTCGAAATAATATTAGTCATCGTTGTGTCATTTTCTGTAAATGTTTTTTTTTTCTGCCGGCTTCCTATCCCTCTCCCTCACTCCGTTGATTCCAAAAAGTCAAGCTAAATGTTGAAAAATGACGCATCAAATCTCCCATCTGAATAATTTGTGTTAAGTGCCTGCATAATGGTTTAATAAAGAAATAAACGAGTTGTATAGATGCGCTAGCGTCAAAGTCGATGAATAGACGCATTCAGTGATCAAACAAACAAAATGCAAGAAAGATGAGTGAATAAGAGTATAATGCACAACATCATCGTCATCGTCGACATCGACGACGACGACGACGACGACAATGTTGATGGTAAAATGATGATGATATATGTGCGAGGAAGTTGAGATAGAGGCAATTCGAAAATGTGAAGCAACGTTAAAAAGTATTCAAATAGAAGAACAGAGAAAAAAAAATGTGTAAACAAAAACCCATGCACACACAAAAGGTAAATAAATAGAAAAACGGGGAATAACATAATATTGATTGAAAAACAAAACAAAACAAAGAGCAAGAGAGTGCGAATGGCGAGGTAGGAGAAATGAAAACAACGGCATTTGATACTACTTAAGAGGTATTTTAAACACAAATATTAAATAAAGTTCGATGCATTTAGATCTGTGTGTTCCTTCTTTCATCCATTCGCATCCAACCGATATCGGGTATAGTTATATGAGTGTAGAAAATCCAATTCTGCGTGTACTGAAGAGATTATATCACGAAAATTCCAATCATGCTGCCAATGCCTTTATAAACAACAACAACAACAACAACAAAAACTATATAAATAAAAACGCCTCATAATGCGGTCGCACTATTTTTCTAAACCGATCAACAACAACAGCGAACAAACAAACGCCGAAGATTTCAATCTCAGTCTCTCCGTCCGTCCCTCAATCTATGTTGGGTTTCTCTTTATTATTTTTTCTTCTATTATTTATTTGGTTTGCCAATAGAGGTGCTGGTAATTCTCCTCTTAAGCCGACGATATAATAGTTGTTTTATGTTATTCCAATATGGGTTATTTTATTTAAGCTGAATCTTAGATTTATCTGCTGTATTTCAATGGTCAATTCCCAATTAGCCAATTAAATTCGAAAACAAAATATAAATGCACACATAACCCCGTATCCCGAAATGCCACTGAATCATTGGCACTGATCGAATTTTTTTCCAACCAATTTTCTTAATGCATTACTGCAGACAGCATTTAGTTTCCGTTCCGTTTTCACATTGGTTGGCATCAAGGACCACACTGTTGTCTTCATGTTTTTTTGTCCTAATATTATGGTCACGCTTTTTTCTTCTCATTATTTTCAACATAAATCCCATTTTTTATAACTCCAATGCTTTTTTTTGGTGTGCGTGCATTCGCGTGTGTGTGCATGTGGTTGGTCAATTGAACATTTTTTTTTCTCGTTGGTCAACATATTCCATTATTTACCCGTAATCGTCACTATTAATCAAATGTCATCATAATTCTACATAGATGAACAAAATAGAACAAAAAAACCGTTTCATAAATAAGTCAAATATTGTAATTTCTTTCATGCAAGAAAAAAGAAAACAGAAAAGATGCGACGAATAAAATTGGCTCTAAAAATTGAACAAGAGCGCCCAAGATGATTCAATCAAATAAGCGGCCATTACTTCAATGGTACTTGTATGGGTAACAATTTTATTGACGTTGGCGCATTGTATACGTAAATCTTGTGGCTAATTTAAGTTCCGATGATAAATGGTATGGTGTTTGGTCATCGGTTGAGCAATAATATCGTGTCGCAAAAACGAACACGCACACATACATAAAAAAAAGAAATTGAAAGGACACAAAAAAAGACAATACGCGACATAATTCATGGTGAAATGGCAGAAAAGAGAGAGAAATAGAAGAAAAAGGAAAAAAAAATGTAGAAAAATAGGCATCGGGGATACACAAAATTGCATCAAAATTGCTCATGAGCACTTCCAATTTTTAGCGATTTATGGTTGTCTGTTGTGGCTCCATCAGGAGACAGTGTGTTGACTATTTTGCGGTTTTGCGAATAGCACCGTGAGCACACGACGAACACAGAGATGACACACACACGTATATATATAAAAATTAATGGCATTTGTTCAAGTTTAAATGAAAGTAATAAAACTTCCATACAAAACGACATGACAAACAATACGTGAATCATATTTACGGCAACAATTTCTACAGAACATTTTTGAATTGCCACCTTATATATGTGGCAACGGTCCAGTGTAATAAATCAATATTGTAGCAATTTCAATCTCGTTTTTTTGTGTGTGCATTTCATTTCTTCCACTACTATCTCGTTTCTATATATAATTTGTAATATATATTTTTTTAAAACGCACTAATATTTCGAACCAAAAACCAAAAAAATGATACAAAAAACACAACAACAAAAACCATGAAAGGATTTACAAGGTGCTGGCCATCATAACATTTCAGCTGCAACCATTATACAGTTACGTGTAAGTATTTTGCGAGCAAAACTGTTCACGCCTGTTACATTTAGTGTAATAGTGAAAACAAAAGCAAATTGCAATCTGAGATAGCATTGTTCAATTCTGTTGTTGTGCAATATGCAAAAAGCATTCTCAATTTTCTAGTGGCATCTCTCTCTCTCCTTTCTTCTCTCTCTCTATATATAACTGTGTATAAATTCAGCATTACTTATCTCACGCTCGTTCCCATTCTCTCTCTCTCCCTTTCTCTCATTCTTTGTGCTCTGTGCGATCGTTTCAGAATTTCAACATTTCAACATTTCGGCCCCATTTAAACAGTACCAAATTTTCGGAATCTGTATATTTATTGCATACGGTATGCTATCATTTCTCATTAACTTATATTTCCATTTCGTCATTAACAATGATGCTGTTCTATTGTTTTCGGAAAATATGTGTATGTTCTGGATTAAGATATTGGCCCCATGTATACGATGTGATAACATTGTAGTTTTCAAATAGGCTCTTGTTGTCGCATTAAGACAATATAAATGCTCTTCTAAACACTAGTTAAATATTTGTCGAATTGTAAAAGCCGTTTGTCCGCTGCCATACATACGCATGTGTTTATAAACATGAACCAAAATGAATGAAAATATTAAGTGAGTTTCGGAGTGAGTTTTTTTGAGAGAGGATGTATGCATTCAAATTGAATCATTAATTCAATTAGTTCGAATTGTCTTCTATACTTTTTAAAAGCGGTGTGCGAATGAAAATTTAAGCTAAATTGTTGTTAGATTTGTCATCCGCGCTCATGTGTGTTCATCTTTTTTTCTCTCGTTCCAATTCTATTTTTCTATCTATTTCATTCGCACTTTCAATCTCGAGTAGATTTGTGTTTATCGCTTTAAAATATGACATCAATGACCGGTATATATACTGTGCTTTGACCCAACGTACGACAACGATTACGCAAACATACCAAACCTTTTCACAATTATTCTCTTTCTCTCTCTCTCTCTCTCTCTCTCCTCTCACTGATTTCACAATGTGTTATTAATATAGCCATGCATGCAGAACAGGGCATAAATAAGTGTGATGGACGTTTTAGGCATCAAGTGCTCGTAAATTTGGCATATTTGATATCCAAAGCCTATCTCCGATCTATTTTGACTGAAATTATAATGGCAATTAGCATTGATTTCATGATTTTAAGTGAGAAGAAAAACGACACCAAACACATGCATCTACATTCTTAATAGCAAACAAACAGTTTTAGAAGCGAACAACACATTGTGTTCAAACTGAATTATGTTCAACGTGTCGGATAGAATTCAAAATGACGAAATGTGTCTGTGCGTTAGACTTTGAAATTTAAGTTTTCTGATTATTTTTTTTATTTTCATTCTAGTATGCATGTTTTTAAGCATGCAGAAAAGTTTTCTCTTTTCCGTCTTCACTCAATGGCTGATCTGCTGCATTCAAATGATTTGTAATGTGAGAATAACAAAAAGAAGCGTCTCTATCGCCTTCAAGAGTGATATGAACTTTTCGAAATTTTGATTTTAAAATTCAGCACTTGTTGTTTTCGATTTAAGTACTATGCGCCATTTCGGATGTTTTTCGTCACTCAAAATGTTCCGAATTTGATCGGACAGGGAGCTTTAAACAATATATTCCAGTAATTCTTTAAATAAAAAAAAAACTTTTATTCTCAACACGATGCCTGCAACGACAACATTCCACGACGATCTTGTCGAGGTGGAAACAACCTAATTTGTGTATAAGCATAGTGGCGCTATGTACCGATAACACTTTTTCAAAGAAGAACGAAAAACAGAAACTGAATACATCTTCACTTCTCTCTTTTTTTCACTCTACTCTTTTGCCATGCCTTTGTTCGCTCACTTCTCTGTTGATTCCCGTTTCTTTTGTTTTGGTATTTTCTTGTTTTTTTTTTTTTAATTCCCTCTCTCTCTCTCTCTTCACACTTGCATGCCATCAAAAGTGCACTATTAATTGCTTCGCGCATTCATCTACATATATAAAATAATATTCAAAGCGCTTTAAAAGGAAAAGACAAAAAAAGAAGAAGAAGTAAGAAATTGACTACCAAACTATAAACCTACGAAGAATTTATAGTCAAACTTAGCGCCAATAATTGCTTCAATGGCCATCAAGCACAAAGCTTTGATCGTTGAATGTTTTATCAAGAGAGAAAAATCACTCTCTTCTCATTAATTAGTTAAATTTTTATTGGATAGTTTGAAAGGGAATCTCTTTCAAAAAGCATCATGAAATTTTCCTTGTTGATGAAACCATTAAAAAACGATAATGGCGTCATTGTGTGTGTGTCTGAGTATTTTTTTTTTCCAATTCCTTTTCATTGCAATTTAAAACAGAACAGTGGTAGTCGTTTTTTTTTTGTTTTGTTTTTCTTTGTTAAATTCATTTGAGTTTTAAATTTTGAAGTAACAAGTAAAAATCGATTAAGAAACTTTAGAAAACGAAAAAAAACGCATGAAATAATTTATTAACTTGATAAAGCAGCCTGAAAATGAAATGATTGGTCAGCTATCACAACAATAGCACAATTAGAAGCATGTGCATGCATTAAATAATTCTAAATTAAATGAATGATTCGTTGTTACTGTGTGTAAATTTGTTGAAGAAAAAAATTCGGACCCCAAAAACGATTTATTCGTTATATCTTTTTCGTTCAATTTCTTTAATCACAATTTAAATTCTAATGCTAGTAATGATTTCAGTAACCAACAGTAATACACAGTAGTCAAATCATCTTAGTTAGAATGATTTAGTGAATTTAGTTTAACTCACTGTAATTTTAATACAATAAAAAAAAAGAACGGCCGGTTTTGTGCGTTGGGAGATTTGTGAGTCGGAAACCGCTGACAACCAAACTCAGTTTCACACTGTAACAAATCAGTTCGTAGTAATTTAAACTCACAAATCTCTCGGCACTCCGATTCAATTCAATTCAATCCAATCAAATTTGTTCGATGCACACGATTAACGGTCATAATGACGATTCGTTCTCCCTATCAACCGCGTTTATTCGATCACATTTATTGGAACGTTTACACACACACACACTATGCTCTATAAATAGTCTTGAACAATTTTAACAAATTCTCAAAATCGTTATCATTTAAAGTAATAATACGCAAAGGGAGTGTGTAACGTTTTGGTGTTTTTTTTTTTAATTTGGTAACTATTATCGTTCACATTGACCTTGTGACTATATTCAACTGTGCACGAACGAATTTTTGAATTTGTATTTAATTAAGATACTTTAATAGAACTATTATTGTTTCGATTATATTAATAAAGGGTGAAACCGGAGAGAGAGGTCCGCCCGGTCCACCAGGAATTGGTATGTGTTCTTCTCAAAAATGTTTGAAAAAGTTTTAGTGGCGAATTTTAAACTGAATTTTCATTTCTTTCGAAGGTGTCGCAGGTATACCAGGTCATGATGGCAGACCAGGTTAGTTACACTCTAAAAAAAGATTTATCCAAAACAAAAATGATCTGAAAGGGATAAATTTCAATAAAAAAAATGATGCGAATACAAAGTAATACGAATTGTATATCTGATTCAGATCATTGATGGATGAAAACTGTATCCATTACTTTTCAATAAAAATAATTTATTCAATTCGTGAAAAAAATAATATAATATGAATGAATCTCATGTGTTTCCAATTTGTGAAATAGGTGCACCCGGCGAACGTGGTCCAGCAGGCGAACGTGGTCCGGCAGGCGAAAGGGGCGAAAAAGGAGAAGTGGGACCCGAAGGACCGCCGGGACCAAAGGTAATCATCAATACCACATTTTAAGCTTTTACATTTATAAAAAAAACTATTGGTTTTGCTCAGGCAAATTCATTAGTAGAATCAAACATATTTTTTGCACAATTAAATTTTGCTGCTGTTTTTTCTTTAATATCTTTGTTTGACTGGATTAAATTGCCAGCGTAGAAAAAAAAGACACAGAAATAGACTTCATAAATGATGGGAAAATGTTTTTGAACATGTGTTCTCATTTGTAATTTAATAATGAAACTCTGAATTGTATTCGAACATTTCAATGTACAACATGATGAGATTCAAATGGAAAACTCGGTATTTTATTATATTCGAGTGATTGCGTTTGCTTTATTCTGTATAAATTGTATGTAATAGCGAACCCTTTTTTGTCCCCACGATTTTCGTTTAATCTCAAGTGTTGAACATTTTAATTAAATGCCAGGAGCTAAACTCGCATTCGAACAAATTCACAATCGCGTTTGCAAATCCTCGCCTTGTAAATGTATGAATGCATGATTTAGCAAAATAAATTGATTTATGTATTACATAGTATTTTATTTGGAAAAATTTGTTTTGTGTTTGTTCTGTACGAAAATAATTTCCGTAGGGTGATCAGGGTGACAAAGGTGATAGAGGCTTAACGACAACATTCAAAGGCGATCAATTCCCGACTGGAATCATTGAAGGACCACCCGGCCCACCAGGCCCATCTGGTTAGTATATATCAATATTTTCATCTTCACACCATCGAATTACAACACCATAACAATTTCAAGCACTTCTTCAAGAGATCAACCATAAAATTCACTATTCAAAATGGTTTTTTTTTTTTGCGTCGTGGTATTTTCTTTACGAGATTGAATTCATTCAACAATTCGTCAATGACATAGAACAAAATCACATACCATTGATATCAAGTATTAAAGATATATCGATTTCTTTCGATATAGAAAAAAAGGCAAGAAATAAAAGACGAATGAGAAAAAAAAAGCACGAAAAGAAAAGATTCATGTCAAATTGAGAGACTATTCATGTCAATCGCACCATTTCCACATGAGTGAATAACGAACATGCACATTCAAGTCATTCATTCGATTGTGCGGTTTTCTTGCGAACGGAATTTTTTCGGATAAAATTTTGCTCACTTCACTTGTGCTACTCTTTCGCCTTTTGCCTTTTAGTCACATGTATAAGTCGAGACTACCGTGTCCTTTCTTCTTAAAATCGTAATTTTTTTCTCATGTTTTATTTTTGTTTTTCTTTACGCTATTTCTTTCACATGAAGGACCGAAAGGAGAAAAAGGTAATAATAATAATTCATTTTCAACCAATTTCTTTTATTAATACCTATTAACCCATTTTTATTTTCATGAAAATAGGCGATATTGGTCCACAAGTAAGTATTTATTTTTGCTTGTTTAATTGAAAACGAATGTTTTTGATCTATTTTATGTTTTCTTTTATTATCTTCTACAGGGTCCACAAGGACTTCAAGGTAATTTTAGAAAAAAATATATACGCTCAACACCTTCATACTTCATTATAATTACTTTTGAATGAAAATCGTGTATATAATAAGAGATACACATTCTTTCCGAAATAATTATTTTCGACTCCATTTACTTTCCGTTTGAATCAATTAAAAGTTCTAATCATCTTTTTTTTTTATTAAATTAAACTTTCGGCTTCGTTTCTGGTTTCGTGTGTAGGTGAAAAAGGTCCGCGTGGCAAGCGAGGTAAACGAGTAAGTATACGCATCTATCCACCTATTTTAAAATTACTTTTTATCCCAAACCAACGGGAATAAATTATTTTTTCTCTCTTTAACGTTTGATGTATATTGCGAACATCAATTTTTATGTGTGTGTATATTAAAAAACAAATTCTTTCAAATACTGTTTTCCTGTCAATTTTCTTTTCTGGTTATCTTTACTCTACTATGCTCCCACTTCTGATTGACTTCAACATGATCTGTTGAATTTTTCTTCCCTCATCTTTTTTTTTGTACAAAGTATTTCAAAACAATTCTGACTTGTATGATTTGCGAGACTGAGACAGATGTTATGCCATGCTCATGATATAATAATTCATAATCTTATTTCTCACTTACTATTTCTGTCTTATTCAAACATTTTTGCTACCGTAAAAAAAAGAGAATTGCTCCGAACCTCAACCAATGTTAAAGTCAGGAGAGAGAGAAAGAGTGTAAACATCATGCTTATCGTTGCGCTCAACACAACATGATCAGAGAGTTTATGAATTGTGTCATAAGATGAAAACGCATCCCTAACAATCGCAATCATCTATGGTTTTAATTTCAAATTGATGTTGACGCATACTATTATATACCTTATGGATATATAGATTTATAAAGTTTAGTGAATAATGTGCACCTTGGTTTTTCTTCTACATGTAAATATTTGTCATCAAACAATTTTGCGAATGCCAAAGAATATGCTATAGAGATATGGAATGCATGTGCCATCGACAAACTACAACCGTTTCAAAATTAAATCCTTGCATTTAATTTATGATATACTTTCTCAAGAAATGCTAATGGAAGGATGATTTGTTGAGTACGCCCATAGTATATTATATACATATATAAATCTGTCTGTTGTACATATATAACATTTATATATGGGTATCGAATCATCTTATTGAAATGTATTATAGAAAATGTTGAAAATGCGCTTATCATGTTGTTCATTCGCGCACTCAATTCTCGAACGAAATTTTCGAATGATATAACCACCATCGTGTTTTATTGAAATACGTATTTTGTGTGGATATATGTAATTTATCGTGTGCGTGTGTTTCTCTTCATATCGTGCCCAGGATGATGTTTGATTTTTGTGAGCTTAATTTCATATCCATGGCGGTGGCAGCGACGGCGGCGGTGGTGCTGTTGCTGATTGAGTTAACCGAGTTTTATTAAAAACTGGTTTTTATCATTACACAACAGCTTTTTTTCATAATCATTACTCTTCGACACACGAATATAAGTTCTAGTGGCACGATTCAACAAATTACGTACGTATTGTTGTTAATTTACAATTGTTTTTTTTGTCTTTTAAGTTTTTTTCATTGTGGGTAAAAAAAATCAACAGCGTGTTGTGTATTTCCCTTTTTGAAGCATATCACAAATTAGTTTTGCCATTTCATGAGCACTTAAGAATAAACAGGTAACATGAGGAAAATAAAAAAAAAAAATTGAGAAAGAGTTTGCTTTTCCAGCACACATGTTTCACTTGACAGAACAAAAGCTTTTGTGTGTGTTTTTTTCTTCTAGCGAGAACAAGAAAATGATATGGGAAGGGAAAAAAAAATATATAAGTAGCACATTCATTTCAGATTGAAAGCGAAGAAAAAACTAATTCCTTTTGACTTAAAACTCGTATCATTCCATTGTGTTTCTCTTTCACTCGTTCTTTCTCGCAAAATCAAGTGCATTGAAATGCGTACAAGTTGTTTCCTCTATTGAGCGATAAAACTATGCGGTTATATGTGTATGTTTTGAAATTAAGAGTGAAGCAATCAGATAGTTTGAGTTTATTGTTACCAGACAATAAAATTGCGCCAGTTTACAGTAACCACACTGCAAAGTGGATGCTGCGTCTTTTGTTGTTGTTGTTGCTTTTTTTATTATTTTTTATTCGTTGCGCTTCAAATAACATCTCAACGGACAAATAAAATTACACACACACACAAACACTCACACAAATGACTAAAAGTTTCAATAACTTTTCTCAATAAAAATTTTGTTGTTTTCATCGTTCACCGAAAAAAAAAAAAAAAAAAAAAACAAATGAAACCAAACAAAAAAAAAAGTTGTTTGGCCAAGGCAAGGAAAACGAGTACGATGATGATATAACAGTGATCCGTGGACCTCCCGGCCCACCCGGAATAGACGGTAATTTAACTCAAAATACATAATTTTTTTAATTTTTATTTTTTCATTTCCACTCACTCATTACAAATTCACTTCACTTTAAACATCGTTTGTGAAGCATGTAAACATATCATTTTGATTTCTGACATGCGAAAAACTTTAAAACTAATTAAGATTATAAATGGGGCCATGTAATTATATAAAAATTTTAAAACGCGTGCATTCCATCCGATTCTCAATGGATTTCATGAAAATCTCTGATGTGACAGTAGAGAAAAAAATGTTTTCGTTGAGTTAAAATCACAAAATGATATGCAACGAATGTGATGAAGATTTATTCGAGTGATTTATATAACTTTATTAATTGAATGTTACGGATGTGTGCGAATTTTGATGTGAAATTGCAGGAAAAGACGGAAAAGATGGTACCAAGGGAGAAAAAGGTTCGCCAGGTGAACCCGGATCACTCGGACCAAGAGGTTTGGAGTGAGTATTATTGATTTACCTTTTTGACTACTTCGTAATATACTGTGTGAGAAAAAGAAATATTCCTATATTCGATACACGATTCGGTTGGCGTTGACCAATGTTGAACCCTTTTTTTCGATTATTTTACCTGTAAATATTATGAATGAGGTTGAAAATTACATTTTAATACCACATTATTATACACCGTATAATTTGTTAAGGGTAAACCAATGTAATAACAATTTTTCGGTGTTCATTCTTTACAATTCTTTACACTTTTTCTTCTCTCTCTCAACATCTTTTACAGTGGATTACCAGGCGAACCCGGAATCGAAGGTAGCCATTTATTTATGTTGTATAAGTTTTATCTTTCATTCACAGTGCATTTTATTGACAAATCGCCGAAGTTTTTTTTTATTTCGACAATCATTTTCTTCTTTTTACCATTAAACACCTGCTCCCAAATAGATGGGATTCTTTTTTTCTTCAAAACTTTGCGATAACGAAAAGTAGAGAAAATAATTTGCTATAAAAACGAAGATTCGTCAATAAAAAGAAAGTTCAATGAATGATATCAGTTACTCTTTTTTTATCACACCTTATGAATTCGTGTAAATAAACGACATTCTTTATTTTCATTTAATCAGGTCCTCCTGGCTTGCCGGGATATCAGGTAACTTATATTACACATGAAAAAATCAATAGTGATTACTTATATGCAAACGAAAAAAAAAAAAACATCATTTTGCTCCGTAGGGACCACCTGGAGATAAGGGCGATCGAGGTAACCACTCATTTATATTGCATTTTATTGATAAATTGTCGATATTTCACACTTTTTCCTTACTTATTTGAACAATTAATTGTTTTCTTACCACTAAATACTAATTCTTTTACACCTCGAGTATGGCAACGACACTCTTTATTTATTTTATTCTCATGTTGTTACCAACGAAATAATTACTCACTTATCTTATTCAATCGATTCGAATTCAACATGTGATTTCAACTTTTTCTTCGCTTACGTTTGTTTTTCAGGAGACATTGGTCCACCCGGTCTCATGGGCCCGCCTGGCTTACCAGGTAAATTGCAACGTTTTAAATCGTGAATAAATGCGTTATTTTGTTGGTATTAAATAAACACTTGTGATACCATCGAATTAATGTTGTCTCACGTACAATGTTGCAACACAAGTGGAATTTAATTTACCAAATAGTTTCGAGATATTTATTTGTTTTTAATTTAATTTGGTTCGTTGGTGATATTAATGACTTTTGTTGCGTTTTTTTTTCGCTCTCTCCGTGTTTCGTTTTGTTACAGGACCACCAGGATATCCAGGTCCAAAAGGTGATAAGGGAGACCGAGGCGATTCCGTAAGTAAAATGCAGAAAATTTTGTGTGCGCGTGTGTTTGTGTATTAAATTGATTGAATGCAGAATCGTAATTCACCATGATTTTTATTCGTTTTCACTTCAATTTGTTTTATGTCAGAAGTATCGAAAAATGCGCAGACGGCAAGAGGAAGGAATGGCTGATGCACCACACACAAATCCCAGTTTACACAGTTCTCACATAGAATATGTAAGTTTTTCATCAATGATGCATTCATTTGTCTTCATCTATGCAATGAATGTTGCCATACATCAACATTATCATTATCTTTTCTCATTCACTGACCACGTTTCGTTTCTCTTTTCCGTTTTTTCTTTGCTCCGACATTTTTTACGCAATTAGCTCATTGGGCCACCAGGACCGCCGGGTCATCAAGGGCCACCAGGAGAACGAGGCATAGATGGTCGTAAAGGAGATCGAGTAAGTATTCTGTAAAAGTAAAATTGTAAAGATAAATCTAAAAAAAACTTTGCGAGACAAGAGTGTACAAATGAATGATTGAAATATAGTTCAACTATCCACAATTAAAACTAAAATAATTATATACATTGAAAAAGTTTGCGCCAACATTTATCATAAAATCATTTCTCTCAACAGGGTGAAAAAGGTGCAAAAGGTGACACTGGTTCAATGGGTTTGCCGGTAAGTGTTTTTTTTTTGCTTCTCTCCTGCTCATACTCTGAAATTGATTGCTTTTGTTTGGACTTGTAAAGTTGCCGATGGCAAAAAGTAGAAAGTTGAAAGCTTCTTCGTTTTCGTTACTTACATTTATGCCAATGTAATAAGTTTTTTCATGGCATTTCCGAGTTCTGATTTCACAATGAATGAATTATTATCGACTTGATGTTTCTTTTGTTAATATAAAGCTTTGTTTGGATTACAGGGTCCGGCTGGTTATAGAGGTGATTGAAACAATAAATAAACAAAACACCAACGATCATAAAAAAAAACAATAAAACGAAAACAATATTTGGTGATTATTAGGTGATTCCGGACCATCAGGGCCAATTGGAAAACCAGGAATGCCGGTACGTATATAACACAAGCGTAGCATCAACTTCAAAAATTGTTTGTTGAAAATGCAAAATGAGAAACAAAATTGAGCAATTTAATAATTTGAAAATTTGATTGAGAGCACACACAAAAAAATGAAGAAATGTGAGCTAATATTTTCTTCATTTTTATTTTTGCTACATGGCAGTATAATTAAATTAACAATACTGAAGAGAAAGAACTGAATTTTTTCTATGGAAATACCCCCGACCGAAGACGATGACGACCAATATTTTTTCTTTTATTCATTAAATATTGGACGAAATTGAAAAATTTCGGCAAACTCAAACGCGAAAAGAAATATTGAACACATTCCGAAAACAATATTCTGATTCTAACAGCAGTTTTGATGAGAGCAGCTTTTAAATTGAAAGTACTTGAACAATTTTTTTCTTTTTTACTCTCTGAAATGAATTCAAGTTGAACACGTACACTGCTTTTCTCCTATGTGGACGTTCAATGAAAAGGTTTTGAAACAGATTTTTTTTCTTCTTCTATTTAAATTATGTAGAAAAAGAAATGAGAATGACGAAAAGGATAAAACGCGTGAAGATTGCTCGTTTTTGTCGTTCATTGTTGAAAACAAAAATGTTAAGTCTTGCACTTTTGTCTGAGTTCGGAAATTCATATTAAAAGAGAGAGAGAGAGAGAGAGAGAGAGAGAGAGAAAAATTGAAATGCGGGAGAAAAAGAAAACATAAACCGGTGTGACAAAGTGCATGCTTGCATCAAAACCTTTAGCATCAGTCTGCTGTGGTGAGAAGAAAAAAGCACACACAAAAGCAAATGATGTTGAGGCAATTTTTCGCATCATTGTGTGTATGTGTGGGTCCGTGCGCGCGAAAAATGGCAACAGATGGACTGTTTCAATATGAATTCGACCAATATTCAAGTACTCGTTAAGATGAACAAGTGTGTCGAATATTGTTTGGAAGGGACACTTTTTTTTCTCTCTTCTCACACTTCCTTTCCATTCATATCAATGTGTCGGAACTTTTTTTTTTCGTGTTCGCACATCACAAATTGCAATTGTTGTTTTTCTTCTGAAAAATTAATTTGTTGTGCCTTTCTTTCACATGTGCACACAAAACGGTATGCGAAACGGAATGATTTCAGTATTTATTTTCATTTGATTTTTACTCCTAGAAAATGGGATTTTGTCTCCATAGCCACAATATCTGCGATATGTAATGATGTGTGCTCGAGAAGCATTAGTAGAATTGTTCGAAACGAGACCCACACGCCGCGCGTGTAAGAAGAACCAAAACAAGGCAGAAAAAAATATATATTGTATTATAAATGGTTGTCAATGGAGGCGTTTTTTCGAAAAGCTGGCTTCAAGAAAGGCCAAAGTGCATAGCAACAGACGAAAACCAATTGAATTAATGTATTTTCCCTGTGGTCCGTTTCAAACGATTCGACTATTGCTCGGTGCTTGTTTTTTTTTTATTTTGTTGCTCAAAATGATATTTATCCACAAACACTAAACGACTATTTACGTACTAACTATAATGAATTTTGAAATCCATACTGGCTTATATTTTCTAACAGGTTTGGTCGTATTAAGCTCAAAATCCATTCTTATACAGAAAAAAAAACAAACAAATACAAAAGCAAAAACAAACATACACACAAACAAAAAAAAAACACACACACTCTCTCTCGATACGTATAAATAAATTAGGCTAAAAGATGAATTAAGATTAACCAACCAGGAAGCGTCGGCGTTTTGTTTTCGTTTGGAAAATGCATTACTCGCAACCAGCACGTGCGCGCGCGCCCTCAAGCGCAAGGGAATAGTATAATGTTTTTTTTTTTTTGCTTTAGCTAACACATTCAATATATTTCTATATTCTTGTTCCTCTTGCATGACGATACACACAAACTTACATACATTTCTTTACACACGAACAATTCATAGAGATAAAACAAAAAAAAAATAAGGAAAGGAACAAAATAAACCGTCTCATTGTTATATATATAGTATTATATTTTAAGAATTAATCCTGCCAAATGAATTTAAACTGTTCGTTTTGTATTGGACATTTCGGAATATGTATCAAACATCATTATTACTATACTTATCTTGTTCGAAACGAAAACATTTTCATTGAAAAAAAAAATATCAAAAAACGTTTTCTATTATTTAAACCATTACCAACTTTTTATCCAAAAATTCAACTCTTTTTTATAATATCTTTAAATTTATGAATATCAAGCAGCTTAAATGAGGCAGCTATGCACAGTTCTCATATGTTGTAATCATTCATCTAAACAATTTAATCTGCCAATTAATATCCAACGAACAAATTTACATTTTTCCGGATTTTTTTTTTCATTTTGAACAATTTTCGCACAAAAAGAACAAAATATTCGTGTTGGAACAGACACATAAGCTAAAACTATGCAAAACATTCAATTAAACACGATATTATAAATGCAAAAAAAAATCGAGAATTAGTCAAGGAATCCGTATCAATTAGATCGCTGTGTATCCGTGTTGTTGTCGCCGCCATCGTTGACGGTGCTCGTTTTTCCGGAGCGGAAGTTTAGTCGGAAATGTGAATGTGTGAATTACTTTTTGGAAATTCACTTGCATACACACACACACACATTACACCCAAACCAAAACTTGTAACAATGATGTAATAAACCGAAATTATCTTTTTCGGTAAATTAAAAGAAGTTATAATAATTAAGATATGCATCTTAAGCTTCCCATTGTGCAATGTTCGTTGTGTTATGTTTTCGATGTGAACTGTGTGTAAAACTGCGTAAACCGTTATTACCTTCAAGATAAACGACGCGGTGAATTGAGCAAATAGCTTTCGGCTAAATGTGTTCCACTGACAATTGCATTTCGGCGTGTTGTTGTCGAGCAAACGATTGAAGGAACGGCACGAGGGACCGAACAAGCATTCAGTGTGTTGTCGGCATGAAATCACATCGCAATGCATCGTGTTGTCCAAATTCGTCATATATGTATACTGCATGCATAGATATACTGCATATGCATTTAAAAAAAAAGTGCTTGGAAACGCACGCCAGATTTAACAATGAATATAAATCTAAATGTGTGTATCACTCTCTATCGTTCAGTCTTTCTCTGAGGAAATGCTTTGATTTTTCCTTTCAAATGAATGCCCGTTGTGTTGAACCATGATACGCTCAAACAACAATATCCTCATATGGAACATTTACTTTGATATCACACAACACATTATCTCTCATTGCACTACAGAGATATCTCTCGAGGTATTTGCCATACGAGAGGAAGAAGAGAGAAAGAGAGAAAGAGAGAGAAAACGCACACACGATATAACGAAGACTGAATTTTAATTCATCTCACTGTTTCTCTACATTTTACCGCCCGCCGCGTCCCGCTTTTTCGAAATTGTTATTTTTATCTTGGTAGAAATGTGCCCAATCTAGCAAAAAAAAAGTGATATAAAAAAAGAAGAGAGAGAAAAAAAACACTAATATAACAAAACTTGGCGCGGAGAATGGTAAAGTTTTCGAATTGTTGAAACAATAACTGAACATTTCTCCGCGCATTTACATCATTTTTCATCCACTCAACGTAAATAAAATATGAACGGTCTCATTATCATTTCACAAATATACAGAAAGCAGACACATTACAAAATGTGCGATTTCATTTTGAAGGGTTTCCATCCATTTATTTCTCTCTCTCTCTCTCTCGTTCTCTGTATAACTGTATGTTTTGTGAACGTGCTGTTTTTTTCCTCTCCATTCACATTCTATTCTACTCTGTCTGACTCTGTGTTTTTCCGTTTCTGTTGCTCTTTCAATTTGTGGCGCTGTTCAAGTGAAAAATACAAACATAAACATTCAGCTGAATGACGTGTCATGTAATACCCTCGATTCCATTTCGCTAGCGCTTAATAATGCAAGCAAACAAGTGCAATTTTCGACGACTGTTTCAAAACCATTTTGCATGACATTTTGTAGTATTAACCGGCATATCAATGAACAACATTATGATCGGCTCATATGTGTTTGAGCCAATATTAAAATTGTATTCACCATTCACCCGATATTATATGAAAGAGTAAGCATGTGATTCAGTATATGTGGAACAGGTGTAATTCAATGTAAATGTATACGATGAAAATAGTTGCAAAACATTTTTTTATTCATTTGAAATATGATTGTGCAAACGATTTCGATTTTTTCGTGAAAACATGGAAACTTCATGGTTCATTTCTTTATCTCCGTTGTGGTTGTTGTTGTTACCGATTTTGTTGGCAAAACGAAGTTATTGAAATGGCAATCGTTTCGATTGAAAAGACCATGTTTCAAATGAAGCGAGTAAAAAGTTTTTGCTATGTGAATGAGATAAAAAAAAGATGATGTCAAATGACAACAATTTTTGGATGGACAGGCGAAGCCTAAAACCATTCCGTAATAAATTTCTTATGTATGGTAAACGATAACAAGATTTCCCATTCGTTTTCGACCATTGAAAATTGAACACTATTGAATGGTCATTTTTCACCATTTCATACAACTCAATCGGAACCCGTTTTCAACCCTTTTTCATTCACTTGTTTTCACTTTGAATTTATATCCACAACTTGTATGTTTTCCTCGTTTCAAATAAAATGAAAACAACAATAACAACAACAAAAATACAAACTTTACCACAATATTGCAATCGAGTTTTGTATGCTACCGTTTCTCACTCTCGTTTTGCTATCTTTAAATGCAGTTTTTGTATCTTTTTTCCCAAATAAATCTTCACTTGTATCACTTATCACTAAGTTTTTGTTTTCATACGTGATTATGACCTGGCCAAATTGTGTGGGATTGTTGAAGCAACAGTTCATTCTCATTCTCGTTGTGCTTCTGTTTATTTTTCAATATGCACTCCTTCCACACGTTCAATTCTACCATATTCACAGCCCAAATATTTTATCGGCTCCTGAATTTTGCGCAGAATTTCAAATATGCTTTCAGTTGAATTGGATGCAGCTAATTTGTTGCATATAATGTATGCATATGCATACGGTACATGCACCATATAGCTTCCGATGGCAGTGTGAATGCGGTAAATTATGTGAAGGGCGTGCTTTACAAAACTTTTGACAAACTCACATATTCAATGGAATTAAACAGTTCTACCCCTCGATTGGACGACCGAAAAAAAATAAGATGTGAATTCTCGAACAAAACTGTGCATTCGGTAAAATAGCCATTACAAACTCGATCATGAATATTTTTCATGAGAAAAATCCATTTTTTTTCTCTGCCATTTTCGTTTGTTGTGTGTCTCTTTTTCTCTCGATTTGCCGAACATCTCGTCGATAATGAATGCCGAAGTCAGTCTATGTATTTTGGATGGATATCCATCCGAGATATTTTAGAATATCTGGATATTTAATGCAACTGCACAGAGCCAGAGCTGTCGCACATATAATCTACGGTATGTCGCTACACGAAAAATACAGACACAGTGTGACTGTGTACGTGTGGAACTTGATACATATATACCGATGCACACAGCTCTGGCGCTGTGCAGTTGCGTTGAATATCCAGACATTCTAAAATATCTCGGATGGATATCCATCCGAAATACATAGACTGGCCGCAGTTGCCCGGAAGATGCAATTGGCTGTGTAAATGAAATGTTCTTTTAACGATATGCTTCATATGGAATTTAACATACCCTCTCACATTCATTTCACATCCACCATGGTACGATGCGCTCCATTCGAGCCCATCATTCGAAATATGTTTAACTCATGGTTCAATGCAGTACAATTGCATTGAAATGATGACAGATTCGAATATTGCGATAACACAGACACACAACATTGGCATATTTAAAATGAATAGATGAGGGGACATGCATGGCCGAAAACCATAATATTACACCATAGGCAAAGTTTAATCATGTTTTCTGTAAAAGTTTTGCCATGAATTTTGATAAATATATCAACAAAATGTGACGGTGTTGAACATAAAACACAAGTAACTTTTCGTGCACCGTATGTGGTAAATGCTGTTTCTCTCACTCTCACACATTTCTTCCATTTAATATGTGTTACGCTTGTGGAAAAAGTCCATTTGCATTGTCACCAATTATAAATAGAATTATCGAGACTTTGGTCGACATTTTTTCTCCCCATTTGCGTTAAACTATGCACATTGAGTTTGAGAGCGTTTTTAATTTGAATGTATGGTAAACGAGATAGAAACAACAAAAAAAAAGAGATGAGAATGCGATTAAATGAATGCCTGCCAAATTTAATTTTGGAAAATATAGGGGAAACAACGATACGAAAACGTACGAATTCACAACAATATCCATGATGCACAAATCTGCTAGTGACAATATCCGGAAAATGAAACCATCGAAATTATGGAATGTGGCCAAAAAAAAGAGGATCCGAGCCACGATGAGATGTGTATTGAATTTTACCACATTTTGCCGATGCTTTCAAAAATTCAAAACGCATTATTATTCAAATGACGCACATTTTCCTTATCTGATTTTCTATTGAATCAAAGGGAATTGCAGAAATCAATGGTTGCACATTCTCTCCAAAGTGCTTGAGGTTTATTACGCGCAACCCCTTTCGCATATTTTGCTTTCTCTCTCCATCTATCTATCACTTTTTGTATATCATGGTGTAATTCCCAATTGTGTGTTTCCGGATCTCATCACCGCTTTCTCTTTGACAATGTCTCTTTTTCTCTCTTTTCCTCTCTATCATATATGATTTTGTGATCTTTATGTGACCATACCTCTCGGAAGAAGCTATCGTATACACGTGTCATGGCACGTGCCAATTTCGAATCAATGAAGTGTTCGTTGTTTCTTATCACACAGAAACTTTTTGCCATACACCAATAAACTGCAATCGTGATGTGTGTGCGTCGCATTGTCATAACTGCATATCAGTGCGGTATGCATAATATTTTACATGGCCTGACATTTTCGATACACAAATGACACCAAAAGAGAAACGGGAACAAAAGCAACGGAAACAAAGAACGATGTAAAATCACACAACTGATTGTGGATTAACAACCACAGCAGTGAACGTGGAAACACTCTTGGTTTCCGGGACGCGTCTCCCTCCCTCTCCGCATCTCTCTGGTGTAATTCCCTGTGTGTATGTGTATGATTTTCGATTTATTCATCGTGTCACTGAATTCTGGTCATGCCCCAGAAAAAGAGAGTGATTAAAGAGTGGTCATCGATTGTCAGTCAGCATACTTCCATCCGTTCATTGAATTTTAATTTGGCACCACAAACATTGCAATATGTATGATTCAACGGAAGACAACTACACAAAAACAACCAAATTCACACTGTACATGGTGAACATATCCGAATGATGTATATCGTTGAGATTTTAGTGATTATACAAATCAATTATTATTTATATATGCAGGTTGAAAAAATCAAATCAAAACAGAGATAGGATCGACAAAAAAAATGCATTTTCATTAAACGAAACCCTTGCAATTTTCACGCAGTATGAAATTTGCAAGTTGTTTTTTGCTCGATCGTGTCAAATACACGCCAAAATTAATGGAAAATCGTCTTTTTGTCATTGTGTACGATATGCACATAGATGAATAAATACATGCGATAAATACATACGAAAATTACTCAATATTTCATGGTGTTTTAATGAAATTTTTTATCCCATTTCGTCCACTTTTATCAAATAATAATTCGTTGTTTTTTTAAGTTAATGTTCAATCTAATATTAGAGATGGCCAACAAAAATACAACGTGTATTAAAATAAATATCAAACAATGTAACCATTTAAAATTTAATAAAAAAAAGAAAATATTCGAGCTTCTGTGTTCGAAATTGAATAATGTTTGCAAAGGAAGACGCTTGAATTTTTGCACAAGACACTCAATCATTTAAAATGAAAATTATCAATTTTCAAAGTAAAACTTTATGACTGACATGGCGGTATAGAAAGAAATAGAAAAAAAGAGTGAGAGAGAGCCAATCTCCGAGATCTCTTCTTCTTCTATCTTGTCCAAACAATGAAAAGAGTTGTTTAAATTCACAACATAAACTATGTGAAACTCAGTACAAATTGCTTAAACGGCTGCCGTATAAAGTCCTGTACGGAAAACTTCATTCACACTTTTACTTCCAACTCATACATTATACACATTCATACACACACAAAGACACACACACTTACATAGAACTTGTGCGAAAAAATGAAACCATGAAATCATAAAAACGAATTACACGAAAGTGTAAAATTCAAAAAAAAAAATTATATATATATAAAACGAAACGTAGCAAGTGGTTAAAAATATATGATGAAATTGTGTATATTTTCTGAACAAATGTACAATGTACATTCTGCTAACCGATCAAGAACAAAAATGCTGAAGAAACAGACGAATGCTAGGGACGATAGAAAACGAAAATGATGAAAGGAACGAAATTGCAACAATTATTGAGATATACGAAAAAAACGAAGGGCACCGAAACTGTGTGCGAACTCCATAGACTCTTTCATTGCACAACTTTTCTCGGAGGGTTTAAAGTCAAATAAACTTAATTTTAAGACGTGGTAATGTGAAATTTTCCATCCAAAAAAACGTAAAAAAACAAATAGAAAGTAAGAACAAACATAAGAGAAAGAAGTTAAAGTTGATTAATTTATATGACAAAACACAGAAGAAGCAGAAGAAGAAGAAAAAAAAAATTATATAAGAAACTCTCAAAACGAAACGAACGAAGTAAAAATTATCAGAGGCACCGGTATGCGGTGTCACGTAGATATTGCATTTTTATGTACATTTTTTTTCGTTTTGATTTTTCAAACCATTCGATTTATTTAGAATATTTTCATTTGGAATCATTTTTTTTATAATCGGTCGATGTAAGAGACATTTCTTAACCCTCGTAGTAGCTCATTTTTTTTATTCTTCAATCAAACGAATTAGAGCAAAGAAAACCGCATTCGAATCTTATTTAATATTAAATAGAATAGCCAATTTTCATTCATCATAATCAACTTCTATTTGGTCGATGACAACCTCACAGCAAATGCATATGATTCATCGAGTAAATTTGCATCGGACTAAAAATTGACCCAACAAGTATAGAGAAATAGAAGACGAACCGAAAAAAGCACGATAATTTTGAATGAAATTTACATTTAAAATCGAGAACAAATTATTGCATCTAAGTTTCGATGTGAAAATTCGCTCGCAAAATACACGACGACTGATACATTTGGCCTAAAGAACATTTGCCTAAAATCAATATATTTCGTACAATTTTCAATACACACCTATGTAAATGGGGTCATGGAATTCAACGTGCACATCGAATCGAATGATGTTTTGCTCTGAGATTGTCACGACATGAAAAACCACAGACGAAGTATTTCTCTGTCGACCGCTTTAATTTTCGTTATTTTAGAATGAACCGAACGGAAAATTGAGTTCAACCGGAATTTTAAATTAAATGCACAGTTGAAAGATATTCCAATTAATGTTATAGTCAGAGAATAAACTCAACTCACTTTCTTGTTCACCACAAAAGATACATGTACTCATATTCTTTCACACTCATATTCTATCTGTTTCACTTTATTCAACATTATCTTCTCTTAAGCCAACATTTCATTGCATTTTTGATGGTGAGTCTCACGAATAAGCCAATTAAAAATATTTGATAAAAGTTTTGTATAAAAAGCTCAAGGCGTGCATTAATAAAACAATATATATATAGCGTATTCTGTTGTATTATGTCGCGCACAAAATACATTTCATCCCGTTCATAATGATAACCTTATCCCGTAGTCTTCACCTTTTCGATGAATAAAAATGAAACCAATTTATGTAAATATCAATCTGCTGAATGCAAACGAGAACAAAACAAAACACAAAGAAATTTACAAATAATAAAACAAAGCGAACAAACGAACATACTAAAATGGGAAAGAATGAATAGTGCACAGTGCAAATTGTTTAACGCATAATATCTCTAAAAGACACCTGATGAATGGATTATGAATTAAAACTGGATAAAAGTTATATATATACAAATACATATAGATATTTAAATAAAATTCTGAACAAGATATTAAAATAAATGGAATAATGTCAGATACTTTATCACATCAATTTTATTAGTGGAGTGGACAATGTAAACATACAAAAAATAAATACAAGTAATAATTTTATTATTAATAATAATAATAACAACAACAACAACAAGAAAACACGAACAAGAACAACAACAACAAAATTAACCATAAACAAAAAAAAAATTAAATGAATTGAAGGTTTGATTCTCTTACTTTTAAGTGTATTTCCGTAAAATATTTTTATATATATATGTATATTGAACATCTTTCACTATTCTCCTGCCAAAACTGATGAAAACAAAACAAAACCAAAATAATAACGAAAAACGAATGTTGAGTTTCTTATAATAAAGGAAATTGGAATTTTCTAATTCAAACAACATGTTTCTTCTTCCTCTTATTTTTTTTTATTATTCTTTGTCCACATTTTTTATTTCATCTTCTTCTGTTGTCTTAACGTATAAATTTCGGTTGCTTGATTGCATTTGCATCCCAACTTTCCATATCTTTGTACACCTACCGCCTTTCTGTCTATCTATTACACACACACACTGGACCTGTATCGTCTCTCTGACCCTATATTTACGATGAAAATATTCGCATGCATCGATAGACTCTTATTATCTTTATTGACAATTGGTATACGAATGGCATATTCCCGAACGATTGCAATCGAAATGACCACACTGAAGATTGATGGTGTGTGTTTGTATGTATGTACATATCCGGTCTGTATATCTGTTTTGTATAAATAACTCTTTGAATTAGTTTTGGATTGACATTTATTGAACGACTGTATGCGTCCTATTTAACTGGGAACATTGTTTGCATGCACTCTTTATCAATTTTAGGCTTGTTTACGGATAAATTGCGCTTCTCTACTACTATTACTACTACAGCTATTACAATCCACCACTACCCCGATATCCGGCCTTTTCCGCTTTTATATTCTTTTATGATTTTCAACACACACAAATTATCGAAGTTTTCATTTTGTACTCAATTATTTCAATTTTGCATTACATTTTGTACACAGGGACCGCCTGGACTCGATGGAATGAAGGTATGTTATTGTATGTGTGTTGATTCAATCGAAAATTGTGGTTGTTTGTTTTCAACATTTACCGAATCACATCCAATATGTGACATCGACAAATCTTCAATACACATCATGTTTTTCCACACACAAATTAATCGAAAAACGTATAAACATACTCTGGCATCCGGATTCAATTTGCCATGAAACAGTGGCAAAAAAAACCTTCTATATTATTATTTGCCTTTTTTACCATTTTAAAGAATATAGAATAGCATGTAGTGTAAAATAGATTATCCAAACGAATAAAAAAAACTATAATTTATTTTTCTTTATTAACCAAGGGAGCAATGGGAGAATCCGGCGTTAAAGGTAACGTTTTTCATTATCAGTTTTTTTTTGCAAATTTTCCATTATTACAAGAAAAAGGTTAAATAGTGATAATTTGTTTACTTTATGTGTGGGGGCTTAGGAGAAAGAGGAGATCCAGGATTACCTGGAACGGGTGAGTACATAAAAAAAATTGTGTGGTGAAATGTTTGAAAAAACCATGAAATAATTAAGTGTTAATAAATGTGGTTGATCTAATTCAAATTAAAAAGATTCTTCTCATTTTTTGCGCTTTCAGATGGCATACCAGGTAATAAAAGACAGCATTTGTTTTTCTGAATGGAAGTGACAGACGCTTTGTTTCAGGTCAAGTTGGTCCAGCGGGTGAAAAGGGCTCGAAAGGTGAATTGGGTCCAATAGGTATTGTTATTACATGATTATTATTATTTTTTTTTATTTAAAAAAAATTTATTTGAGAGATTTTAATGAACAAGTTCATTGAAAAAAGCATCTTGAATTTGATGAAATGATCTCCAATTTTTTTTATTTAAAAAAAGGTAAACGTGGTCGAAAAGGTGATCGAGGTGATAAGGGTGAACAAGGAGTGCCTGGATTGGATGCTCCTTGTCCATTGGGAACAGATGGTTTACCGCTTCCTGGTTGTGGATGGCGACCACCCAAAGTAACATTATACACGTTTGTTTTCAATGTACGAATTATTGAATTTGTTTGATTATACCATCAATAGGAGCATACTGTACCATCGATTCCACACAAAGACTATTTGCCAGATATAACTGGACCCGAACAACCGGAAAGTGATTACGAACATGAAGATGAACAAGGCGGCGAAGAAGAATATGATGACTATCAAGACAATTTACATCAAAATGACTGAACCAATATTCGATCAATATAGCATACAATTTTTTTTCTCGGCAAAACTGCCCCATTTTTCTATTCCTTTTCACTTTCTTTTTGTGCCCCCGCAGCTCAGGCTTGTCTGATTAGAATAAGTGAATTCAACAACAAAAAAAAAAAAAGAAAAAATTAAAATAAAATCAAAAGTAAACATATTAATTTTTAATTAACTATAAATTTCGAGTATATAATTGAATTTTGAAAGAAACAAATGCCTTGGTACAAAATAATACTCAATTTTTTTTGCTCACAATAACTATTTTATAAGATCGAACCAATAGTTCTGTTTATCATGAGCTAGTCCGTTTTATCGTTCAATTCATGAATCATACACATTTTATCCTTTTCTTTTTATGTAATTTTAAATCATCCGTTATTAATAGATAAATTGTAAATATCATTTGAATGTATGTATATTTAACAAATAAAAAAAATGTCACACTGCACATTGCATACGTGAGAAAAGACATACAATAAAAGTAAATATTTTTACTTTTTTTTATTTGAAAATATTGAAGTTTAAATCTATGGGTGAGATCTAAAAGAACGTATGTATTTTTTTCGCCTTATATTTTGGAAAAGGAATGTATGTGTTTGGCCAATTCTGTCTTACTGAAAGGGAAGTATGTTTTACACCGAAAAAAATTTGTAAAAGGAAAGTATGTTTTTCGGCTGAATCAGTTGTTGATAAAGGAATGCATGTTTCGTACTAAATAAATTTTGCAAAAGGATAGTAAATGATTCTGAATCAGTTGTTAAAAAAGGGATGCATGTTATAACGTATTTTTCTGGAATTGGGCTTTGGTGGATCCTAAGGATTGTTCAGAACTGCTCCCAGTTCTGGAAGTGGGTTTTGGTGGATCCTCAGGATGGACCAGACTATGGTTTGACAATGCCCTGGCCCATCCTGAGGGTCCACTTCCAGAACTAGGAGCGGTTCTGAACGATCCTGAGGATCCACTAAAGCCCACTTCCAGAACAAAGACACTTACGTTCTTTTATCCAAACGAAAACACTGAAACATGCATCTCTTTTCCAACAACTGATTCAGCCGAAATACATACTTTCTTTTTTCAAAATTTATTCGGCGCAAAACATGCATTTCTTTTTCAACAACTAATTCAGCCGAAATACATACTTTCCTTTAAAAACTTTGAACCATGAAAAAACTTACATTCCTTTATTGCGACAAAATCGAATAAACTTGCGTTCTTTTAGATCTCACCAATAGAAATATGAATGAGAAACAAAAAAGAAATAATGTAGACGATTGAAAGAGAGAAAATTTTCTGTCCAAACCGATGAATTTCATTCTACGTTGACAAAACAATGTTAATGTTATCTGTCCACAGAGGTTGTTCTGCAGTTTTGACACCAGAAGACGTAGAACTAAAGGAATATATTCAAGCCAATCAATCCAAGGCATAAAAGATAAGTCAACAAGTGATTTCCACGTAAAATAATTTTTCAAAATCGTAATATGATTATTACTGACGATGAGACCATAAAAAAATATCACGAATTTTCATACCGTCCTCAGCCACATTTTCAATACAATCTGGATAATCTTTGGCCAAACAACCGATCAATCCAAAAATACGTGATTAAACTGCGAAAAAAAACAATGACATTCATTGTATGGATGCATGTTTTATGAAGAAATTGATTATTATTTACCCGTTCCCGAACTTTCTGATATCTCAATTCTCAACAGTTCTTTCATTTAAAAGGTTCGATCCACCGACGAACAGTATTTTTCCGAAAGCAAAGTTTCATGAATCCTAAAACGCCACCATCTTCGCTAAAAACCTTTGCAACCGCTCTGTATTAAATATAAAATCATACTGGATTTCATCACTCGACATCTTTATGGATTTTCACATAAATTCTATCCCATTTACATTAATTGTTCGCCTTAAAACCGTAATTTCTAAAACTCTATTTCGCGATATATTGTGAAATACTTCTGATCAAAGTTGTGCTTATTTTGCCGGTTTTCTATGATTGTTTTCAAAACACGCAGTTTCGCAGTTGCTCAAATGTGTATGCATACTAATATGACAGATAAAGAACTGTCATCCAACTGTTATCTGTCTTTGAAAGTTTCTGGCGTAAAAACGGTAAATGCGATTTCGATTAGTGAATATTTGACCAAATTAATTTATTTATTTAAATTTAAAGATTATTTTTGCAATTTTTACAATATCTTTGCAAAAAAATTGAAAAATCAACCAAAAAAATAAGAATAATTTAATATCACTTGCCAAAAAAAGGAAAAAAATCAAACGGAAAAAGCGCAATTGGTTTCACATTCGGAAGTTTCATTCCGTTCAGATTTGTTTTTCATATCGGATTGCTTTTTATTTTAGTTAATATTTTAAGTTTTTTTTTCTTTATTTTTCGGTTTTCCATACTCTGAATTCTTTCATTTTTCAGGTTCGCTGTTTTTAATTTTATTTGCCCAAATAATCTTAATTAATTAATTGATCAAATAAAAAACCTCTATCAAGGTAAAGAATGATTGATTGTCTTTAAAATAATATAGAAACAAAGTCAAAGCGTGAATAATTTCCAATAATACTTCATCATAAACAATAAAACGAATAACATGAATCAAGTTGTAATAATATTCGGGAGATTAGTATGTTCAAATTTTATTCGGGATTTTTACTTGTTCCGATATTCTTCGAAATCATTTTTATGTTAACGTATTATTTTGAAGAAAAGAAGAGCTATTTTTTCGCCGTAACAATTCAAATTCAATTATGTTGAATAGCTGAATTGCTTGCAAATATTGTGGCATGCTAAGTTTGTTAGTTATACACACTCACAATATATGTAAGCAATTCAGCTGTTCAACATATATGTTGTCTCTGCACTAAACAAGAAGGAAACAATTGGATGTGGTTAAACGAATGAGAGAGAGAAATAGAAAAAAACGCATACGCCGCATAATGTAATTGACATCGTCTAATTCGCCACTCTCCATTCGAACTGTCAAATGTGAACTTGCCACACAACACAATCACCATTTTTTTCGTTCATTTATGTGTTATGATTTGTATCAAGTCAGATAATTTACATAAAATTCCATCAATAATTTCATAGCATATTATTATTATTATTATTTTTTTAATTTAATTATTTTTTCTTATTTAAATTTTTAAATCACAAACAATTCCGTTCATCAATCAAAGTGATTCAGTTTTGGTTATTTCTGTGTGTGTGAATCAAAACAAAAAAAAATATCAGCGCATTACGATTTTGATGTTCGATTGTCGTACAATCACATAGAATGGCTGCTATTGGCGATTATTTTTCCACTGGTAGCATGGTCTCATGCACCACTTGTTTTAAGCAGAGCGTTGAGGGTGAAGTCTTGGCATTCGATCCAATGACTAAAATGCTCATTTTAAGTATCCTTTTTCAAACAAATGCAAATGATAAAATAAAATAAAAAATAAAAAATTGTCCAATTTTCAAATAGGTTGACATTTTGATTGTCGTTCATTTCAATTTGTTACATTTTTTTTCTTTCGATTTATTAATGAAAATTATATTTTATCATAACAACAAACAAAAGAATTTTCTTTCCTTAATCGAAAAACAATAACAATAACACAGAATGTACCGCCGGCAGTAATTCAACAAAGCTGAACGATATTTTTGTAGTTAACTTGGAGTTTTGCAGTGATGTCCAAGTGAAGGAAGAAGTTAAAAAAGAACCTGATGTACCTGATGCAAAAATACCACCACCATTGAATATACAGCGAGTTAGTAAATCTATGCTAATATTTTTTTTTTCAAATTCATGGCGAATAAGAGTGGTTGTATTTTTTTTTCATTAATTTTTTTTCGTTTTGCTTTCAAATGTAAATAGTTGAGTACACGAGTACGAAATGCACAAGAGCAGAAGAAACGATGGATTTCGGCAAGGACAGCTGGTGTGAGTGTGGATGGCCAAAAGCTTTATATGGCAATTTCAAAAACCATAAAACATGTAAGATTGCATTTAAGGTTATTCGTATGGTCATCACAATAAAATTCAATGGAATCACATGTTTCAGATTGCATGGCGAGGTCCAAATATAATTGTGTTCAATGATGTCACAATAAAGCCACCGTACAAGTTAGAAGATGTGAATGGAAATCCCGAGTCACGGCAACTAACATATGTAAAGAAAATCGTTGAAAAATTCATCGCTGATCAAGAGGAAACCAACAACACAACCATAACAACAACAACAACAACAACAGAAACCACCACCAACACCATTGCCAATACAGCCACAACCACCACATCAACTACAACATAAAATAAATTGTATCTAAATTCAAAAGAAAAAGAAAAAGAATAAGGAGAAGAAGAAAAAACAGTAATAAAAATGTACAAAAAAAGATTTAAGAATGAAAACATTTTGCCGCATATATTATTGACAATGTTAGTTGTTGACGCTGAATGAACGCATTTAATGCTTGAACTCAAAAGATTTTTGAACACACTCATCGCTTACATTCAGCGCCCCTCTTATTTTCTCCGCTTTTTTCATTGTATATGACATACATGTATGACAGAACAACGTGCAAACTGTCAAATTCATGTTTTGATATGAATAGAACTTTTAAATACAACACGTGTTTGACATGTGTTTGAAAATGGATATAATAGCACGTTCGCAATTATGGAAATAAATAAAACGAAGTTAATTCACAATTTAAATGTAACATTTAAGGATGATTGCAAATCCACAACACAATTATGGGTATGGATTAAATCTTTTTTTTTTTTTTTTCAAATTAAACTTTTTATTGTGCGGTTTTTAATTTTGTGTGAATATTTTCATTTGTACAGTCGAGCTCAACCGACGAATCTATAGATATGGATAAATTATTGAGCCTATTGGCCGACCGAATTATTGATCCACGATACACAGAGCAAATTGGCAGAAGATTTGAATCAATTTTACCATTGATTCTAACAAAAAATCTAAATTATGATATGAAACAAGATGAGACATTTTTTATTCAACATCGACGAAAAACAATTGCTCTGGCCAAATTGGTCACAATTTCACCGCATGCAAAACGCTTTGTATTCACATATTTTTCCAAGATGCCATCACCATTTGCCGGCGACTGGAATACATCGACAAGAAAAAAAGTTGCTAAAACGAAAGATGCTGAACCAACGCCGCTCGATATTCTCAAGTCTTGCTATACATTTTTAAAACTAAACACATCATTTTTTAGGCAACAGTGGAAGTGGTCAGAGTTGATTGAAAATTATGGTGATCTTAGAAAACAGAGCGATGAATATAAACTGATTTACAATCACATTTTGGCACTTCTTACCGGCATGACGAACGAACAAATGGCACTGTTGAATAAGGACATTCCAGTCGACATTAAAATAAATTTCACCGCATCACCATTAACACCGGCCACCGATGAAATTGAACAATTTGACGCAGTTGAGAGTTTTAAGTGGAATTTATCGAATGAATTATATACGAACGTCGAAGGTGTTTTATTGCCCATGTTTGATGTAAAAAATACAACAACATTGAAAAATGATAAACGTATCGTAATGGTTGAATCGGCACGTCAAAATTTACGCAGTATTGCAATTGGAGTGGAAGCTGGTAAAGCTGTATGTTTATCGGGTTCGGTTGGCAGTGGTAAAACCACACTCATTGAATATTTGGCTTCTGAAACGGGTCGCATTCCAATTAGACAGTTTGACATTGATAAAAGTAAATTGAAGGAAAATTCGAGCATTTCAGCGAATGATAAGGCCACATCGAGTAAACGCAAAGCAATTGAAATGGAACAAATGAAAACAATTAACGAACATAAAGTAACACAAAATGGTTTTTTGCGAATTCAATTGGGCGATCAAACCGATAGCAAAATGTTACTTGGTCAATATCATTGTACAGATGTGCCGGGTGAATTTGTTTGGCAACCAGGTGTATTGACGCAAGCCGTCATGAACGGTTATTGGCTTCTTTTGGAAGATTTGGATCAGTGTTCGAGAGATGTGTGCGTTATGCTTACAAATTTCTTTGAAAATAATTACTTATCGGTGCCCGGTTTTCGTGATTGCATTCAAATTTCACCCGGATTTCAATTGTTTGTTACACGAAGGTAAATTCGATTGAATCACCCTTTTTTATTATTGAATTTAAAAAAAATAATAATAATTTATATTTTATTCTTTTTCTCCAATTTACAGAAGTCATGAAAAAGGTTTGCATGGTGGCCGCAACACAAATTCATCATATTTCCAATTGCTTGAAAAATATTTGTATACAATAAATATGTTGCCATTATCGCGCACCGAATTGTGTGAGATTGTATGTGAAAAATATCCAAAATTATCAACGGTTGCTGATCGAATTGTGGATGTGTTTTCGATGTTTTCATCGGATGCCAAAGATTTTATGGAATCGGGTGTTAAAGATTCGGGACGTCTGGTATCAACGCGAGACTTATTAAAATTGTGCAGTCGATCATCGCCAACCTTTTCAATCACCAGTACCGAATGTGCCTATTTTGTCTTCCAAAATGCTGTCGACTTATTTTGTTCACATCTTACACAAGGCGATGGCAAAAATAATTTGATTGTCAACATCGGTGCAAAATTAGGTATAATTCCATCTCGTTGTGAGTACCTATCAAACGAATATAAACCCGATGTTTCAATTGACGATGGAGCGCATTCAATTCGAGTTGGCCGAATAACCTTGTCGCGTCGCGATGCAAATGGACAATTAAAACGTACCACCAACACAAATCGCAATGGAATCGACGATGACAATGGACAAAAGCGATTACGTATTGATGCTGATTCAAATTTTAACGTCTATCAAAATCAGACAAAACAAAAAACACCACATTTCTCATTCACCCGATTGGCATCGTGTTTATTGGAACGAATTGCTGTGGCTGTACAAGAAAACGAGCCGGTTCTGCTGGTCGGTGAAACTGGTGTCGGTAAAACGAGTTCCGTTCAATATCTTGCACATCAAACCAATCACAAATTAGTTGTCATTAATATGAATAATCAATCGGATGTGAGTGATTTGATTGGCGGCTTCAAACCGGTCGATTTGGCATTTGTTATTGCACCGCTACGTGCTGAATTCGAGTGTTTATTTAAAGAAACATTTGATGCGAGTAAAAATGAAAAGTTTTTGAATAACATCAGTATTTGTTGCAATCAAGAGAATTTCAATGTATTAATTCCTTTGATGTTGCGAATTGTGGGCACTGTATTCACACGAAAATCGAAAAATGCCGACAATCTTAGCCGATGGACGGCATTAAAAATAAAATTAACCAAATTAAAATCACAATTAGAGCAATCGTTAAATATTTCATTTGCATTTATTGCCGGTCCATTGGTAAATTGCATTAAAAATGGTGATTGGGTACTATTGGATGAAATAAATTTGGCATCGCCCGAAACATTGGAATGTTTATCAACCATTCTCGAACCAAATGGTTCGATTGTTTTACTGGAAAAAGGTGATTTTGTACCGGTAAAACGACATTCCGATTTTCGTATATTTGCCTGTATGAATCCAAGTACGGACATTGGGAAAAAAGATCTAACGATTGGCATTCGAAATCGTTTCACCGAATTTTTCGTCGATGAATTGGTGCTGGAAGGTGATTTAATCATTTTGGTCAGCGATTATCTACGACATACGGGCATTCAAGGTGCAAAAGTATTGGCCATTGTACAATTGTATCGAAAATTACGTGCAATGGCCCAATTGGAATTGAACGATGGCTTAGGAAATCGGCCCGTTTATTCGCTTCGAACATTATGCCGTGCATTGATTATTTGTTCGAAAAATTTATGCGGATCAATCGAACGAAATTTATATGAAAGTTTTTGTTTAAGTTTCTTAACACAATTGGATCCAGCATCACATTTGATTGTATTGAATTTGATACAAAAAACACTTGTGCCAACAAATCAAAAGGCTGTACTGTCACAAGGATTACCAAAACCAAAGGATAACGTTGAATACGCAAATTTTGAGGGATATTGGATTAAATTGGGACCAAAATCAGTTCAATCGTGCGAACATTACATCATAACCGAAAGTGTACGAGAAAATCTTCGTGATTTAGCGCGTATCATTTCAATTGGTCAATTGCCTGTGCTGCTACAAGGACCCACCAGTGCCGGTAAGACCAGTTTAATTGATTATGTGGCCAAACGAAGTGGTAACTATTGTTTGCGCATCAACAATCACGAACACACCGATTTACAGGAGTATATTGGAACGTATACGGCCGATGTAACCGGTAAATTAGTATTCAAAGAAGGTGTTTTGGTTCAGGCCATGAGAAATGGCTATTGGATCATTTTGGATGAATTGAATTTAGCACCGAGTGACATTTTAGAAGCATTGAATCGTGTACTTGACGATAATCGTGAATTATTCATTCCCGAGACACAGGAATTGATCAGAGCCCATCCAAATTTTATGCTATTTGCCACACAAAATCCGCCCGGTTTGTACGGTGGCCGAAAGATGTTGTCCAGAGCATTTAAAAATCGCTTTGTTGAACTTCATTTTTCTGACATACCAAAACACGAACTCGAAATTATTCTGGAGAAAAGATGCCTGATACCAAAATCGTATGCACAAAAAATGGTTAAAACAATGACTGAATTACAGGTGCATCGTACGAATACAGCAAAATCATCGTTTACGTTAAGAGATTTATTTCGATGGGGAAATCGTTATACATATGCCAACAAAGATCTATTGAATAACAAAGGATACGATTGGAATCAACATTTAGTCGACGAAGGTTATTTAGTGTTATCATCACGTGTACGTAATGAAAGTGAAATTGAAACTATTGAAAGTGCACTGTTCACCAATTTCCGTAAGAAAATCGTGTTTGACGATCTATTCAATTTGCATGAAAAAACGTCACAAGTGACACGACCCATATTGGAAAGTCTAAAAACTTATGATTGTGATGCAGTTTCAAATGTTGTGTGGACATCGAATATGCGACAAATGGCCGTGTTAACGGGTAAAGCACTCGAATTCAATGAACCGGTTTTGTTGGTTGGCCAAACGGGCTGTGGTAAAACGACAATTTGTCAAATTCTTGCGAGTATCGTTCGAAGAAGACTGCGTATTTTGAATTGTCATATGCACACGGAAGGTGCTGATTTTCTTGGTGGTCTTCGGCCATATCGTGGCAACGATGAAAACGACATGGATACTGAAACCGATGATAGTAAGAACCGTAAACTTTTCCAGTGGAACGATGGACCATTGATTCAATCGATGACGGAAGGCACATTTTTCTTGGCCGATGAAATTTCACTTGCCGAAGATTCGGTACTCGAACGATTAAACTGTGTTTTAGAACCAGAACGTACAATTTTACTAGCAGAAAAAGGTGGATGCGATGAAAATTTAACCAATGATTTGAACAATCCGAATGCCAGTGAATTTGTGATTAGCGCCAATGATGGATTTCAATTTTTGGCCACGATGAATCCATCGGGTGATTTTGGTAAAAAAGAACTGTCACCCGCATTACGGAATCGTTTCACCGAAATTTGGTGTCGATCAGCCGATAATGAACATGATTTAGTTTTGATTGCTGAACATGCACTAAGAATCGGTTCCACAGCGAATTTGGATGAAATAAAAATGAACATATTAAAAAATACAGCCATTGTAATTGTGAAAACTATTCGATTTATCAAAGAAAATGTTGAAAAGTTTCATTATTCCGTTCGTGATATTTTGGCATGGGTACAATTTATCACAATCAATTCAACTAATTTACCTGTTCATCATGCAATCATCTTTGGTTTAGAAACAATGTTTTTGGACTCATTAGAAATGTTGCCACATGCAGATTTCAATGAAATTGAAATACAACGCAAAATGATTTTGGAGTTTGTAATCGATGAAATTCAAATGCGGCTGAAAGAAACATTCAATTTGAATAATTTGGCAAAGTTGAAAGGAATCCGAGTTATGGAAACACGTGAAAAATTTGGCATAAATCCATTTTTTATCAATGTTAATGGAGACGGTGTGTCACAACAAAAACGTGATTTCAAATTTACCGCACCAACAACACAAAAGAATCTATTTCGTTTATTATCGGCAATGAGCTTACACAAAGCCATTCTACTCGAAGGACCGCCGGGCGTTGGAAAAACATCGCTCATTGAAAATGTCTCATCGGCGATTGGATATCAAATGGTGCGTATCAATTTGTGTGAACACACCGATTTGACAGATTTATTTGGAACCGATCAACCATCAGATGAAGGTAGTTTATCATTAACAAATGTCGAATCCGATCAAAAATCAAATGCGCTCGGTTCATTTGTATGGCGTGATGGTCCATTGTTGGCCGCTTTAAAGGCACCAAACACATGGATTCTATTGGATGAATTGAATTTGGCACCGCAAAGCGTACTTGAAGGTTTGAACGCTATTCTCGATCATCGTGGTGAAGTTTATGTACCCGAACTAAATAAAACATTCAAATTGGATAAACAAACGCGTATTTTTGCATCGCAAAATCCGCTACGTCAAGGTGGTGGCCGAAAGGGATTGCCACAATCTTTTCTGAATCGATTCACAAAAGTCTATCTACGAACACTCGACGCAAAAGATTTGTGTCACATCATTTACGCCAAATACAGTGAATACTTTGAACAATTGAAAAATTTCCTTTTGCCTGTGATTCCGGCGGATCGTAATCTATTGCCGGTGAGCTACTTTAAATCAACCGAAACAGCGACTATATTTGACTGTTGCGAACGAATGGTTTCGTTCTCCGAAAAACTCGATGAAGGTATCACCAACTTGGAGTTTGGCTACAAAGGCGGACCCTATGAAGTTAATTTGAGAGATATTTTAAGATGGTGTGAACTATTGAGCAGCAAAATATCTGGATTTATTGTGCAGCATACAAGTGAAGAAGTCACCATTTTGGAACGATATAATAATTTTATGTTGATTTTGTATGAGAAAATGCAATTGGTTTATTGTCATCGCATGCGAACCGATACGGATAAACAATATATTCGTAATGTCTTCGGCGAAGTATTCCATTGTAATGCTGATCAACTTGAGAAGCTTTCGTGTGATATTTCATTCTATTGGAACGATGAATTTGTTCATTTCAACGATGTTAGACTAAGCAGAGCGGGTCAACAATCAACCATTACGAATGTATCGAAAATGGCTCCTTTGATGTTAAACAATCAACGGCAATTGATTAAGGCGTTGGGTGAAAGTGTTTTGATGGAAACACCAGTTATTTTATGCGGACCAAGCGATAGGTAAAACATTCAATTTATGACCACTTTAAAAAATATATGTCAAACTTTCCTCTATTTTCCTTTTATTTTTTTTTTAAAAAAGCATAGATTTTAAATATATTTTTCAACTTTTTCCAGTGGTAAAACAAAATTAGTTGACATCCTGTGTACACTTTCGAATCACTATTGCAATATTGATACGATCGATGATTCAGTCACGGGAACATTTCAACAAGTCGATCTGAATCGTCATTTGGAGGAAATCGCACAGAAAATCGAAGCATTTTTAGTGAATTATCAACAAAATTGGATTTTGCATCCAAACCAAACAAATTCCAGTCAATTTGTTAAATTGCTTAAGCAATGGGAAATATTTATTGAATCAAATATTCGTCAAAACGGTGAGTATTCATTTCAATATCCATTCTGAATAGAAATCAATAATCCAAAAATTACATTTTAATACAAAAAAAATGTTCTCACATTTGCAGACAAGCAAACCGAAACTGTGATGTCTGAAGAGTTACTTGTGTTCAACAAACGCGTTAGTGATTTGAGTACATTGCTTGAATCTCTTCTCCGCGTTAACTTCGATTCAAATATAACAAATGAACTGAATGCATTACACCACAAACTGAATTTCTTGGGTTCAATCGTTAAAAAACGTGGTACATTAAATACAGGCGGTCACTTTGAGTGGGTCGACTCAAAAATCGTGCGAGCATTAAAAATTGGTCAATACATATGTCTGGAGCACGTCAATTTATGTTCATCGGCAATTTTGGATCGTTTAAATTCGGTATTTGAAACCGATGGTAAACTGTTGCTCTCCGAAAAAGGCGTTGAATCGAATAATTTGTCGGAAAATGTTAGCAAACACAAAGATTTCCGCGCATTCTTAACACTTGATCCTCGAAATGGTGAAATATCACGTGCCATGCGTAATCGGTGTATTGAATTGAATTTAATGGCCGACACATACAGTCGTGATGATCTCAAGGAATTTATCTATTCGAATGGAATTCATGAAATGCATTTAATTGAATGGACATTGAATATTCATCATCGTGTTCAACAGGTCAGCGAATTTCATTCGTTCAATGTATCACATTTGATGAAATTTGCATTTTTAATCAATGAAAATCGACGACTTGGTGCCGATGAAGCGACAGCATTGTTTGACAGTGCAATTGTGGTCTATGTGAGATCGTCACACATCGATTTACTTGGCATGGGCTTAAATTACTATCACGATAAATTAATCGAAGAAATTCGCGATGAAATCAATAATGTTCCGGATAAATGTCAGAATTTAGTGCAACTATCAAATCAAATCATAACTGCCGATAATTTGACTAGTTTATCTCTTATACGATTACAATGTGAACCGTTGATGATTACAATTGATTGCTTGACTGCAGACATTGATACGAATCGAATTAAAAAGGTGTTTGCCGCTGTTCGGGAGAAATTTTCCAATTTACCCATCGACTTGGATTGGAAATCAGCCGAATATCTGTTGCATTTAGTTTATGAAATGAGTTCAATCGATGATGTCAGTGAAAGAGAACGATATTTAGAGAATAGGATAAGAGAGAAATTAATGAAAACCAGTGAAAACTATCATAATCAATTGACCATTCTAATTGAATTGAATCACACTCTAGCGCAGACGATTAGAGAAATACCAAGTCGTCAAAATATTGACGTCGTTGTAAATAAAGTGCCATGGAATCAACATATTTTCCCCCGATTACGTGATTACTACGATAAAACACCGTTACTTTCGAAAAGCAACCAATTGAAATTGAGCGCCATTTTACTAGCACATTCGCTATTCGAGAAAATCAACTGTGATACTACCAAAGTAAAACAAAGTTATATAAATGCCATCACCTATTCCAAAGTTGTGATGGATGGTACAATTCCAAATGGATTGAATATTGATTTAATAACTCAATTGCATCCACTCTTGGATTATACAAAAACATTTGCGATACAAATGATCCGAGAATCAGAGACAATCACCTATAAACAGTACGGTTCATTGATTTGTGCATATTTGTGGGCAAATCGCTTGTACGAAGTGTCAAAGAATCGACTATTCAAAGGAAAATCCGTGGATAAAACACTAATTGACAAACTGGCATTACATTTCAATTGGTTGGTAAAACATTTATTGTGTCTATTGAATGAAATAAATGGCGAAAATCGAATCACCGCAGCTGTTGGCGTTCATCAAAAGGAAACTGCACAATTTCGCAAAATTTTACAACAAATATCCGATTGTAATACCATTCGGCGACATCCACTCAATGAGATGCGAAAAAAGTTCACAAAACGACTTACGGAATTCATGCCATTCTATGAGCAAAATCAAATCGTATTGCATGAGCATGAAACTGAATTTATAAAACAAATGCAATTGCCGACAAAGAACTGGCAATCATTCGAACCGGCCGAATATTTACAGTCACTTATCAACAAATATCGAATTATTTTGAGCGATGACAGCAAAAGCTACAAAAGTTATTTAATTGATGCCAACGATGCTGAAGACCTCCAATGGTTAGTTGATGACAATGGTGAAAATGAAGCCATGGATGTTGAGAAAATTTTGGCAAAACTTGATAGCCTATCAAAATCGACGACACAATTTTTAGGTATTACTACAATGTCTTCCGTCGATGACTTAACGGAACAAAATGAAAAATTCAATGTCAAGCATCTTGAAGCAACCGAAACAAATTCGAATCAAAAAAATTTGGCACCATTGAAGCTCGTTGTGTCTGTGCTTCCAATTATGGAATATTTTGCGTTGCGTGCATTCCATTCAACACTACGACGTGATGCCAAAGTTCATAAGCTAAATATGGACTTTTTCAAAAGTATTCGATCATTGGATGTGACCGTTTTGAAGTCGGTGCAAACAATTATCACAAAACAGTATGCCGTTTGTGTATTAATATGGGATTGGTTGCATCGTCAAATTAACTCAAATGATTTCGAAAACGTTTTTAATGTGATGCCACAGTCAATTTATCGAAAGATTTCATCATTTATGAAAATGCTTGATGCAAAAATCAATGGTTTTGTATACAATTCATTGGCATTAAATCATCAATGCCATTTAAATGTTATTGATGTGACAAAGCAATCACAAACAATGCCATTAAACAGTTGTGCATTGACCGTTTCCGCATTCTTATCATTGTTCAACGAATATGGTCAATCAAAATCGATTGGTTTGGGAAATTTAGAGGTGTGGACATCAACATTAACATCAATTTCAAAATTACTATGGAACAATGTCGAGACGTTCCAGCATCAATTTCAGTTTGAGCACACAAATATTGAATACAGTCAACGATATGGTCGTAAACTTTTGGCCGAAATTAAATATATTCAAGCACTTACCAATTCAACGGATAAAGCAAAATCCGAAATTGAAGAAGAATTCATTGAAATGATACAATTGCTTGAAAAGAAAACTGAAAACATCAATATGTCAAGCGATTCATCACACACAAGATTTCAACAATTTTATGCATCGGCTGTGATTCAATCACTGGCAGCTGTGATTGAATTACACCTAATGACTTTTACACCATTGGTCGATCCAGTTGAAAAGAATCGATTGAAGAAAACTTACGCACAAGAAAGCCAACAACATTTAACCAAATTAACATCGGCCTATGATTTTATGAAAGTTATCATGTCATACAATGGCTTGGGCGAGCAAATTCTCCATGAATCAATCGATGTGAAATATAAAGAATTCAAAACATTACTTGAAAAATATTCGAAAAAATGTGCACTGCGACCGGATGTGTGTGTCTATGCCGAATTGGTCGATCAAATAAATTTCTTTTTGGAAAATGGATGCCGTCCAAAATCTCAACTACAATTGATAAATGACATTGACACCGCATTCAATCGATTGAATAGCGGCAATTTAATTACACACCAAGATCTACAGAATGTCGATGAAATTATAAAACGCATTGATTGGTGCACAAATACGGCTGAAAGTTTTGAACGATCTACCATTATACGTTTCAATACATATTATCGTGATTTTACAGCACCACTTGAATCATCGATTATTATGCTGAAAAATGCATTCAGATGCTTGAAACAATGTCTAACTAAAATGCGTGACATTGTTCTTACCACAAGAAATGGCAGCAATTTTAATGGTTTGAACCAAGAGGAATCACTATCGACGGTATTGGTTAATCTCATCGAATTTCCAAGCGTTGAAAAGAGATCACATCTCATGCCCGTTACGGTACGCATGTTGGAGAGTTTGGAGAATAAAGATGTTGCACATTCAATGTAAGTTAAATTAAATAATTCGACACATGAATCAAAGACGAAATATATTTGGTTTTTTCTCCGTACAGCCTATTGAAATCTGTTTTGCAAGAAACCCTCTGCTTGTTATCCATTTCTGGTTCGATAAGCGATAGCAGCTTCCAACAATTTGATTTAACCATTGGTAGTTTTAACAAGATGTGGAAACAACAGGAAGAAATCAAACGGGCCAAAAGCATCGAGGAAGAGAGTCTTTATGTGAAAAAGTAAGTTTGAAATTCAATTGTATTTTCATGAGAAAAAATCAAATTTGAATAAAAAATAAAATATTTTCGTTTCATATAGAACGCGATGTGCCGATGAAGATGAGGAAGAAATCACCGAACAAGAGATCGAAACAATGTTCCCGAATTATGCAACCACCGATTTTGGTGAATTTGTTCAATATGCAAATTTAGAAGATGCTGACAAAAAAGAATCACCAGTCAAACCGAAACCACCTCAAGACCTTTTGACTGATGATGATTTGAAATTTGTTGGCGATGTATTTATCGATATTATGCACAAATATTCAAGGTAACATTCCAAAAATACGTTCACTGTTCTTATGCTAAATACCATTTAATGTGAATAGAGCTGTCATGGGCATCGCGAATGTGCGGGCATTAGTGATCCATAGAACTTTTCAAGTGCCACATCTGAAAGAGCGACACTTAAAAGTGGCTTCACCTCCGCGGTGTCTTAAACAGCCTCTGATGCTAAACTGAGTTATAATGTATCGAATATTAAATATTTTACAGCTGTAACTATCACAAACCTTCCAAGATTGAATTCAATTCGGACGACTATCAAGTGGAACTAATGAATGCATTCGAATCGAAATCGAATGTATTTTACCAATTAATTCAAAAGTACAAGCATTCATTGAGCAGTACAATTGACGATGCCTTCTACGGTGGCATTGGATTGCTAATATTCAATACACAAAATCGATATCGCAACCAAAATCAAGCGAACTTTGTTCGAGCCAAACCATACAATTTCTACAAAGATCAAAATATTCCAGAGGTTTACAATACCGGCGAACTATTGGATCGCATTGAAGCCAGAGTATTAAATGAGCTCAAACAATGGCCAGATCATGCCGTTCTAAATGACGTATGTTTTGTATCTCAACGATTTCCATTCCATTTTCATCATTTTTTGCTTTCTCTTTTCTTTTAAAAAATACAGATAATATTGATCATTGGACGAATTCGATCACTCGATATCACCGAACCAATTGCAAGATTCAATACAGGTTTCCAAATATTACGGCAAAAAATCGATGAATGGAATAGCGTTTCGCATAAATTGAATCATTTGCGCGATTTAGAAACGGAAGTTGCTGAGTATGTTCAACGATGGATGAAATTGGAACTACAATGCTGGAGAGAGTGTTTGGCCACAACGGCAGACAAGTATGAATATTTGCATGTATTTTTAACAATTGATTTTCTAGCATGATTAAATTGTTTGTCATTTTTTTTCACAGAGTAAAATCGAAGGCATATCGTTATTGGTTCTTTATGTACAATCTGTTGCACGAATATCTGGATTGTTCGATTACAACATTTTCGTGTGATTTAACCGATTTCGAAGCAGTCGAGAAGTACTTTGGTGAGGGTGAAATCGATATTGATGCAGAAAATGGCCAACAAACCGGCTCAAAACTTCGAACGGCTGATGTAGTTAGTGTCTTGAAACAATTCATCGAATCGTCTAATTATGGTGAATTTGATTTACGTATGAAAATTTTGAAATCATTTGAAATGTATTTGCATCAAAATCCATCAAAAGGTTCAACCAAAAAACGTGAACGCATCATATCAATAATACATAATTTGCACACATACTACACACAATTTGTGAATCAAATTACCGAAACGATTAAAACAAAACGTTCGCAAATCGAAAAGAAACTCAAAGAATTTGTTAAAATCGAATCATATAACAAAGATCTATCCTATTATGGCATGAGAAATAATGTGGCACGTGTGCATCGTCATCTGTTCAAATTTTTGCGTGAATTTGAAACGGCGCTCATGGAAAAGATTGCCGAAGTTTTTGTATGGAAAGCAAATGAAACGCCATCGCTAAATGATGAACCGAGCGCAAAAGGTTCGAATTCAGCTTATGAACCAAATATAGCATCATATACCGTTGACGTTAAACATTTTGTGTTGGCACAACTACCGAAAAGTGATTCGATCCCAGCAGATTCATCGAACGATGATAGTTTATTGGCAAAAATCGATAAATTATTTGGTGTATCACGGAATGTTGTTAAAAATGCCGTTTTACATGCCGAATTTCCGAGCCTATTGTACAATTTGGATATGGAATTGGCCACACAAATTGAAACGTGCAACTATTTACGTGGCCTGGAAGTGGATCGCAAGCAAGAGAAACCAAAACAAAAATCTCAAGCCAAACACATTTTGACGCAAAAACGAAAAGCCATTGCCGATACATTTAAAATGCTTACAACACTTGGTTTGAGCTTCCGTTCCGGTATGCTGGAATCACAAATGCAAACCGATTTTATTGACTTGAAATTGAATCCATTTAATATTCAATGCATTATCGATGCGCCGACAAAATGTAATCCAAAAATTAATCAAAGTTTGGCATTACTTACGAAAAATATTGATCTAAACTTTTCGAAATGTGTATTTAAATTTAAATTATTGCAAACGGCAATGTTGACACCAAATCAAGAGCTTGGACTACCGAATATAGAACGTATCAAAGGTTTTACCATCGACATGTTTTTGTTGGTTCAATTACAGCGTCAAACATTGTGCAAATCAACGATAGAACTGCAAAAACTACAAGAATACATCAAGCGTGTTGATGAATTGAAGGCGATTCTATCGAATGACGAGAAAGATTTGAGTTTTAATCGAATGTCTTCGAAATTGATGGCAATCGAACATGCATTGATTCAAATTTCGGATATTACTGAACAATATGAACTTCTATTGAATTGCGTGCCTGCCGATGAAGATAAAGTTTTTACCGCCATTGATTCGACCGATGTCATTGCATTCACGAAATCATCGGTTAAGTACCAACGAATGAAATCAGCAATGGCTATCATTTCGAAATCATCCAAAACGCTTTTGACTACAGTGCAATCGACAAAAGATAGTTATTTCTTGAATTCAACTGTAGTACATGGCATTTCAAAGAAATTCAATCGTATCATTGATGAGCTGAAAAATGCACGTGACAATTTAAAATTGAGCCAAAGTAGTGAATATTTGGTGATTGCCAAACCACTTGTTAAACTTTTGCAAAGTTTAAACATTGACCTTGAATCGAATGAGATGATCATTGAGACATCTGATGAAAATAATTCGCATCAAAATATTGTGAATGAATTGGAAAATATCGTACATCATGTATTACTTTCAATACAAAATATCTACAAAAAATATTCAACACAAAAACCGAAGGAAGAAACAGCTGATGTCAGTGCTGTGGAAAATGCGAATAACAACCAAGATGATGAAGAGGATGATGATGAAGAAACCATTCAAAAGAATCATTTGAAACAAAAGATCACCGCTGAAATAAATACCGATTGGCAAACACTTGGATTGTCATCGGTATCGATGAAATTATCAAAAATATGCGCTGAAATTTACCATTCACAAAACGATGCAAACAATGTACGCATTGAATGTATACGAAAATTGGTGTCCATTCAACCGATTTTAGAACAATTTGAGCTACTCTGTAAATATTATTTACTTCAACAATTGGTCGCCCATAAAGTAAGCACAAAAATGTTTAGTGTCATGTTGATTATTTTCATTGAATTGACGACAAAAGGATTTTGCATTCCACCCGATCTTATGCAAGACGACGATGGTCAACAAAATGAAAATGGTGATGGTAAAGAAGGTGAAGGTTTTGGTTTAGATGATGGCACCGGCGAAAAAGACGTTTCAGACAAGTAAGTATAAAAATATTGTTAATTTTTATGTAGAAATCGTTCAAATAAGATGAATTCATTACAGAATCGAGTCCGAAGATCAATTGGACACGGCAAAGAAACCGGGTGACCGTGATGAGAATAAAAAAGACGATGAAGACTGTGAAGAAACGAATGGAATCGATATGAGTGAAGATTTTGATTCGAAATTGCAAGATATTGAAAAGCGTGGCGATGATTCAAGCGATGATGAGGAATCCGATAACGAAGAATTGGACAAAGAAATGGGAGACACCGAACAGGGCGCTGATAAGTATGTGTACTTTATATGTCGATAATTTTTTTTTATTTTGTTGATCATTTAAAAAAAACCGTCTAGACTAATCCGTCTAGTTGTAAATATTTCTAAATAAGATTATTTAATGAATATGAAAACATGATAACTGTCATAAAGCAATTAAACACATGTAATAATTTTACGGTGGCTTTAGACTTGACGATCAAATTTGGGGCTCTGACGAGGAGAAAGATGAAGAGGAAGAAGAAGGAGATGACGAAATGAATGATGAAACCGATGCCAAAGGTTCCAAAGAAGACCAAGAAAATCATAATAATCTTGATTCAGAGCAAAATGACCAAGGTCAAGGTGATGAACAAGATGGTTTAGATGCTACCAATGGTATGATTTCTTTTATTTATTGGATTTATTGGATCGCTTTTTTGAATTCATACGATGTAGTAAATAAAAAGAAGACGATATAACTGCATAGTTTTCGTTTTTTTTTTTAGAAAATCAACAAGAAAAGCAAAAGAAAAAGGATCAAATTGATAAAATGAACGAAGACGAAACGGTTGAAGATCAAATAAATCCATATCACAATGAATTGGAGGAGCCACCCGAACCGGAGGATATGGATTTGGGTGACGTTAATTTGGATAATCAAGACAATAACGACAATAATGACGAACAAAATGATGAAAATCCATTCGATATCGATTCAATGAAGGAAAATATGCAAATCGAAGATGATGAAAATGATGAACCAGACGAAGACGGTGAAGGTGATGAGAAAACTGAGCAGCAACAAGATGATTTGAGCGACAACAGCGATATCGAAGACGGTGACGATTTGAAAAAGGATCAAGAGCCAAATAAAGAAGAAGATGCGGCGAATGGCGAGGATAAAAATGAAGAAGAGGCTGGTAATAACGAACCAGATACACAGGAACCAGGTAAAGATGTTGAAAATACCGAAGAAGACGAAGATCAACAAGAGGAGACAGATGACGCAAAGGAAAAGAATAAAAATGAAAATTTCCACGAATCGGTTGATAAACCATCGAATGAAGATAATATTCAAGCAATGCCAGACACAAGAGATCAAGGCACCACCGACCAAGTTGAAACTGAAGCGAATGAGAAAAATAAACAAGAAGATAATATGGATGCTCAAGATACGGGTAAGTTTTATAAATTGAAAAAACAAGACGAAGGGAACAATAATTTTTAAAAAAATGTTTTAAACGTCATAGGCGAAGAACAAAATGGAATTGGTCAAGCGGCAAATGAAGAATCGAAAAGTGGACATCAGGGAAAGGCCGATAATAAAAATACACAAAAGACTGAACAATCAGAGAAGAAAGAGCAAAAAGATCGCCGAAAACCTGGTGCCACAAATGAAGAGCGAACGATCAGTGAAAATAAAACAAGCGAAAATAAGCAATTGAAAACGGTTCAGGAAGTAGATCAAGGCACACAAAATGAAGAGGATGAATCAAATAATGATACGGATGATCGGGACAATGAATATCAACACATTAAAGATGCCACCGAAAGTGAAAAATCCACCACTACAATGGACAATGCCACTGAAGAACAATCAAAGAAAGTTGCACACGATGATGAAAAGGAGGAAACAATCACACCCGAATGTGAAACAAATGACGAATTGATGGAACAAGACACCAAAAACGAACCACTGGAAAATGTGCCCGAACTTGAAAACGAGAAGCTCAACGAAAACAGCAAAAATAATAAGAAAGGCGCAAACAATGATCGACAAAATGATATTTGTGAACCAAAAGAAGAGTGCACAGTTGAAGGTGATGCCGTTTCCACACATACAGTTTCTCGACCTGATAACACAACCGCACATTGCTCGTAAGTTTGATAATAATAACTCAGAAATTTATTTCAATTTTCTAATCGAATTAATTTTCAGAATTGATATCATTCGTGATGCAAGCGTTGCACAAGAGCTTGACAATGCCGAACTTCTGGACATCCGAAAAATGTACGAAAAAGAAAGAACATCAAATAAATTGTCGAATCCAATTCGAGAGAATTTTGACCAATGGCAAAAAATTAGCAACGAAATGTTACCAAATGCACGTGAACTCTGTGAACAATTGCGACTTATTTTGGAGCCAACAAAATGCACCAGATTGAAGGGTGACTATCGAACTGGTCGTCGTATTAACATGAAAAAGGTCAGTCAATGCATTTCAAAATCGATCAAAATTAACGTTTTTTTTTAAATTGTTTACATCTTGTTGTAGATAATTCCATATATTGCATCCCAATTCCGGAAGGATAAAATCTGGTTGCGGCGAACAAAACCAGCTCAACGTGACTACCATATTACGATTGCAATCGATGACTCAAAGTCGATGGACTACAATGAGTCGAAAGAGTTAACGTTGCAAGCAATTTCGTTGGTATCACAGGCACTAACCCTGTTGGAAAGTGGCCGATTGAGTATTATGTCATTTGGTGAATCACCAAAAATCATTCTCAATCATACCGATCAATTTGACGGCCCGACCTTAGTAAATTCATTAAATTTTGCACAAAATCAAAGTCGTATCGCTGAACTGATGGAATTCATTCGTGTGGCCAATAGTGAAGACACCGGTGCATCATCTGATAATGGCATTTTTGAGAATTTACTACTAGTATTGAGCGATGGACGTAACATCTTTAGCGAAGGTGAAAAGAAAGTCAAAAACGCCATTAAATTGGCTCGTTTGAGCAGAGTCTTCATTGTTTACATCATCATTGACAATCCGAAAAATGACGTGAGTTAAACAGACATGAAAATATCATCAAGCTTTTTAACCATTTATAATTGTTTTTCTACTATTTTCAGAGCTCAATTCTTGATATTCGTGTGCCACACTTTTCTGCTGATCGTAAAACGGTTACAATGAAATCATATCTTGACACATTTCCATTCCCTTACTATGTTATTGTTAGAGACCTCAAACAATTGCCATTGGTTTTGAGTGATGCGATGCGACAATGGTTCGAATTAGTTTCTAGTGAACAGTAAAAAAAAATAAGGCAAAATTAAAGTCAAAATAGATCATACATTTATTTATGTTTACTGAACTATTTTTTTATAACATTTAATATTTTATAATTAGTTTTATTCAATTCTTTATGAAATTTTGAAAAGCAACATTAAATAACAATTTCCTCGAAATTATATCGATTTTTCATTTAATCGTTTCATCTCTTCGTTAGATTTGATTCATTCCGTGTAATTTGTTGATGTTCCAAATATTTGCGATGAGTTTCTGCTTTGCAATAAAATGCATCCTTTGCATCAATCAAATGCCTGTAGAATGTCAAAATGTATTATTTAAGACAGCGATACAATGAACAACAATGAAAACATACAGATGTTTGTGTTGAATATAATATTCGACTTTTGGCAGCGGAAAACCATTAAACGTGCCTGCAAGTGAAATGCTATATGCTCCCATATTTTCGAATACCATGAAATCGCCAATGTTTAATCGTGGCAAGAAAACCTTTTCACAAATCTAAATTATTTTCGATAAAAATCTTATTTTAGCTTGAATAATAATACTGAAACATTTCAAAAAGTTACCCGATCAGTTGAATCCAATGTTGGACCCCAAACAGAGGATTTGAATATTTCTTCGTTCGTCGATTTAAAAGTCATCGGATGCGCGCTTTTATGTTCATATTCATTGATAAGAAAAGAACCGAATACGCCGTCATTGATAAAATACATTACCGACTCAAAATTGCCGTTTTTCTTGATTTCACGCTTTGAATGAACTTTACAAGCAAGTGTATAAGCAGATGCTACGTAAAACTGTCCCGGTTCAGCGATAATGGTTACATCTGGCGATGGAAAATGCAAATCGATACTTTGATTCACAATCGACGCAATCTAAAATACAAAATAAATTAATTTTTATTTACTGGGAAGGATGTTTTATAATTCTTGTGAATTTAAGCGATGTGTGCACCTCATTAATGTTGGTTCCTTTGTTTCCAGTAAACCCACCACCGATATCCAAAAGTGTGAATTTGTATCCAATACTTTTAGCAAAATCGAATAACTGACGTGACGCATAAATTGCTTTTTCATAAACTGGAGGATCCATGCAAACACAGCCAACGTGAAAACTTACTCCAATCATCTTCAAAAAAAAAAAAAAAAAAAAATGTTGAAAAAATAGGAAGAGAGAAATTCTCTTAGTTGTTGAGTATACACTTACATTCAACCCCAGTGATTTTGCCAATTTAATGATCTCCTTTGCTCCTGTGTCTGGATCGCAACCAAATTTATTACCCAATATCAACTGTGCAATTTTTGCATCATAACGAATCCGTACAACCAAACTGTCATTGAATTAATAGTCAACCACTTAATTATTGCTAAACCATTAAATGAATATAGAAAAATGTACTTACTTTGCATCTGGATAGTGTTCTTTTATTTTGTGTAATTCAAAATGACTGTCAACCGTCATAACGCTAACACTCATTTCAGCAGCATATTTAATATGCGATATTGGTTTAGTTGGATTCGCAAAGATAATCGATTGTGGAGCCACACCGAAGCTCATGACTTTTGCGATTTCTCCCTTCGAGGCGCAATCGAATCCAATGCCCAAGTTGGCCAGAGTTTTGATAACGATTGAGCTATCATTGCATTTCACAGCTATTTAATAATAATAATAATAATAATAATAATTTATTCACCGCCAAAACTGGCTGAATCGAGTATGATGTATAGTGCATCTGATCATCGTTAAAAACCACATCTTTTCGAATATGAAGTAAATGAAATTTAAAAAAAAAATGTTTTATTACTAAAATTTCATCGGAAAAATTGATCACTCACTATTTGGCTATATCGATAATTAAAGAAGTGCAAATTGGCTCTTAAGTAATGTAAACCAGGCAATATATTGAATTAACTGGTCAGTTGAGCTGACAGTACGTTAGCCAGCTAAATGGGCTAAAACAATAGACGTTATTGTTTTAATGATGAATCACTTTTCTTTTTTTAATAGAAGTGATTGTTCATTATTACAATAACTTCTATTCAAGGGGAAACCCGGTACTGAAATACTAAATATACTCAGAAGTATTGAAAAGTACCGAAAAGTACCGAAACATATCAAAACATACCAAAACGTACCAAATAGGTATTCGTTTCAAAAAAAAAGTGAATAATTTTCTCGTGTTTTCGACTGTCTTTTTGGTGTTACATGGCAAGCTTGTATGAAACTCT